TACTATCTGATGCCATCTCTTAAGTAGTAGCTATTTCTAGAAAAGTTTTGTCACTGGTCAATGACTTATATATTCCTGTATGGGTTGCCCTTGTGGACCTCATGTTATGATTTAGTAGTAAAGTTGAGTTGTGGCCTTCATTTAACCCATATAATCTTGTTATATAGGTACGATAGAGAAGAAGGAAACACAATGTTTGATACGACTGATGACTCATCGTTATTTTATGGAAATGATGCTTCATATCAAAAGAAGGAAGCAGAGTTGGCGAAAAGGCTGGTATGTCCATTGTTTTCTTGTTATTGTTCTTTAATTTACAGAGTTATATCTGAACTATATTTTGGTTGATGAATATGTATTACGGATTGCTCTTATTAGTAATAAGAGAGTTGACCAAAGGACTGAAAGTTTTTTCTTTATTCTTCTAATTTTGATGGCTTCTTTTGGTGGAGGGGGCTAGTAGTAAGTGATTATCATGTTGGTTGAGAATGTAAACTTGAGAGGTTGACATATAAAATCAAAGACAAAAAGCAATCATTGAAGTCACAACATTTATTTGATAACATTAGTAGATATGATTAATAATCCAACATCAATTGTACTTAAAAATGTCTTCAGGCATCTTTCTGCTTTTTATCTGTCTGAGTTCAGGTGACCTTGTATAGTGCCTAACAGTTTTTTTATATTATTTATTATGTTAATTCAGATAATATATTGGTCAACTGTACCGGCTATGCTTGTATTTCTGTCACCTTCACTAAATATTTTGATTTCCTTTTTAGGTTCGAAAAGATGGAACTAAGATGTCTCTTGCTCAGAGCAAAAAGTTGTCTCAACGCACTGCTGATAATGCTCAGTGGGAGGATCGTCAACTTTTGAGATCTGGTGCTGTTAGAGGTACCGAGGTGCAGACTGAGTTTGACGATGAAGAAGAGCGGAAAGTTATTCTTCTTGTACATGGTAAGAAATGGTAAACTAGCCATATCACTAAATTGATGAAATATATGCTTTTTGGTGTTTGTGTATGGAAGATTGAAATCTGAGTGTACTATAATATCTACTACTGTTATCACAGACACAAAGCCTCCTTTCCTGGACGGCAGGGTTGTTTATACCAAGCAAGCAGAGCCCATAATGCCTATAAAGGATCCCACATCAGATATGGCCATAATTTCACGCAAAGGGTCTACTCTGGTTAGGGAAATCCATGAGAAGCAAAGTATGAACAAGTCACGTCAGCGTTTCTGGGAGCTTGCAGGTTCCAAACTTGGTGATATTCTTGGTGTTGAGAAATCGGCAGAGCAGGTATTGAACTTAAGAGAGGAAGTTCCGATTTTTGCTTTGCACTTTGCAGGTTTGGGACTAACCCTTTCATTTTTTATGCTAGATTGACGCAGATACTGCTGCAGTAGGTGAAGATGGTGAAATTGATTTCAAAGAAGATGCCAAGTTTGCACAACATATGAAGAGTGGGGAGGCTGTGAGTGATTTTGCATTGTCAAAAACACTCTCACAGCAACGACAATATTTGCCCATATTTTCTGTGCGGGATGAGTTATTGCAGGTATGATATTTATCCATTTGTGTGTAATGCTTTGTTTGCTTTTGAAAGAAGTAATACCTAGCAGATCTGTCCATTCCAGGAACAGACCCCTTCAAAATTGAAAAACCGAACTATCATTATTAATTAGCTTGAATTTATGATGCTGATCTTTTGTTGAGTGGTTTAACGAATAAGATGAAGGGTTTTAATCGTCTGGCTTTTATTGTCTTCTTTGGTGGGTACAATTCGGCAACAATTTGATTGCACTCAAATCTAAGATAATTGATTTAATTGAAGGAAAAATTAATCAGCGCCTTCTACTCAAAATGTTTTTTTAGAAATAGACTTGAGTGTTTTTTTTTCTTTCCACTTGGTTATGCCCATTTATATATCTGAATGTTGTACTGTACTAACCCTTATTAAATATCCATTTGATAGGTGATTCGAGAAAACCAGGTTATTGTTGTTGTTGGAGAAACTGGTTCTGGAAAGACAACTCAACTGACACAGGTACCTTTATTCATATCCTATCATCAAATACTTTCTCCCAAATTTGTGAGATTTATAAGATTGGATGTATATGTATGGTGTACCTCATGATCTGGCGTTCATTATGTGGATTATGTTGTCAGTATCTTCACGAAGATGGGTACACAGTAAACGGTATAGTGGGTTGCACCCAACCAAGGCGTGTGGCAGCCATGAGTGTTGCAAAAAGAGTTAGTGAAGAGATGGAGACGGAGCTTGGTGATAAAGTTGGCTATGCTATTCGTTTTGAGGATGTGACTGGGCCAAAAACCGTAATAAAGGTAACACTTTTGTTTTCTCCTTAAACTGTACTGGCTATCCTGAGTCTTCTCCGTGGGTATTTATTATTTTCATGGTCTTTTTTTCTCCAACTTGGCTACTGTTCTGGATCTCATTTTTCCTAATTTATTTTTATTTTTCGAGGCACAGATTTAGTTTATAGAGAGTTAAAGATTACAGATGGTCTTCACCTTTATATTATTACACGTTAAATCTTTGTTTTCCAATCTTGCAGTACATGACTGATGGAGTACTTCTGCGTGAAACGCTCAGAGATTCTGACCTTGACAAGTACCGGTATGAGAAGTTGCAGAGTTTGAAAAGTCCTTTATCTATGAATTGAACTGGTTATTTACATTTAAAACAAAATCATTTACTGTCAAGTCTTTTTGGCTTTTGCAGTGTAGTTGTGATGGACGAAGCCCATGAAAGGTCACTCAACACAGATGTGCTGTTTGGGATTTTGAAAAAAGTGGTGGCCCAACGTCGTGATTTTAAGCTCATTGTGACATCTGCAACTCTAAATGCTCAGAAATTTTCAAATTTCTTTGGAAGGTAATCTTTAATTCTTTTTACTCATATGTCATCATTTTTGCGTCTACTTGCTCAGCTTGCTCAATTTGCTATTTTGTTGCAGTGTACCAATTTTTCACATTCCTGGGAGAACATTTCCTGTTAATATCTTGTACAGCAAAACCCCGTGCGAAGATTATGTTGAAGGTGCAGTGAAGCAGGCCATGACTATTCACATCACCAGCCCTCCAGGTGACATTCTCATCTTCATGACAGGCCAAGATGAGATTGAGGCAGCCTGTTATGCACTTGCTGAGCGTATGGAACAACTTATTTCATCCTCCAAGAAAGGGGTGCCAAAACTCTTGATACTCCCCATATATTCCCAGTTGCCTGCTGACTTGCAAGCAAAGATATTCCAAAAAGCTGAGGATGGTGCTCGCAAGTGCATTGTAGCAACCAACATTGCTGAGACTTCGTTGACTGTGGATGGAATATTTTACGTTATTGACACTGGGTATGGTAAAATGAAAGTATACAACCCTCGAATGGGTATGGATGCTCTTCAGGTGTTTCCTGTTAGTCGTGCTGCTGCGGATCAGCGTGCTGGGCGTGCTGGTAGAACTGGGCCTGGAACATGCTATCGGTTGTACACAGAGAATGCATATCTAAATGAAATGCTGCCCAGTCCTGTGCCAGAGATTCAGAGGACTAACCTTGGTAATGTGGTGTTGTTGCTCAAGAGTCTTAAGGTCGAGAACCTGCTAGATTTCGATTTCATGGACCCACCTCCCCAGGACAACATTCTCAATTCTATGTACCAGCTGTGGGTCTTAGGCGCTCTTAACAATGTTGGGGGCTTAACTGATCTGGGCTGGAAAATGGTGGAGTTCCCATTGGACCCCCCACTTGCTAAGATGCTATTGATGGGGGAAGAGCTAGGATGCTTGGATGAGGTTTTGACAATTGTGTCCATGCTTTCGGTGCCGTCCGTATTCTTTAGGCCTAAGGATAGGGCAGAAGAGAGTGATGCTGCACGTGAGAAATTCTCCATTCCAGAATCCGACCACTTGACACTGTATAATGTCTACCAGCAGTGGAAACAACATCAGTATCGTGGGGATTGGTGCGGTGATCATTTTTTGCATGTTAAAGGGTTACGAAAGGCTAGAGAGGTGAGGTCCCAGCTGCTAGAGATCCTGAAGACACTGAAAGTCCCTTTAACATCCTGCTGGCCTGATACAGATAATGTGAGAAAAGCTATTTGCTCTGCGTACTTTCACAATTCTGCAAGATTGAAGGGAGTCGGGGAGTATGTGAATTGCCGGACCGGGATGCCTTGCCATTTACATCCGAGCAGTGCTCTTTATGGTATGGGGTGCACTCCGGATTATCTCGTTTATCATGAATTGATTTTGACGGCAAAGGAGTACATGCAGTGTGCCACAGCAGTGGAACCACAGTGGTTGGCTGAGTTGGGGCCTATGTTCTTCTCTGTAAAGGATTCGGATACTTCAATGTTGGAGCACAAGAAGAGACAAAAGGAGGAAAAAACAGCCATGGAGGAGGAAATGGAGAACCTGAGGAAGACTCAAGCAGAGGAGGAGAAAGAAAACAAACGGAAGGAGAAGGAAAAGAGATCCAAGCAGCAGCAGCAAGTCTCGACGCCGGGTTTGCACAGGGGCTCTTCCACATATTTGAGGCCAAAGAAACTTGGCTTGTAAATGTAAATTGTATAGTATATATGATTCAGTGCTAGTTTTCTGGTGGAAAGCAGTTTTGTTATTTGTTAGCCAAAAAAAAAAGATTTTAAAAAATTGTCTTTTTTCATCCCAGATTTATAAATAAAGAGCATAGTTTCCGATTAAATAATGCTTTCTTTGATTGAAAGCGACCGGTGCTCCAAATCCGAACGATTTTACAGTGGGAGGGGAACCAACCACTGCCATAGCCAATGCTTAGCTTTCAAGACCATTCAACGTGTTCACCAGATTCTAGTTGAGCCAAAACCTTTACTTCCGTAATGTACAAAAAGCCAACCAACCAAAACCCCTTAGGATTTTCTTGTCCATATCAATGCAGCAAACAGAAGATGAATTTCAGTGAAGAAAAAGTGTGAGTTTTTCTTTTTCAAGAGATGGGAAATTGTGGTTCGGTTCATAAAACCCAAGACTCTTCCCCTAAGTCAAAACTCAAATGCTCAAGCTTTTCCAGGACAGGATGCATCCTCACTGAACAGCCTATTCAAGAAAACACAATTCGTACCGTGATGCCCGGTGCAAGCAGTTTACGAGAACTAATAAGTATAATTCTACCCACTTGGCTTACTAAATCATGGTTTATTAATTGATTTACACGTATATTAGTGCTAACTAATTTTAGCCTTTCAATGATTAAATTGTTCATGTTCCTGTTAAATGTCACTACTTTGGTAGCTGGAAAATTTCGATTTTGTTTGAGTTTCTCGTTTTGTAAGCAATCTGTGCATGCTTGCTACTCTGTAGATGGCAAAGAGGATATGCAATTTTCTTCTGACCCCAGGTTAGAATCTGATTGTGAAGATTTCTTCAGTGTCAATGGTGGTAAGATATATCAACTTAAATTTGTCACACCAAATTTCTTCTAATGTCCTAAACACATATGATGCTGGAACTTCAGATTTTTCATTTTGTTGCAGATCTTACCCCATCTAGCACCAAAACTCCAATCCACCAAAGCAGCCCCATAAAATCCCCTGCAACTGATGTGAAAAAGCAACTGATTGAATTGTTTCATGAAAGCTTCAATGATGAGGCTGGCCATCAAGATTTACATTATGAGTCGGAAGCAGAATCTTCTATTTTTCACCTGCCACAAAATTCAGCAAACAAAACCCCATATGAATCTGTAGCAGATATAGTTTTCAGAAGCGTGGCGATTTCAAACACAAATTCCGAACCCAGGACAAGAAAAAATACACAGTTTGCACAATGCTGCCTGCCAAAGTTGGTGCGGAGCCTAAGCTTCAGTGAGAGGAAGAAACGCTGAGTGACAAAGAAATCCAGGATGTCAAAATTTTCCATTTATTGCTTAGTTATTTTCGACTTGTTGGCTGAATTGTAAGTCTGGAACAATCTATATAAATGTGTTTATGTGTGAGTTGTATTGTATTTATTAAGAACATCTGTCAAATAGTACAAATTCTGATGCTTTATACTATATCATTGCTTCTGGTGACACTTTTGGTCTATAAAGCTCTCGGATTTTTGACTCATAGGAAAAGAAAGCAATAGATTCAAACACTTCTTGCACAACAAATTTCGACATGGTAATATGTTCATCCAATCACAATGAAACTTAATTAGGATTAACGTTTGATCTTGCATAATGATTACAATAAACGAACTCACCTGAACATTGTACTTGGTCAATGCGATTAGTCCATCTCTATTTTTTTCGAACTTTTTGTTCCCAACTTGCATGGCATGCTTGGACAATCCTATTTATTCCATATATTCTTTCCTAACTTTTTAATATAATATAATAATGTGGTGTGTACACAGTTTCTCAAAATAGTTGAGAAAAAAAAGTAAGTAAAATTGAAATATGTATCATGTTTATAGTGATGGATCTAGAAATGTTTCTTTTTGAGAACAAGATTAAAAAGCTCCCAAACACTTTTTTTAAAAGAAGAAGCCCTACACTACCTAATCATCATAATTAGACAATATAAATCTACTACATCAAATGGAAAATCCCAAGTTTCAAGATTCACATATCTAGAGTAATCTAAATCTATTTGGTAAAAACCCAGATGGATGAGCATGAAGATTCAAAACACATAACCCAGAGCAATCAAAATAAAACCAATTTCAGATAAACCCACAAAGATTAAGAAAATGACCATCAAGACTAAATGCAAGGAACCAAAGCAATCAACAATCAGAGACTTAGAAGACAATCTATTGGAGGTCAGCGATGAAGTTAAGCTTCGAGGTTACAAGTAACTGCGACCTTAGGCAATTCGGAAGAGAGACCTAGAAGATGAGGTTGAAGGGGGTTTCGTGATTCAAATGAGAGGATGAGATGGGTTTCGTGGAGAGAGAGAGAGAGAGAGAGAGAGAGAGAGAGAGAGAGAGAGCTAAGAGGAAAGAGTGTTATGTGGGCAATAAGTAAGTATTTATAGGTTGTATTCGCAAAATGTGTAGGTAAAAGTGGTACTTGCAGATTAAATTTGGATGTGAGTAGCATTGAGCGGTATTTCCCATTATTAAATAGATCAGTGGAGATTCAATTTGTTGCCCCTCATCATCCTTCCATGGATTTGACTCGCCCGTGCATATTAAGACATGTGCACGCTAATTATAAGATAAAGTCTTAAGTATAACTTGGTTACGTAAATATAATCTTATTTTTCTGGTCACATAACTAGTCTCATGAGTCATGACGAGAAAGAGATGCGTAATTGTAAGGAGATAGCATGCAATCGAAATTTGTGCAATTATTATTATTTTTGTCTCAAGCAACCTATGCAATATATATATATATATATATATTTTAGACTAAAAATACAATTTGCGAATTTCGACTAAAAAAATGATATAGTTGAGAAGAAAAAGAAGGAAAATTGAAATATGTGTCGTGCTAATAGTGATGGATTTAGAAATGTTTCTTTTTTGAGAACAAGATTAAAAAGCTGAGTTTTTATAAATAAATTTTTTTTAAAAGTCAAAATTTACTCTTCATTTTCATAAATATCAGTTTTTATAAAAACTTTCAAAAGTAGCCAAAAAGTCACCTAAAAAGACTCAAATGCCCTTAGAACTAAAACCCACTTAAACCTAAAAAGCAAAACTCTATTTGAGACTTGCGGCAGAAGGAGAGAAAACTATGATGGGTTCAGCTGCCCTCAACCATAAAAAAATAAAATAAAAACTAAGATGAACAAAAAATACCAAAATAAAAAATAAAACCTTTTTAAAAAACTATTACAATAAATCATACGGGTTGCAATATAATCATATGTATTCATATTGAAAACTAAAAAATTTGACGCATAAAAACTAAATTAAAAAAACTAACAAATTTGATGGGTCCAGCCGCTCCACTGACGCTTTCTTTCTTTGGTGTTATTGTTGATTTTCAACAACTTTTTTCTTTTCGAAATATATGATGGAGATTTTGACTCATTATGCAACTAATTTCCTACTCATTACAAGATGGATTTCAACATAAGTGGTCTATGTTGTTAAGGAATTAACTTTTGGAGACAAGGGGAAATAAATACTCATATTTTCTGGTGAAATATAGACAAACAATGGGTATTTCATAATCTTTGGAAACTGGGAGGATTGCAAAAGTCAATCTAATAAGCTTTGAGGCAAATACTTGTTGAGCGTTGGTTTGTTAAAATCTTTGTGTGAACTGAGGAAGTCATGTTGCTGTACAAAGCTTGGTGTGGGGGGCCATGGATGTGTTGATGGATTGGCAATCCTCAGGCGAAGTTTTCATTATCGTCATAGTAAGCTAACTTGGTTTGGATTGGCTGCGGGGAGTAATCCAAATTTCAAACTTTAGCAACTCAAGGTACAGAGAAAAAGAATTGCAAATGTTTTTATTCTGAGGGTAATTTTGTCTATTGAAGTGGGTTTTCTACTATATGTGAAAGTTTTTATAAAAACTGACATTTATGAAAGTGGGGGGTAAATTTTAGCTTTTTTTATATATAAAAACTCTAAAAAGCTCCCAAACACTTTTTTAAAAGAAGAAGCCCTACACTAACTAATCATTATAATCAGACAATACAAATCTACTACATCAAATGGAAAATCCAAAGTTTCAAGATTCAAATATTTAGAGCAATCTAAATCCATTTAGTAAAAACCCAAATGGATGAGCATGAAGATTCAAAACACATAACTCAGAGCAATCAAAATAAAACCAATTTTAGAGAAACCCACATAGATTAAGAAAATGACCATGAATACTAAATGCAAGAAACCAAAGCAATCAACAATGAGAGACTTAGAAGACAACCAATTGGAGGTCGGTGAAGGAGTTGAGCTTCGAGGTTGCAAGCAGCTGCAACCTTAGGTAATTCGGAAGAGAGACCTAGAGGATCGGGTCGAGGGGGGTTTCACGATTCATAAGAGAGAGATAAGAGGATGAGACGGGTTTCGTGAAGCGAACGACAGAGAGAGCTAGGAGAGGAAGAGAATTGCGAGAGAGAGAGAGCTTAGAGAGAAAACAAAAACTAAGAAAAAATATTATGCGGGCAATAAGTAAGTATTTATAGGTCGTATTTGCAAAAGGTGTGGGTAAAGGTGATATTTGTAGATTAAGTTTGGATGTGAATGGCATTGAGCGGTATTTCCCATAATTAAATAAATTAATGGAGATTCAATTTGTTGCCCCTCCCTCTTCATCCTTCCATGGATTTGGTCGGCCGTAAAGTCTCAAAGTGTAACTTGGTTACGTAAATGTAATATTACTTTTCTTGTCACATAACTAGTCTCATGAGTCATAACGAGAAAGAGATACATAATTGTACCCAAATAGTAATAGAGAGAATTTTCTCCAAATGAGAGATAGCATGCAATCGAAATGTGTATATGTGCAATTATTATTATTTTTGTCTCAAGCAACCTTTTTTTGGTCGAATTGTCTTAAGCAACCTATGCAATATTTTTTTGTTTTTAGACCAAAAATACAATTGGCAAATTTCGACTAAAAAAATGATATAATAGCACACGTGGCGTAAAGGCAGTATGGAGAAATTGGAGCGAAAACCTTTTCAAAGTCGCAGCGTAGGAAAACAATAAGTCCCAGTATTCGTTCCAAATTCTACGTATATACACTTGGCTCGGCCTCTCAGTCTCAGTCTCAGTCTCAGTCGAGCGTGAAGTCGAAAAGTAATGTCTGCAACTGAAACAAGTGTTCGAAGCAGAGCCAAATCCCACAGAGATGCCGAGGACGACAATGACCGCGACGCCGTTACTCTCCGGCGAACAGAGCCCAATTCGGGGCCGCCTAGAGATAGAAGTAGAAGCCACACTTCAATTGGAAGTTTCAACGTCGACCTCAAGCTCCTGCTAGGGCTTGGCGCGTTTGGGTTCTTCGTCGCCTTGGTTTTTATCTTCAACCTTGTAAATCCTGTTCGAGAAGCTAACAGAGCTAGGGGGCTCGTTAGGCCCTCCCCTGCTTCAGAGCTCATGGACCCCCTTCAGGTATGGCGTCATTCGATTTCTCTTTGCTGATTGCTGTGTGTATATTTTTAGGTCTGAATCTGAGTGTATTTTCGGGGCCGTGGCAGTCTGAAGGTGCGAACAAGGAGAGCTTGTATTGGGGAACATATCGCCCTCGTGTTTATCTCGGAATCCGTTCCAGGTGTTTGATTCTTTGCCATTGCCACCCCAAATTTTTTTTTTTGGGTGGGGGGGGGGGGGGGGGGGGGGGTGGGTGATTAATTTGTGTTCCTTCGTTTTGATTGTTGTAATTGATGATGTGGTGGTAATTACTAATTATAGCCGTTGCACCTTGCAGGACCCCTCGGTCTTTGATTGCCGGGTTAATGTGGATTGGTGGAAAGGATGGGAAAAGTTTCTTGCGCCATGTTCGCAAAGACTCTGATGAGCTGAGCATATACAGTTGGGCACATCATGATGACTACAATTTTGGACATCAAGTCATTGTTGACCATGACATGAACTTGGCCACAAGTTTCTTCAAATCTAAGGGGGAAGACAGTGGCTATGGAGGAGATTGGGTGGTTCGAATCGATGTGCAAAGCCATAAGTATGGCCACAAGTTACTTATTTCTATAACATTTGGTTTATAAATGTATAGGGTATTGGCATTTTTGTTTCCAATAACAATAGATGGCAATTACTTGTGCATAGTTGGCAGAATTAGGCTGCCTTCTTTAGGCACTCACTACTCTTCTCATCATGCTTCATTCACAGATCTAAGGGGAATGAGGAATTTTGGAGAAGTGCGCATCTGTTTTTCTATTTGGCTGATGAAGATGGAAATGCTCTAACTTTAGGTGGTGATAATTTGGGAATTCGTGAGAGCTCTCCCCTTGCATCTGGTTTACGTACGGATGTTGGAAGTTGGCAGCTACATCTAAAATCACTGGTAATATTATGAAGGCATTGTTATTTACCTTATATTTATCTTTGTGTCCAATTGACGGTCAGTTCCACGTGATACATGTTCTTAGTCATTTTTCAGTTGATGTATATTTTTGAAGGCCTTCATACTGATATGTGGCATACTTCTCTGTGTTTCCTTTACAGGATGATGTGGAAGTTCATTATTTCGGTTTTAGGATGCCTCATACTCACAATTTATCTGATATTGTCCAGGAATATCTTGAACCACAAGTATGTAGGATTTTCATGCCATTATTTTGTTATATAGCTAGGAAGAATTTTCAGCTTTTAATATCAGTCATAATTCTTGCCTTGACCACTTGGGGTTTCGCTGCCATGTTTCTAGGTAAGGAAGTTTGGTCCACTGCAGCTACCAGACATTTCTGATAAATCTCCAAATATTCTAGTTTTTCAGGTTCGTTGTCATGGTGGAAAAGAGTACTAGTTATCTGGGAAAACATCTTAGTTGTGTATCATAGGATCGTTAGTCTCATCTCTCAATTTCACATTCTCATCTACCTTCTCCTGTGGTTTCCCGTTCTTATGCAGATTTCTGCTAAGATTCCTTTCAAGACAGATATTGCATTCATATCCGGAACTGATTTGGAAAGTTCAAGAGTAGAAGAACGTGTCAGCAGCCTCACAGGTTCCTCTTCCATTAAATCTTAATAAGTAACAATGATAGAAGCACACGAGATTCCACCGAGTACACAAAAGTATACAAGAAACTCATAAATGTGAAAGAGAAAATTATTTAAAACAAAATAAAGGTAGCTCCAAAAGTTCAAGCTTTATAGTCAGACTTCCAAAGGGATCCTTAGGACTGAATCAGTAACCAATGTTTCACAATGACTTCCATTGTTGAAACCCAAGGTTATTCTGCTAAACCTTACTGATAACTTTGCCTTCAATTTTGGGTTTTGTCAAGAACCAGAAATTACAATTTTTTCTGCTCTTCTTTTATCTCTGTGTGTGTCCATTTCCCAATTTCACGGAAGTGGCTCCCAATTGAGACGTCGTTGCTGCCCTCTTTACTTTTTGTTAGTTTCTCTGTAATATGAAGGTACCTCACTGACCAGTCAACTGATGGAGAAGCAAAGAGAATTTGACACAAAATTCGAGAAGAGCTTTGATCAGCCTGACAAGGTATTTCATCTTCTTAGTATAATGCACCATATATTACAAACCCCATTGCATTTAGCCTGGTCTTTGAATGTGTTGTTGAAATTGAATATCTATATTAGTCACATAGATATTGTGGTGATTTAGGATAACATGGTGAAAAGTCAAGTTTATTTGTCCTACACTTCTATGATGCTAACTGGTTCTGCACCCTTGTGCACGCTGTGAGAACTAATAGATAGCTTTGAAAATACAAGAAGACAATAGAATTGCTGAACTGAACTTGTTATTCATTGACTGAAACTTGCTCTTCTTATAAAGGAGCGTACAAACAACTAATTAGCAAATAAACAGGAACAACTAAGGGTGCTTCTTCCCGAAGCGCTAATGCCAGTAGCGCTTATGCCAGTAACGCTTATGCTAGTAGCGCTTATGACATAAGCGCTTCTACAAAGAAGCAGTTTGTCGTTTGGATGTCACTTTTAAAAGTGCTTTTACACTACATAAAAGCGTTTTTGATATTTTGTTGAGTGTTTGGTTGACACAGTAAAAACACTTTTAAAAGTACTTTAAAAAAAATTTAAAGAATCCCAAAATATTAAACATAGGAAATAAAGATTCACATGATCCCAAAATAAAAACATGACTTAAAAAAGTATGAACTTCACCAAGTATAACTTGTAATCATTTTTTAAAAATTAAAAAGGAATTAACCAGACATAAGAAGATTTGCAATTTTCTCGCATTCGTCAGCCATCTCACGCCCATGGGTTAGATTTTGTTCTTCAATCATCTCTTCCCCTATTGTAACTCCCGCCCCGCCAGAAGGAAGTAGCTCATCATCATCATCATACGGTTGGATTTCTTGATCTGTCATTGAGTGACATCTTATAAAGTTGTGAAGAGCCATTGAAGCAACAACTATTTGTATTTGTTTTTCCGTAGGAAAGTTATGCATCTGTCGTATCATTCTCCAATGATTTTTCCAAACACCAAAAGTTCTTTTGATTGTGCATCTTAAGGAAGAATGCCTGTGGTTAAATATTTTTTTCTTCCCTCTTGGTTGACTTCCACGTCTAAAATCAGGAAGATGATATCGCTCATCCTTATATGGCCCTAACTATCCTTTGATTTGTGGATAGCCGGCATCCACTAGATAATATTTACCTATAACAACAAAGAACAACATGAGCATTATTTACTATATCACAAATTAAAACATATTTGAATTGGAGAAAGAAATATATGTATTTAGTTACCTGTAGGTGGATGAGGAAACTTTAAAATTGGTTTTCGTAAGGCTTCCATGAATATTCGTGCATCGTGAGCAGCACCTTCCCATCCAGCCCACACAAAAGTAAAGCACATATTAAAATCGCATACAACCATAACATTTTGGATAGTGATGCCTTTTCTTCCAATATATGGTACTTGTCTTTCTCTAGGCACGATTACTAGTATATGTGTACCATCAATTGCCCCTATGCAATCTTTGAAATATGGCCAATATCGATCATCAGCTTTGATTTTATCCAGAACTCTCCTAAATTGTGGGTCTTGTGAACTTATGATATCACCAGCCATGTGACAAACAACATCTAAAATTATCCCGAACTACCTTGACAAGTTTTTGCAGAACTAATGGATTATGGATGCTTTTATTTATTTATTTTCCCAGATAGATCAAGCCGCGGACGAGTTTGATAAGCATGCTCCTCCTGGTTTTGCTAAGCAGGTTGTGAGCCAAGCTCTCGGTTTTATCCAGAAAGCATGGGGAAATGCCCAAAGATTTGTAAAGGATGCTCAAAATGGGGACACCCACACGACTATTCATCATGCAGTTACAGAATATAAGCAGTTTCTCTTCAACCAATCTGCGAAGTTGTGGGTCGACCAGTACCCTAAAGTCCAGAGTGTGGCTGAGAAGGCTTCTTCTGCAGCTTCTTACTGGTCCCAGAAATATAACCATGTGGTAAAGGACTTGACACTGAAAGGTTATAACATATCGGGCTACCTACCTTTGGTTCCAATAGATAAGAAGATGACCAAAGCACCTAAGCATGGCGAGGCACGCAAGAAAGGAAATGCAGCTGTGGTTGTCGATCGAGCATCAGTCAGAATCTGATTCGGATTGAAGAAGCCTTTGCTTGTTTGAATTTCTTTTGCTGCTTCTAATTGTCTAGTATTAAGAAACTTTCATATGGCTACGGAATTTGTACAAATTCCAATCCATGAATGATTGTCAATTGTTGATCCTTTACTATATTTAAAAGTGATCATATGTACACAAAAGTGATATATTTAAAATATGTACACACAAGTGATCTTTTATGCATGCACGCATAGGCATCTGCATTCATCTTCCACTATTTTAAATTTTTATTTATTTATGTTTCGTAGTAGAGGTGTGCATTAGTTCAAAACTATAATATAATTTAGTCAATTCGCATCCAATTCAATATAGATTGAATTATGTTTTTTGGAATCCAATCCGATCGGATTGATATTATATTGGACGATCAATTTACATAATGACAAAATGAAACATTTATCATGAGATTTAATTTAATTAAACATTTTATTACATGTAAATGTAAAATATAAATGAAATGCTAGAAAAATTTGTGTTGATTATATAACATATTAAACATAACTCCATAAAATGAATTAAAATGTTCATAATTTTCTCAATTATAATTATATGCACGGGTAAAATAAGCATGAAATTAACTAATTGGATTGAATTTTCACAAGCAAATCCATTATTTGATCTAATAAGATTGTTTTGGAAATTAGGGATCCTCAAGGAAGTTGAGGTTCTACCCTATAACCAATTTGGCCATGAGAGAAATAGCCCAACTCTTTTAAAAGCTCTTGTTGAGTTTTTCAACTTTCCAATGTGTCATCTTCACAATTTTCAACTTCACATTCACATTCCCACATATCTAATTCAATATGCCAAATCATCTAAACTATTTTAAAATTGAATTGGATTTGATCGGTCGATTTGGACGAATTAGATTGGATATTGGACACCCCTATTTCATAATCTTACACACATGCAATTATTATTATTTATTAATATTGTGGAATTTTCCCCTCGGAATTATTAATTATTTTTGGGAGGATTTGAGCAAATAATTGCTTAAATAAAATTATTAATTCTTTTTGGTAGGACTTATGCAAATAATTGCTTACATAAAATTGGGAAATGGTACGAGGAAAAAACAAAAACAAATTGGAAAATGATAGAACCGGACACGTGGCGTAGAGGCCGGTGCAAAGAAATTGGAGCGAAGTTTTTAAAGTCCCCCAAGTATCAAGTATTGGCTCCAATTTAGTGGGCCGAGCACTCGGGCCCATTCATTTCCATCTTCCGGTCTTTGTTCGGTTTAGAGAAGAAGAGAAGAGAGAATAAGCAGACTGAGACTCTCTCAGTCAAGAAGACTCGAGCCGATAACAGTGAGGTCTACAATGGCTGGAGCTGGAAGAAGAAGTGCTCGAAGCAGAGCCAGCTCCTCTAGAGACGAAGACGATGCAAAGCCCAATTTGAGGCCACCCAGAGGTAGAGGTAGAAATCATACTTCAATTGGAACTTTCAACGTCGATCTCAGAGTCCTGCTAGGGCTTAGCGTGATCGCCTTCTTCGCCATCTTGTTTTTGATCTATAACCTCATCAACCCCATCGAACAAGCTCAGACGCCTAGGGTTGTTACGCCCTTCCCTGCTCCAAAGCTCATGGACCTTCCTCAGGTATAGTGTGATTCGATTTTTTACTTGTTGATTGTTGCGTGTATTTTCTGAGGTGATCATGCTTTTTTCCGGGTTGTGGCAGTTTCAAGGTGAGCACAAGGAGAGCTTGTATTGGGGAACATATCGGCCTAACGTTTATCTCGGAATCCGCGCCAGGTGTGTACTTGCCATTGCCTAACATATTGTTTTTTGTTGATGTTCTTGTGTAAATTTATGTCCGTTAATTGTGATTTTTGTAATCCGTTGTGTATTTTCAGGTATTTTGAGCATAAATTTATGTTGTACAGTAAACTTTGTTATTCAAGTCACTAAAACTGGGCACTTGCTCACATTGTTAATCAACATCTGTTTCCCGATATGCTTGATCTTTCACCTTATATCATTTCATTATATTCACATATGCTTCATTTTGTTCCTTTATGCATTTACACTTAAAGGATTGCAAATGATGTTGTGGTGGTAATTATAGCTGTTGCACCTGGCAGGACTCCTCGATCTTTGATAGCCGGGTTAATGTGGATTAGTATAAAGGATGGGAGATATGTCATGCGGCATGTTTGCCAAGATTCTGATGAATTGAGCAAATATGGTTGGGAACAACATGATGGGCGCAATTTTGGACATCAAGTCATTGTTGACCTGGACATGATCTTGGCCACAAGTTTCTTGAAATCCAAGGGGGAAGACAGTGGCTATGGAGGAGATTGGGCAGTTCGAATTGATGTGCAGAACCACAAGTAAATAGCCTGACTTAATTCTGTAACTTTTGCTTTATCAAAATGCATAGGGTATATGCAAAGTGTGAGGGGGGTTGAGCATTGAATGGAAGGTGTGAGGACTATACATACAAGTATACTGATATAATGAAGAGCAACCTTTAGATTTTCTCTTCATTTCTTTATTGAAGCGTTGGGACCCTTCCCATGTGGGGGAAAGGCGGATGGCAATTTTGTTTCTAACTATAGCATTGAATTTCCCAGGCATACTTTATTCATGTACATTGCATCATGGAACTGACAGAATTAGGCTATCTTATTTAGCCAAACAGTATTCATGAATCTGTTATTGACTCTTTTCATCATGCTTCTTTCACAGATCTAAGGGGAATGAGGAACTTTCGACAAGTGCACATCTCTTTTTCTATTTGGCTGATGAAGATGGAAATGCTCTAAATATAGGTGGAGATACCTTGGGGATTCATGAGAACTCTCTCCTCGCCTCTGGTTCACGTATGGACATTGGAAGTTGGCAGCTACATCTAAAATCACTGGTAATGTTATGGTGAAGATAAAAAATGTTTCTTTATTTTGAATGAAAATGTCATATGATGAGGAAACTGGGAAATATATTTTCATGAACCTCAAATATTCTTGGTCTACCTCCTTAACTTAAGAACCGTTGGTGCCGTAGATTATCATGGTCTTTGTGGTATTCATGTTAAATATTAGCTAAAACTAATGAATTACTGAACAGTTCATCACATTTGTGGATGAAATCATATGCTCGCTTACATCCAAGTATTTATGCCAAAATTTTACCTCATGTCTGTATGAAAATTCAGTGTCAGTTCCGTTCAATCCACATTCTTAATCAATTTTCAGTTAATGTATATTGTTGAAGGCCTCCAGTACTAATCGGTGACATGCTTCTCTGTGTTTCTTTCCAGGATGATTTGGAAGTTCATTATGCCGGTTTTAAGACGCCTCATATTCACAACTTATCTAATCTTGTCCAGGAAAATCTTGGACTACAAGTATGTCAGATTTCCTTGACATCATTTTATTATATATCTAGACAAAATATCCAGATTTATAATATCTATCACAAATCTTGCCTTGACTGCCTGGGATTTCTCTTCCATGTTTCTAGGTTAGGAAGTTTGGTCGACTGCAGCTACCTGACACATCTGATGATTCTCCAAATATTCTAGTTTTTCAGGTATATACTCATGGTGGTAAAGAGTACTGGATAATTATTTGGGAAATATCATAGTAGTTTACCTAATCATTGTGTCATTATGTTTCACTCTTCATTTTATCTTTCTCATCTGCCTTCTTCTGTGGTTTCCCATTCTTATGCAGATTTCTGCTAGGACTCCCTTCAGGACAGATGTTGCATTCATATCTGGAACTGGCTTGGAAAGTCCAAGACTAGAAGAACGTGTCGGCAGCCTTACAGGTTCCTCTTCCATTTAATCTTGATAAGTAACAATGATAGAAGCACAGAGGGGTTCCACTGAGTACAAAATAGTATATAAGAGAAACTCGGAAAATGTGAGAAACATTCTTTCAAAAGAAATTAAAGCTAGCTCCAGAACTTAAGTTCCATAGTCAGGCTTCCATTAAGGGATCATTAGGACTGAATCATTGTTGAACCCAAGGTTATTCTGCTAAGGCTTAAAGCTATTCTTTCCTTCAATTTGGGTTTTGTCAAGGACCAGAAATTAGAATCTTAATTTCTTCTATTCTTTAATCTCTGTGTCTGTGTTACTCTATAATCAAGGTACCCCACTGACCAGTCAACTGAAGGAGAAGCAAAGGGAATTTGACACAAAATTTGGGAAGAGCTTTAATCTGGTTGACAAGGTATTTTGGAAATCAGCTTCCGAGGATAACGCATTTTGTTACAAACTAATGCATTGGGCTTGCTATTTGAATGTCTTGTTCAAAGAGAAATGTTTATACGAAGTCACACAATTACGTGAAATTACATGAGTACTGTTCTATGATATTCTTCTGATTTTGGATGACATGGTGAAAAAAATTATGCCAATTCAGCTAGGTACTCTAATCTGATGAGCTAGTCCATCATTTTGAATACTCTATTGAATCTCTTTGTGTGATATTTGGGACATATCGAAGTCTTCACTGTATTTTGGCCACACAGAAAAAAGGCCTTTATTGCATTGATGCCTTCCCACATCCTCTAGCTTCATGATACTTATAATGATTTCTGGATTTGAATTTTAGTTTTGACAATCCCATGTCTTGCATGTCAGCATGACAGTTGAAGCTGATGTTCTATATATGCGGTTACAAACACTGAATTTAAATTTTTTTCCCAAACTGAGATAGTTATGTGCATCAGAGTTTCACTTAAGCTGATTAAATATTATTGGCAACAAATGACTTCTGAACTCATGTTATTATGCTTTCAGCTTGATTCTGAATCTATTGTTGCTGGTAAAGCTGCTATAGGAAACTTGTTGGGTGGCATTGGCTACTTCTTCGGACAGTCAAAAATAGCCATATCTGGGAATATGAATGTAAGTTGTTGGTTACTTCAATGGGCTACCTGTCCTTCTTTCAATACTTTTTATTTTTCCTCTGTTTTCAAATTTTGTTTTTTTACAAACGAATTGACTTCAATTTCCATATTTCCTCCTTTGTTTTCATAATTAGGGAAAATAAGATCTCTTAGAGCATGTCATATGGCTAGTTGCATGATCACCCAAAAGCAGATGCTAATGATTCCTGCTTAACTTAGTGAAATCCATCTATTTTGCTTCCAAATAAGAGAAAGTGCAAGAATCACAACCAGGATGTTCGTAAGATAGGATGTGATATCAATGGGGTTCGTTCACAATAAGTGTTATCTGAGTGGGCTTTGATAGAGCAGTTAATTTACAGTGACCAAATTTGTGAGAATCTTTGGCTGTATCAGTTAAATTTTGTACTTATTTGAAAGAATAGTTATTTTTTATACTTATTAATCACATCAATGTGGACATCTGACAAAATCATACAGTTCGCCATTTCCTCTTGCAGCCGGGAAATCATGATGATTCTATTTTATATTGGCCTGCCGAGCTATATACAGCTGTTCCAAGTCGGCCCTTCTTTCCAAGGGGATTTTTGTGGGATGAAGGCTTTCATCAGCTTTTGGTCTGGTGAGTTGCCTCATGCTTTTCAGTCTGCATGTTACTCCCATTTTGACCTAATTCCAGCTGCTGCCTCTGCAATTTCTGGAAGAAAAAAAATTAATATATGAAGTTAAATACCTTATGTTAGTGTCCTATCTAACTACTATTGGAAAATGGCAACTCTTTCAAATATGTATCTTCAATGTCGAGCAGGCGTTGGGATATCCATATTTCCTTGGACATCATAGGACACTGGTTAGATCTGATGAATATTGATGGATGGATTCCACGTGAGCAAATTTTAGGTGCTGAAGCTCTAAGGTGATATTCTTGTTCAAATATGTGTATAAGTTCAGGTCTTAGATTTTGTAAATGGAAATAGTATGTAAGCTTTTTCTGGTGTACTTGCAGTAAAGTCCCCAGTGATTATGTTGTTCAGATTCCAACAAATGGAAATCCACCAGCTCTACTTTTAGCGTTAAATGGTAAGTGAGTGTTTTTTTTAATCTTTCTATTAAACTTTCTGTCCGTGGAAATATAGTTTTTGGTGTGACTCTTATATGCTAAGAAAATATTATTTTGTTATCTGTGTCCCCATATATTTGACTTTAGAGACTTTTCAAGAAAACAATATGATGTGAGACATCATTGTTAGAATTAGAATTTTGACGACCTAGTTTCTTCCCATATCCCTTAGAATGTATGTTGCCTACTTGAAAATTATGTTGGCTAGCTGAAAGTTTGCTTCTGACAGACCTAGTTCGTGGCTTAAAGAAAAACAAGTTTACTGCTGCTGAAAGCGATGCGATCTCTTCATTCCTAGAACGAGCTTTTGTTCGCCTAGAAGCATGGTTTCAATGGTTCAACACTACCCAGTCAGGTATATAAGGGTTTTGTCACTCTTTAGTCTCTGCCATGGATTTTTCTTTATAGGCAGGATTGTGAGACATGAGTTTATGGTCTGTTATTCTACTCAAGGGCACATATGTGGTAATTCATTACTGAGTATGTGCTTTTATGTCTGTTATAACTCATTACTAGAGTCAATTTTCCTTTTTGACAATTGGAACTTTTTATTTATTTGGAGTATGATTCTATGAACACAGGGAAGGAAGTTGGCAGCTACTACTGGCATGGGAGAGACCACACAACAACTAGGGAACTAAACCCAAAGGTTCTGTTTTATCGAAATTCTTACTCTGTTAAGGACTTGATATTCAACAAGATTTGTTTCTCCTTTTGTTTTAAATATTAGCAAGAATGTGGTATTATTTTGGGAATGATATGCCATAGTTGCTCAATTTCGGATCTAATTAGGAGAACCTTCCTGTTTAAAGACACTGGTAGTAAACATAGATTTTATTTTGGCATCTCCAGACGCTGACTTCTGGATTGGATGATTATCCACGTGCTTCTCACCCGAGTGAGGATGAACGCCATGTAGATCTTAGATGCTGGATGCTACTTGCAGCAGATTGCATGCATTCCATTGCAGAGCTGTTTGAGAAGGAAAATAAATCTGGAAAGGTATGTGAGTGAAACAAGTACATTTGGAAACACTACTGGGATATTCCAGTTATTTAATATTTAAAAATGATGCAGGAATACGGTAATACGGTTAAGTTACTCTCGGATTTTGAAATTCTGAATCAGGTTAGTTTTTTGTTATCATATTTAAAGTTCGTTGTTATATATTCACCCTGACACATTTGACTGCAATATGCATTTCTTTCTTGGGGGGGTGGTGGGGGGATTGGAAAGGCATTTATTATCATGTTCAATAAGTAAATGTGCTCAGTTAATTACTATTTAGTTTATTGTTTTTATGTCTTATATTTGTTTTCAATGTTTCAACAGATGCACTATGATGATGCATATGGAACTTATCTTGATTTTGGAAATCATACGGAAAAGGTAAGCTGCTTGCTGGTAATCAATATAATCCCTTTTTTCTTCTCTTCTGTGATGTTTTCACAAGCATTAATTGCACGTAGTATGATTCTACTTAATATCTTGATATAAGAACAAGAGTCAAAACTGCCCATAAGTGAATAAAGATGATTTGTTTTGGGACTACAAATTTCTTATAGCATCCTAGCATGTGCTGTCATGTCATAATAGGTTTAGATAAATTATGTCGCCCAATAGATGGTTTGGTAGCCTGCTGGGTCTAATGTCCATTGCATAAATGTTTCCAGGTGGATAGCCTTTTTGCTTTTCAATATTTACAATATTTGCATGTTAATAATATTGGGCGTTGATTTGATCATACTAGGTTCGTTTAGTTTGGAAAGAAACGACGGTAGGACACAATTATGCAACTCGAGAGCTTGTGAGGGAAGTATTAGAAAGCCCCAAATTGAGACTGGTTCCTCATATCGGCCCTGTTAGTCTTTTCCCCTTCATTGCAAGGATTATTCCAGCAGTAAGTAGTGTCATCTGGTTGCAAAAATAATATTTTTGCCAATTATATCCTTTAAGTATAGATTTCTCATGTTTACAAATCGCACAGGATTCAAGGATTTTGGAAAAACAGCTAGACCTTATATCAAACCGTAGTATCTTATGGACGAAGTTTGGACTCCGCTCTCTTGCCAAAACAAGGTGATCATGCAAAAAGATAATGTTAAATTTACTGGTGTTCTTGGTAGAATTCATTTTCTCTGACTTTTGAAGCCGTGTGAAGTCTAAAGCACTAAATATTTCATCTTTTATATGACAGTTCCTTGTACATGAAATACAATACAGAACATGATGCTCCCTATTGGAGGGGTCCAATATGGATGAACATGAATTACATGATTCTTTCATCACTCCATCATTACTCTAGAGGTACGTTCCCTAACCCCTCACCCAACTGATAATAGAAAAAGAATCATCCTGCAAGCTTTATCCCTTCTTTTATTACTGTCTTATTGCTTGAATTTTCTTCTTGTTTGAATTGTTCCAGTGGATGGGCCATATAGGGAAAAAACGAGAACCATCTACGAAGACTTGAGAGGCAATTTGATTAGGTATTGTGGACATTTTCTACCCATTTGATGCCTATTGATTTGCATTTGCTCATGCTTAGTCTATTATATTTGATGGATTTAAATGCCTTTCCCCTGTGCTGCAGAAATGTGGTTCAGAATTATCATAAAAATGGGTTCTTCCGGGAACAATATGATCAGAGGAATGGCAAGGGAAAAGGTGCCCGCGTATTTAATGGCTGGACATCTCTTGTGTTATTAATCATGGCAGAAGCTTACCCTAGCTAGCTAAAGGACATCGTAGAAAAAATCCATAGGGGAAAGAAAATGAAATTTAGGAAAATGCTCTAGTTATAGTTTATCAATGAGACAGACCTGCAAGCGTTGTATTATTTGAAATTTTCTAGATTCTATTGTGGGAAAATGCTCTTATAAAAGAATGCAAATGTAAAACAATCCCCGTTTTTCTTTTGTCAATTATCCGGGTGGGGCAATAAAGCGAAGAGGACTCTTGAATGGTTCGGCATGTAAAGACCAATGGACTTCATAAGAGGCCCGCAACTGTACCTGGGCCCATGTTCAGACCAATGGTCATGCCAGGCCCTTAAGGAGTCCATAAGGAGCTCAATTGGAGGCCCATTACTGGACCATTAGTCATGCCAAGCCATAACCAGACTCATGGTCATTCAAGGCCCAATTCAGACCCAATGTAGGCCCATTTATAGATCTAATACAGGCTTATATAGGACCAACGAAGGACCATATAGGCCCAAAGCAGGGCCAATCCCGTAAATGGTGCACATACTTTTCTGTTTCTTTTTTCATTAAGTTCTTTGGTGGCAGTGCAAGTAGATCCTAAAGAGTCAATATTCATTGCAAAAGATGCAAGTACATAAATGAGTTCCATCTCTCTGATCATCCAAAATGATTTCCAGAATTCCACTCAAAACTACCCTGCCGCTGGTTACCAAATTAAACGCAAAAATTACAGTTGACAAAACAACTGTCATTTTGCCGCCTTAGCTCATAATCATATTCTCTGTTGTTTCTGTCTCCTCAGCCATAATAATCTCCATGTCCCTAATGTCGCGCTTCAAAACATTGCCAAGTCTTGCAATGGCTTCTGTCTGCTGTTGTAAGACCTGTCCCACAAAAATGAACATTCAGTTAACCAATCTCACATATCATAAAATAGAAGCTGACATAAAATAGACGGTTACTCGCAGAAGCTGACATAAAATAGAAGTTTTTGAAACTAGTCCACTCTCACCTCTTGCATATCAGCAAGACTCTGTTCATGTATTTTGGTTGATCCTGGAAGACAGACTAAACCACCAGCACCAATAGCATTTTCTTGGACACGGGATATCGTTACCAGGTTTTGTACCCTCCTAGATAACTCAGCTCCTGATCCTTTCAACTGGAAATCCAACTGCTTGTTAGTATCCTCACCTAATGACAAACGGGGAGTAGGATGCATAGAAGGGATAAAGGGCAAGAGAAAAAGAACCTGTCTAGTAATTGCAGCTAACTTCTCAGCCAATTCTGCTTCACCTTTCATTAAAGGCAGCCGAAAACCCTTGCCCTCAAGTGCCTCCAGTAGTCTCATCACCTTTTGGAATAGCACAAGGACATTCAAAAAAGTCAAAACACTTGCAGAGATACAAAATGCATAAACTACCCACACAATAATGATTTAAACCCGTGAAACAGACACCTATTTCAGGTCCAACCCATACAACTGACAACAACTAGATGTTTGTTACAAGGCCAAATTGCAATGAAGCTATTTTAGTCTAAGCCAACTTAAAAACCAGAGGGGCAACAAAGAAGTACAATGAGTGTCAACCTTAATTTACAAACTCAATTCTTAAATATTTTGCAGAAACTGTACCCACCCTCAAAAGGCGCCTTTGAAGACCTTGTTCTTTTTGTCTCATTCTTTCGATCCAAGGAAGGGTGTCAGCTTGAAAATGCCTTTGAAGCTGCAAATGACAGAGGACATGAAAACTATTTGCAAATTTATATGATAAAAGTAGATGAACGTATGAGCTAAAAAGATACCATCTTGACATTGCTTTGGGTCATTTGCAATCTCTCAGCATCTGAAAGAAGGACTTCATCTTGGAGCTGCATCAGCTCATTTTGACAACATCAGACTTCAGTAAATGATGACAAGAAGTACAGGTGCAAAATCCTCAAAACTGATCACTTTTATTTTATTATCATAATTTCTTCATGCAAATAAATATTGATCAATCAAAGTAAAACAAATAGCTTTTAATCATTAAGTTCTCCAAATATATATGTTTCTGTCGCCATGCAAGACCAAAAGATTTCATTTGCCTTTTCCCCGTCTTATGAGCTATCAACACATAGTTATTGCAACTGCATTGATTCCTAAACGTTTTTGTTCTACTTAAACCATATATTTTTAGGAAAGGAAATTCTACTCAAACCATATTAACTCAATACTTGAGTCATGGAAGTGATCCAACTATAGGCACGTAATTTGACAGAAAACTTTTTGTGACGGCAACTCTGGTTGGTAACCAACAAATTTTTAAATTTTTATCCGAAATTTCAGTCAGTAAATGCCATAACAGAACCCCAGCACTGTAACATCTTCACAAAAATTGGCATTCATGAACACCAACCAGTGAATTTGTTACTAAAAAAACTCAAAACATTACTAAAAAGCACTCTTTCCAAGTATCAACAACAAAAACAACACGCAAAAATACTCCCAATAATATCTCTAAGCTTCAAACTAACAACAATTACCTTCAAGCGTTGCGAAAGATCTTTAAAACCCTGAACAAGCTGAGGCCACAGGCGTTCCCTGTCAGTACTTTCCAGACCTTCAAGCTTCCCCATAGCCTCTGCCCACATTATCTGACAATGCAAACTATTCTCCAAACTTAGCCGAAATAAAAAGATTAACAAAAAAACAGATAATAGCACTAACAATTAGGAAATAAAAATGGAAACAATAAACTCACATCTGATACACCAGCAGGCTTCACCCTGAACTGCGGATCAGTTACGCTAAACAGCAAATGCTGCAAAAATCAAGACAGTCAATCATTCCTCACATGAATCTCCGAAACTAGGCTGCTTAAAACCAATGGGAAGATAAGAAGCTGGGATTTTACTCAAACATGAACTTCACCATTCAGTTCCTTCTTAAACAAGCATAATTTCACAACCTTACTTTCATTATTTTATCAGTTTTCCCACAAATGAAACAGACAAGCATGTAGATCGGGGCGGGAAACCACTGCATTCGAAAATCTAACAAACTGAACAAAGAAAGACAAGAAAAACAAACCTTAAAGCATATTTAGGGTTTCCAGGCTCATCCTTGTAAGCGTCAACAATTGCCTGGCGCAGAAAATCAAAAACGTCAAATCAAAACATATCGAGAGAGCTAGGGTTAGGGATTTGAAGTGAAAAAACAAAAGGTAAAAGGAAAACCTTACTTGAATATCGCGATCGGCAAGAGAGAAGGGGAGAGGAGCAACAGGAGCCATCTGAGTAGTCAATTGAGAATTAGGGAAGGGAGTCGGCTGTTGTGGCGTAGTGAACGGACTCTGAAACCCAAAGCCACCAACAGACTGAGGTTGTTGAAACGACGGCGTCTGCTGTTGTTGCTGTTGAGTTTGAGAAGAGAATGGAGTGGCGAAGAAGGAGCCGCCGAAGCCACCAGTGGAAAATGAAGACGACGACGGAGTTCCAAAGGCTGGGGTCGAAGGAGTGAAGAAGCTTGGGGTTGACGACGGCGTCCCGAAGGCCGGGTTTGACGACGGCGTCCCGAAGGCCGGGTTTGACGACGGCGTCCCGAAGGCCGGGGTTGACGACGGCGTCCCGAAGGCCGAGGTTGATGACGGCGTTCCGAAGACTGAGGTTGACGATGACAGGCCGAAAGGAGAAGAGGAAGCTTGAGCTCCGAACATTGTCGCTGCTGAAATTCTGCTCTCGTGGTTGAACGCAGAGACAGACTAGAGAGTGTGGACTGGATTTGTGAATTGTTAGATGCAGCTCAGCTGTTCGACGTTTTGCTTGCGTTTCTGTTTGGGTAGAGCGCCAGCGCGCAATGAGCAGTGTGCGCCTTTTTTTCCCCTCCTTCACATTACTCGAAAGAACATTTATTTTTTCGCGTGATTGTGAAAAGAATAAATTCATAATTTTGATGTTTTTTTTTTCTGTTAAAATAATTTTGAGGTACCAGTTTAAGTGAGTTAGGACAATTATTACTAGCAGAAATTTAGCAATGCTACATGAGCTTATCACCATCTTCTGAACTATCAATTTGTCTTTTTAATTTTCAATTTGGCCCTAATCTTTTAATTTATTCCTTTTTATTTTTTTGGGTGTCAAAGTGTCAATTTATTCCCAATCATCAAATTTATCACATTTTTCGTTAATTTTCTTAATTTTTTTTTATAGTATAAGTCATAGTCTAAACTATCAGAGATGAAGATTTCTCACACACACAACTACGATGCCATGAGGATTTGAATATAAGACCTCTAATCTGCAAGTCAAGCCCTTTTTCATTAGGCTAAACCTTATTGTAGGAAAATAACTCATAATTTGAAAATATACAGGTCAAATTGATATGTATTAAAAGATTAAGAGAGAACCAAAACCAAATTGAAAGTTCATGGGTATTGCTACAAATTTCTCTTATTCCAAATATTTCAAATGGCTTCTCGGAGTTTTTTTTTAATAAAGAAAATTACATGGGGAGAGACTTTGAACATGTAACTTGTAAGCTTTCACTGTTGGGAAGAAGATTAGTAAATTAAAAGGTAAACAGGGGACAATTTTTAACGTGGGCCAAAGAGCCAACTCACAAGTTATATCAATGGTTTGAAGCATCGAGTTTTGATGTCGCAAAGATTCCAAACAATTTTAGGACAAATTCAAATGGAATCACGCCTGCTAATAATTCATAATGCGTTTATAATGTCGCAAAGATTCCAAACAATTTTAGGACAAATTCAAATGGAATCACGCCTGCTAATAATTCATAATGCGTTTATAAACTGAACTGAATTTGACATGAGCATGGAAGGAGAGTTGATAAAGGAATTGAAAGAGTTACTCCGTCATTTCATATTCGTATCCTTGCAACACCAATCTCGTACATGTAATTTTGTAACTCGCCAATTAGACAAATTTGCTTTATCTTGTAATGAGATATGTTACTGGATAGAAGAGGGGCCTAGCTGGCTTCACTCTTACCTTCAGGATGATTTTCGTTCTTTACATTCTATTGATGAAAGTCTTTGGCCTTTGGCCTTTAATCAGAAAAAAATAAAATAACTTATTGATTTATGATTAATTACAATTTTTATGCAACCACATATTTTAGCAAACTGGAGGTCCCACTTTTTGAAGCAGGCAGGCACTGCATACGTGCAAAGAAGATAAATCCCAGAAGAACATAAACAAATGCAAGGAAGTTAATTGATAAAAGATAGCAGTCCCAAACCAGACTTGACTGACTTTTAGGCAATGCAAGAAGTTCAGAACGAACACTAATTGTTATTGCTAGTCCTAATCCAGGCAAACAGAACAAGCACAATTATCAGTAATTATTTAAAATCCTAATCCAATCAATGCAAGAAGTTCACCAACTTTTTTTTCTAGTCTCTTACGAAGGTTCTCTAACTTTCGGGCACATGTTTCACACCTTGATCGTAACACAGCAGAAGCATGGACCAGACGGCTTTACCTCAGAAGTCTGCCACTCTGATCCTGGGGTTGCATTTGGATCATACAACAAAGTACGGTACCCAGGTTCCTCCTCAAGTGAAAATAGCAGAAGTTTCTCACCTAGTATCCCAAACCGGAACTTTATACTTGTGCTTCCAGTCAATGGGATCTGTACCATCTCCCATGAATTGTCCTCTGGATTGTAAATTGAAAGCTTCCGCTGGTTCTTCCACTCCAAACAGAATAGCTTCTTTTCCAGCACAGCGTGAGCAGTGACCATGACACAACCATTCTTCATCTCACACCAAGTGTGCTTCTCGGGGTCGTAGACATCAACAAACTTTGAATTTCCAATAGTGAAGCTTGACCTTCCGCCCATAACATACAGCTTTCCTTCAAATCCACAGGCAAAGCAACCATATCGTGGGCGGCGAAGACTCTCAATCAGGGTCCAAGTATCAGTGTCAGGATTGTACACCTCGGCACTAGAGAGACTGCTCCCATCTATACCAAATCCTCCAACTGCGTAGATCATTCCACTCACTTCTGCACAAGCAAAGTCATGTCGAGCCACATTCAGGCTTGCTAATTTTCCCCACCTACAATTACAATCATATATGTCAACAACAAAAATGGCATAAAGGTGATTAAGAAAAGATTGGATTATTATGAGCTTAAGCTGAACGAGCAAATCACAGAGAAAAATACCTGTTGAGGCAAGAATCATATTGGTAAACATCTTCTGATGCAACACTGGTCCCGCTGGTCACAGAATATCCACCAATGACAAGAAGCTTTCCACTGAGAACTACCACCCCAAACCCATATCCCATTGGACCAGGCATTGAAGGAAGAATATGGTGCTTGCGTCCGAGGCAATCTAAAACCTCCCAGTGGCTTGGCTTTCCTTGAGAATCTGTTGTTAACACATAGAGCCACTCCTCAAGAACCCCAGCTAGTTGTCGCACAGTGATAAGTTCTTTGCTTTGAATAAAATGCCTCCATTTCTTACACACACCACTCATAACAGGGAAGTTGGAACGAGGAACAAGAGCAAGGCAATGTTTTGCTATGTCATCTGGCAGTCCCGGTAGAATGGGGCTGTCAAAATCATCTACGACTAGAGAAGTCAAACTACGATAGCTTTTTGAACGAATTGGTGTATCTTGCATGACCAAATTGGATAAACACATGTTTGGTTCTCTGAATCTCTTATTTTCACTCACAAAACCCGGCATTCTTTAGATTGAGAAACTATGCACGTCAAAAGAGATGCAGGTTATCTTGGTATGAAAGTTAGGTATCACCCAAAAATGCCTATACTTTATGATAGCAGACATTTGTTTAAAGGAATTCGTGATATCCGTCACCTATAGGGATTTTACAAGACCAAGGCATAAAGGATGTTGCAGAACGCATCACATGAGCAGTATAAGCTGGCAATTTCCTGTGTTTTGTCCAGTCGGATTCAAATTCCATAACAAAAGTTCTGCTCCCAAAGTAGTTGCTCCCTAATTTATATCTTCCCCCACGCATTGCCCAAGTATCTGCATATTGCAGTGCAAAATTAGTGCCGCCTCCTCTCAAGAATAGGAACAAGAAGTAATAAACATTTCATCTGTAGTCGTGGAGTAAGATAGGTTGAAGAAATCATACCAGTCAAGGCCATAAACTTGGCAGGTTTTAGCCCCCAGTTACTTCCATGTATCCAGGACAGGTTGATAATCACCTGAATAAATCATAAATGCAGACGAAAATTCAATTCAAAGATTACCATAACATAATTTTAGCACTTCAAAAAAATAAGGCATTGATCCAGATAGCAGCAACCGAAATTCAATAAAACACACCATACTCAAATTCCATTTGAGCATCACTTTCAGGCGGAAGTGTCCTACATATTTGTGCACACCATTATAGAATAAAAATAAGCAGAAAATACCTTTAAAGGGTTAAACTTCTGAGAGGATATATCATAAATGACCCATTCACCACAGAAACAAAGAGAAAAACATGACAGGCTGATACGATCATACAAGTGATGAAAAGATCAACCACCGGTCTTCGTAGTCAAGACCAGCAGCACAACTATTTGGGAAGGGCCAAGGGAGAAACCTACCCACTTTGTTTAGCTACTTTGATTTCTTTTCTTTAACTTAAATTTTCTCTTTTTAATAGGAAAAAAAGGGTAGTAGCTAGACCAGATCTAATATCCTTCCCCAGAAACAACAAAAATGGAGCTCAGATAACTAGATCTAATAACAATTAAATTATCATGGGGTGACATATTGGAAAATTTTAATCCAGTCAAAGTAGAAACCATCAATTGAGAACTTGAAATGTGAGCACATATGCAAGAATTTCAGCTCTTCAGCTCATGGCAGCTAAAACAGCTCTGATAACAACAAATTCCGAATGAAATCTGAATAAACAAATCACCAACATGTTGAACCAATCAGAATCAAATCTACGTTCATTTGGGTTAGCTAAGCTAAGCTGCTAATAGTGAAACAAGCATAATCCATGCATAAATAAAAGCATAAATTGATGAGCTTGTTCATTACAAGACAAACAGAAGGAAAAAAGAAAATGGATGCTGAACCTGATCAGGAAATGTTGAGGATCTCATGTGAAAGAAAAGCCTATAAATTAGAAAAGCAAAGCATACCAAATCTAAGATTAACAGAGATGACAGTGGAGATTACCTGAAAAAGAGGAGATTATTCACAAAGGTGTGTTAGAATTTGGAGTGAGAATTTTATAGGTGGATAAAAATAGGGTGATGGGAATTAGGGAGGGTGAGGTAGATGTGGGAAAGGAAGATGAGGATTTATAGGACCCGAAATACAAGGGAGGAGGAGGAAGTAGGATAAAACTGACAACGAACCCCGACCACGTCAGAATGAAATTTCCCTCACAACTGGTAAGGGAAAGAGACGACCTTGCTTGTGTTCCCGAAATAAAGGGAAAAATAATATGTTTTTTATTTCTCGTGTTATCTTTTTTATTTATCTTTTATTTGATTGTCTGGAATAGATAAATGGGATATTTCTAACATGTATATGCTCGGACTGTAATTTCTGTGTGCACTATCTCAGCGGAGCAATGGGGCTTCTTCTCTTGCCCCGAATGTCAACGTGTCAGTCAGATAAGTGATGAACGAGTTTATAAACGGAAAATACTTCATCCTTGTTAGTTAAGTAAGAGTTCCTACATTCATACTAATAGCAGTGTAATACAGTGTGTAAAATTTTTTTCTTTAATGTTTTTGATGTATTAGTGTTGTATATGTGTCAAATTATAATTCGCAGAAAGAATAAATATCTTCTTACAAATAAAGAGGCAAGTAATATTCTTCATAAATTGATTTTTCTTTATATTTCTTGTTTTGTTTCCTTTTTGGTGAAATTTTGTTGCAGAGGATAATACCGTTGGGACATAATGGGAAGATTGGACAGTTAAGATCAAGAGGATAGATGGGGCATTGGGAAATTCAACCTCACCAATTGATGACATTTTGGATGTCTGCAAAGTTTAAGAGGATCAACTGGTTTTGGATTCACTGGCCAATAAATAAATAAATAATATAACAGAATTTTCCTAACATTAAAATTAAAATGTGTTCCAAATTAAATCAACTCAAATCCATTATTGAGCTAATTTTATCAAATTCAAATATAGTATCTTTCCAACATGCATGCATGACACATAATATGACCACACTATATCATATCATATCATATCATATCTCATCACGTGTGAACTCTGTGTCATATAAATAGTGAGGAAAATGTTGATAATTCATCAAGTTCATGTACTTCAACGAGGGGAATTTAAGCAAGTTGACGGATATTTTCATTGGCCGGTGAGTCCAAAGCAGCACTTTGGTAATTTAAAAGGTCGCCACGTTAATATACCGTTCTCTGTTTGGTAAAACTGGTCATGTTCTTTTAGAAATCAAATTCGGATATCATTTCTTCACCTTCAATTACAAGCATACTATTATTAGAGCTCATTTGATAACCATTTCAGTTGAAAATTATATGTATCTTACCTCGAAAAATATATGATATTTTTCTTTTTAAAACGACCCGAGTTTCTCCAAAATTGCTGGGTTGAAAACTCTAGAGAATCTGAAATACATGGCAACTGTTGCAATGCTAGTCATATTCCAAACACATGAATCTGATAAGAACTAGAACTAGAGATACTTGGTTTTGAGCATCTAACTTGAAATGGACAAGAACAGATTCTCAGTGTTTGAGGGCATCAACTCTCAGCTCTCAAGAGCCACAGAAACATGTATGTGGTCTTCTGTATTAAGACAGTCAATTCTATCACTCTCTCAAAATCTGCCACCTGGTAGGTTAACAATACTTTAACTAAAATCCCATCATTCTGGGTCATTCAATTTCAAAAATAGGGGATAAAATGAAAATTGACATCTGATATTAACTCATTCAATTTAATCTCATAATTTGGCGTTTACTTAATTACATATGTGCCAACAGATTAGCACAATAAAAAATAATATTAATTTACAGATTAATAATTTCTGCGTTGGAACTCTTTAGCACATTTGTAGTGTGTATGAAACCACTAAATTTTGTAATACAGACTATCATTCGTATATTTAAAAACAAATTACATCTGTTGTTGGGCATTGGCGTAATTTCTGTTTGGATTTGCGGCATTTTGCTGGGCATTGACGTCAGGTCGCTGTCTATTGCTGTCGCGGGATATTTGAGTGGGTCAAGTCTTTAGACTGTGAAGTCTGGGTCAAAGTTGACGGCGGAAGGGCCATTGGATGGATGGGGATAAGAGGCCCACGTTGAAGCGGACGTATGGAGTCGATCGATGGATCATGAGCTATTGCTTGGCATTAGCGTCACATTCCCTCCTGTCTCGCATTATTCAAATTTTATTTTTATAATATAATGTTCTGATTTGTGTCAACAAAATCACGCATAAAATGTAATTTATCATATGATCATGCATTCACATTGGCCATTCCACTTGAGCTATTTAACTACCGGCGAGTCCACGTGGTTTGAGATTCGGCAAAACTTGTTGAACATCACATCACAAGTCGGCTAAACCTCTCCTCAACCACCCATCTACAAAGTGTTTGCGTTTTCTGAGCAATTAAATATTCTCCTAATTGTTTGTTTATAAAATATGGGTTATTCGTAGTAATAGTCCCTCAACTATACCGTAGTTGCATTTTGATCACTTAATTCAATTATTAGTTGTAGAGGTCACTCAAGTAGGTGTTTTGTAGCATCATTAGTCCATCTGTCAAACTCTGTTAAATTTTCTGTAAAAAATGAGGGTAAATTCAGAAATTCATCCACAACCCTCCCATTCCTCCGCAATCCTCCATTGCCGCAACCCAATCCTTGCTTCTCCTCCCTTGGGTTATTAAATTTTCATTTTCTGTGGGGACTTTTGCAGAGCAACTGTGGGATTTGCTTGAACAGCGTGAAGACAGGGCAAGCATAGCCATATACACAGCAGAGTGTGGTCACACCTTCCATTTCCCTTGCATAGCTGCTCATGTGCGCAGCCATGACAACCGCGTCTGCCCAATCTGCAACTGCACCTGGAAAGACATCCCTCTCTTCACCATCCACAAAAACCTCAACCAATCCCGAAACGATGTTGTGGAGCCCTCCAAACCCAAGCCCAGGGAAGTGGAGAAGAATATAATAGTGGAGGCCTCCTCACCTAGAGCCTCATCAAAGCCATTGTACGACGACGAATAGTCTCTTTTCTCTCCCACATCTCAAATCATCCCCATACCAGAAGCCGACGATGAAGATGAAGATGAAGACACCATAGACCCATTTCCCGAAACGACGATGTCGAGGAGTTCCAGGGCCATGTCTTTTTTAGGTTTTAAAATATTTTTTGAAACACATTATGAATTTCCTTATTTACCCTCACTTTTGACAGAAAATTTAACAGACTTGACGGAATGACTAATGGTGCAACAAAACACCTACTTGAGTGACCTCTGTAACTAATAATTGAATTGAGTGACCAAAATACAACTACGGGCATAGTTGAGAGACCATTGCTGCGAATAACTCATAAAATATTGGTCAAGCTAACCTTCATAAGTTCATCCCGCATCAAACCTCAAGAAGAAGTATTTTTGCTTTTTTATGGTTACCAGTGGAAAATCTTAATTTCAATTCTTGACTCGTTTGAATAATACATAAAATATCTCCAACGTCCTACATTTTTTGTTTATTTATGATCCATCATTACCAAAATATGATGTATTTGGTAGGTACAATCGAAATTAAATTGTGGTCCTTGTGTAGGTAAATGTAGCTACCTATACCAAATAGAGTTTATAACTTAAAGCCATGACAAATTGACAAATTGATACAAAGAAACCCAGTCATGGGAACCTTCCAAGTTCCAAGAATCAATTGAGATAGAAAAGAAGCGTGGGTCACCTAATACCACACGTCTTCAATATATCATAGCATTTATTACCATAATAGCAATCCTGCCGCCCAAAACTACAAAATCTAATCTAATACAAATATAAAATGCAGGCTAAGCTATTGCGTCTCAACGGCTGGTGTTTGCTTGCCACAGCTGCTCGTTAAGAAAGAGTGGCACGCTTTTGTCGGTTTGTGCGTTTGCTTGGTGGAGAATCTCAACATGTCAATACGTTACTTTTGGTGGATATATATGCTGCTACGCTATGCTATGGATATTTGGAGAAAAACTTGTGTAATGGCCATAGTAATGTTTTGATATGTTTAATTAATCACGTTCTGTTATGTGCACATGATGATTTTTTACATAGTGGTGCGTGATTGGTTGAAAATAGTAAAACAGTATTATCTCGATGATGTATAAATTTTATCGCATATTTGACCTAGTGGGCATCATCCCTTGCTTGCAACGGCTTTAGGAGTATGTAGTGTTTTGGGGGTCTAAACAATATCAGTCCAATGGGTTTACTTAATTAGCATTTTTTTTAAGAGGACAACCACATTATTTGCCATATATTTAAAAGTGGCAACTTATGTTTAAATTGAGACAAGTAATCGAAAATGTCTCTGTACCAAACATCTACTCTCTCCTTGGGTTGAAAATCCAATTTGGGAAGAAATCAAAGAAATGTTTTGTTATGTTATTCAAAGTAGCAACCGACACCTAGTGTCATCAAATCAACCAACCGATAACATTTTAGATACATTTCACGTCATTTGTCAAAGATTTGTGGCATGATAAATGATTATATTTCCACTTTTGAATGAAAGAAAAAAAGTCTAAGAATTTCTAAAAGCCCACCTAATTGCTCTTAGCTAGTCCTAGGCTGTTGACAAAGAGGGTTGCTCCTTTTGCTCATCTGTCCTTTCAGAATGCTTAAGAGATACTAAACATGCATGCATGCATCTTATATACATATAAATGTGGTGTTATTTAAGCAGACGATTTGAATTAGTCTTGCTTTAATGGTTCAATGATAACCATGGAATTTCATGTTTATCATGAAACGTAAGTTAATGCTGTATTCCATTTCAAAATATATAGAAGGGATAAGAATTCGTACATCTCTCTCTCTCTCTCTCTCTCTCTCTCTCTCTCTCTCTCTAATCAGATTGTGTTGTCATTCCTATCCAGGATAAAATAATACCATTGACTCTCCTCCTCATAGGTTGCATAAAATAGATCGCCAAAATGAGAGTGTCGCACTAGCATCGGATGCCTCGAGAGCATATTATATGGTACACGATAATCACCATTGGTGAAGGATATGACAATCTTCTCTTTTTTTTTTCTTTTTTTTCCTTTTGCATAGATAGATTTCATTCCATTAGATAGTGGGAATAATGGGCATGTTATGTGTGGCCTCATTAAAATTTTCTCGGAGAAAATCACATGGGAAAAACTCCATAGTAAAAAAGAGTACCACACACACTGAAAGATATGACAATCTTAATATTCATTTTGCTAGTCACAAATCACATATTCTTATTAGATGTGATCCATTTAAAAACTTTGGTCAAATATTCACTTTTCGTCCTCAATTGTTTCGTAAAATCAAATTTGTAGTTGACTTATATAAACTTGAGTCACGAATTACCATGCTCAAAGCTTTGGGATAATTGTTGACATTTTTACCTTAATGCCATATTTACTTATTTGAGGTATAAGAAGTATGAAATCAAAAGTACTGCTTCATTAAAGCCCCAGAAGAAAGAAGTATGAAATTAGGGACCTTAAGAAGAAATAAAGAACTGGATTTGGATAAACTGCCTTTAGTTAGTTAATCAAATTCCTAATTTTTAAAGGTATCAAATCACGGATTTTAAGGCGAGACTCGTGCATTTTATAATATCTCTATGTTAGTTGTTATGGTCTTTTTCGGTCGGAAGACTCGTCTGAGCTTGTTGATTCTTGGACTGCCATAGAGTGGTGAATCAAGCCTTCGTTGCCCTTTTTTTATGAGTTAGCGAGAACTAGGCCCAAAACATCCTGAGGGAGAAGCAAGTCCCAGGGGAGTACTTTGTTTTTCTTCCAGCAGTTGTGTGTTTTGTGCTAATGTTTCCAGTAGCTAGACGAAAAGTTGGAGATGGTGCATTGATGTTGCACTGGCTTGGCATGAATTTGGTGAATTAAGATACTATTAAGCTTGGCATGAGAGGCATGTGGTGTGGGAGCTAAGAGAAAATGAGTATAAAGAAAGAATAATGGTTTCAACTTACCAAAAGGATAATGACTATGGTTTCAACTTAGCTTGAGAGGATGGGTGTTTTAGATTTGGGATGGAGCTTTTTGGGAGAGAGAGAGAGAGAGAGAGAGAGAGAGAGAGAGAGAGAGAGAGAGAGAGAGAGAGATGGAGATAAAAGATGGGTGGCTTGAGTAGATTTCCAGTAGCTTGACGATTGCTTGGTCGTGCTCTAGATCGTTGAAGATGACTTGTTGATGTTGATATGAGATTATATGAGCTTGGCATGAGAGCTTGTATTCATCCCTAATTAAACCCTAGAATATTCAATTTTAAATTATAATTATAATTAAAAATATATAGAAAATGCGAGAATGAGAATAATATTGGTTAATAAAAGGAGAATAAAAGATGTCGTTGCCAAGTTGCCCACCCAAGATAATAGAAGATGTAGCCAATAGAGGAAGAATTTGACCCAAAAGAAGGAAAAGGAAGAAACAAGTTACTGTTGTTGGGTAGCAAAGAGAGAGAAACAAGAAGTCTCATAGCAACTACAAGGTGTGGTGTGGTTGGCAAATTGTCTTTTACAGCTGGTGAACTACCTAATGCCTTAATGGCAGGGGTTCAAAACCCGTTGGAAGCACTTTGTGGCCAGGGATAATTCGAACTCCGAGTGGGGATTAATCCCACCCTTCAGATGTGGGGACACCTCGTGGTATTTACCAAAAAAAGAAGTCTCATAGTCGAAAGAGAATGAGAGAGAATATATGGGACCACCTGGATGGGCAGCATGTGTGTATGGTTTGCTTTTATTTTATTTAAATTTTGGGTTGGGCTTATAACACATGTAGGTATTTGTTTCTTTGAAAAAAAATTGGGCTGGACAGACACCCAATCTACCCCTGTGCACAGCACCGCCCATGCTTCAATCATCACATTCAAACCCAAAATTCCCTCATTCTAAACCTAAATTGAAACATTTATACTCCAAATCAAATGGACAAACCCTAAATTACTAGCTTTACAAATAATAATTCAAATCAAAAGATAGAAAACCATCTGGATCAGGCACTCCGACGTCGTTTTGTCCATCCACGCCCACGATGACAACTCTATTGTCGCCAACATCAAGGGGTTGGTGTACACCGGGACATCGAACGCTGGACGGAATGGTCAAAGTGTGGAAGAGAGAGCAGACACTGCTGAAGAAAGAGGGTGGTGACGACATGGCTAGTGGGGGGTGTAGGTGGATATGGCTGGTGGTGGGTGTGGGTGGTTATGGATGATGGTGTGGTGGTTGGTTGCATATAGAGGAGAAAGAAGGAAAGGATGATGCCATTCTTTGGGGATAGGGATTGATATTTTATTTTATTTTTTATGTTTTGGAAATTGGAAGGAAGAAGCATAGATGAGTGGAGAGGGGGCCGCTTGGGCTGGTATTGCTGGGGAGAGTTGGATCTGGATAGCATTTATTTATAATTTATTTTATTTTTAAAGCATTAAGAAGAAATATTTTTATTTTATTAATTATATATTTTTTTTAGGTTTTTTTTTATCACAAATGGTCCCTTAGGTTAGCAAAATCATCACATTTCGTCCCTAACGTTTTTTTGTGACACCAATGGTCCATAACATTACCCTTCACACATCAAAATGGTCATTGCCGTTAGTTTCCATCAAATTTTTGTTAAGTAGCTGACGTGGCACGTGTGTGGAGCCCACACATCCAATAATATACATCCACATGGCTTTAAAATATATATATATATTTTAAATATTTTAAAACTTAAAAAAAAAAAAAAAAAATTCAAATCCAAAAAAAAAAAAAAAAAAAAAAAAAAAAAAAACAAATTTGTGCCATATGTGTTCTCCCTCTCTCCCTCTCTCCCTCTCTCCCTCATCTTCCTTGACTTCTTGGGCTTTCCCTTCTCTCTCTCCCTGATCCAAAAACCCAACTCAATGTTTTTGTTATGACTGTAACTGTACCAGTCACCAGGTTTGCTATTTTGTAAATCTTATAATTGGATCGCTTCATCTTCACTATTGGGTCTCATCCCATACCCTTTTTTTTTCTCGAACTTTTAAGATTTGGGTTTCATTGATTTGCAAGTTTTGGTCAAACAAAAAACGACCCAAGTGTTTATTTCATTGGATTATCATGCAAGGGACTTTGGAGTTGGGAATTACTGCCATTTAGCTCATATTCACAGTGACCCACATAGAGAATTTGTGTTTTGAAGCTTAGATTTGGCCATGGAGAAACTTCCTGATGAAGAAACTACATCAAGCTATGGTAGATCAGCTTGTAAAAATCAAGGAAGATGAGGGAGAGAGAGGCAGAGTGGGTCTGCGATGGTGGGTAGGAGGCGCTGAACGCAAATGATACAGGTCTTTCTTTGTTTTTTTAATTTTTTAATTTTTAAAATATTTAAAATATAATATATTTTATTTAAAGCCACGTGGATGTATACTATTGGATGTGTGGGCTCCACACACATGCCATGTCAGCTACTTAACAGAAAATTTGATGGAAGCTAACGGCAGGGACTATTTTGATGTGTGGAGGGTAATCTTAGGGACCATTGGTGTCACAAAAAAAGTTAGGGACAAAATGTGATAATTTTGCAAACCTAAGGGACCATTTGTGATTTTTTTTTTAAAAAAACCTATGTTTTAATTAAACAAGTAATTACATTATTTTATATTTAATTCAATTTAACAAAAAAAAAGTGGGCCCTTCACATAATACATAATCACTTGTGGTAAAAAAACTATAATAGTTATGTCACGTTATCAAAACTGACAGAGTTATTAATGGAGATAACGGTGAGGGGGTAAAGTGGAATATAAAATCACCATCAAGGAGGTTAAGCGAGTCACTTTAACTTTAGAGGGTTAAAATAAAATTTGATTGAAATTTCAGGGTGCACAAAGAGAGTGGTGATTGTAGCAATGGTGTTAGATGGTAGTGTTTGTCTCTTATTTCCCACTAGCCTCTCCACATTAGCTTCCGCTCATGCAAGAGGCTTTTTTATTTAAATTTTAAAATTTTAGAATAAAAAAGGTAATGGGTAGTTGTGTTCCATAAAAATAGGATCCATTATCTGATTTTTCTTTTAATATTTATTTATTTTTAATATGAAAAAGTGTGAATTTACTATATTATCCTCATTTAATTAATAATTTCAATTCTTAATATTTGCATTAAACAAATGCGTTTTCTGGTATTTTAAATGTTTCACCATTCTCTGCCTCTTGCTTTATATATATAGATAACCCAAAGAAAGAAAAAAAGAAGCCACGTATACAAATTCACATCCTCCTCCACCAAATTGAAACTATAATCTAATAGGCTAAATGTTACAAGGCCCAAGAAAAGGGGCCTAAGTTTCAGTTATCGGGCTCATTTCTCTTATTCCCTTTTTGATATTGGACTTCGGTCTTCATCACTGGTTGTCAAGTTCGCACCAGAGTCGGGCCAAGCCATGAAGTTCACGTCGATCCATTCATCGCATTAGCATCCCAAGACGACGTCGTTTTAGCAGCGTACTGCGAGGTGGATAATTCGCGAAGGACAATACTCACTAGGTAGGTAAGGAGGGAAGTATTGTGGATTGGCAAATGACTATGCAGTTCCTTCCACTCCCATCTGTTAACAGAAATGAGTCCCAAACTCCATAACCCCTCTCCCCCTCTTCTAACTGAACCAAATTTCAATTAGATTACCAACGCCAAAAGCCAAACCCATACTTCACCGAACCAAATTAATCTCCGTAACCAAACACCACCTCCTCCATGCCGATTGCCTCCATTTCCATCCTCCGCCACCGCACCATCATCCCCACTACCACCGCCACAACTCTCCCAACCGTCGCCAAGCTCATCCGCCAAATCTCAACCCTCCGATGCTTCTCCGTCGCCGCAGCCAAACAGCAGCACAACCCTAACGTCTCCAGGAAATCCCAGCCCCCGAGCAAGAAGCTCCTCAGAGCCAAACAGACCGTCAAGGACTACTCGTCCCTCGCCCCGGTTCTCTCTCCTCAGGACAAGCCGCCTCTCTCCGAATCCAAAAGCGTCGGCACCGTCGCCGCCGCCCAAGCCAACTTCATGCGCGTCATAGTGGAACCTCCTAGAAGCTTCGACGAGAGCAAAGTGGAGTTGCTGTGTGTTGTGAAGGCGGTGCTGAAGAAGATCAAGAGGAGAGTGTTAGTTGGGGACAAGGTGCTGGTGGGGTCCATTGATTGGGTGGACCGCCGGGGCATGATCGAGAATGTGTACCAGCGGAGCTCCGAGATTCTTGACCCGCCTGTCGCCAATGTGGATCATCTACTCGTGCTCTTCTCCATGGACCAGCCCAAGCTCGAGCCGTTCGCGCTCACTAGGTTCTTGATCGAGGCCGAGTCCACTGGAATTCCACTCACACTCGCTTTGAACAAGTGCGAGCTGGTTGACGAAGAGGTTCGAATCCGATTCTTCTCTAAGTTCTATTAATGGTGGTGATTAGTTTGGCTTCTTAATTTGCTCTAATTTAATCATCTCTAGTGTTTAATTGGCTGAGCCTCTGAGGCAAGATTCATAGTTTCATATGTATGCTATATACAATGTTTGGTTAAAGCTGTTTAGTAAGTGGCCTCTAAGAAAAGGAAAACAGAAGTGCCTAATGTAGTGCTGGTGCTATAGATGATATTTTGTGCAAGCTCTGGTTCTATCATATTTCTCTGTGTAATCTCCAAATTTAGCACTTGACCGAATTGGAATGCGAATTGGGATGATTTTGGCATGATAAATTTGGTTTGCTTTTATAAGTTGCTATATAATCTTTATCCATCTTTCTGGTAGTATTGATTCTTAAGCGTGCTAGTCTTTGATGAAATACGCAGGCAATGGTTGCATGGAAGTCTAGGCTACACAAGTGGGGCTACAAGCCAAATTTTTGCAGCGTTGAATCTAAATATGGACTTGATTCCCTTGCCTTTATATTGAGAGATCAAACAAGTGTGATTGTAGGTCCAAGTGGAGTTGGAAAGTCTAGTTTGATTAATGCTTTGAGGAACAACCACAATGCTTCGGATGCTGTAGAAGGGGAAACTTTGTATGATCCAGTAGGTTTTATCTCTCTCTTCTTTCTTTTCTCTATTTCTTTCCAATGCTGTGTTTGTGCAACCACCATGGTACTCATTTTCCCATTCTTCTTCCATGTCCTTATTACAGATTTTAGGCAGCAAGTGGTTTGAGGATCAGCTTGTTGGACAGGTTTCAACAAGAAGTGGCAGGGGGAAACATACTACTCGGAATGTCTCGTTGCTTCCACTGTCTGCAGGGGGTTATCTTGCTGATACTCCTGGGTTCAACCAGCCTAGTTTAATGAAAGTAACAAAGCAATCTCTGGCACAAGCATTCCCAGAGGTTTGTGTACTTTGTGTTATACACTGCACTTGATTCATGTACTTAAGTTCCTTTTGCATCACATTCATAGCACATGTTAACTTTTATCGGTTTCTATCGGTACTCTCTTTTATCCTGATCAGATCCGCCAGATGCTCAGTGACAGTGAGCCTGCAAAATGCTCGTTCAATGATTGCCTGCATCTTGGTGAACCAGGGTGCATTGTTAAAGCTGATTGGGAAAGATATCCATACTATTTCCAACTTCTTGATGAGATCAGAATCAGAGAGGAATTTCAGTTGAGGACTTTTGGAACAAAAAAGGAGGGTGACGTAAGGTATGCTTGAGTTCTATATAGCACGTCGTTAGCCCTGTATGCATGCTTTTTGAACTAAATAGTTCATTTATGTGGTTTAAGAAAACTGCTACTTGAATGCGGATACCATGGTTATGGTGTAAAGTGAGAAATGATATGCTGCACAGAAACATAGTGGTTGGGTGATGGCGGCTATCATTTCACCATCTTTAGGGCTTAAATCACTTGGAAATCCTTTCTTTACATGTTAAAAAATTGTAAAATTTTATTTATTATTCATACTGATATGCAAAGAAAGAATAATTGTTATCATCATTTTCTGGCTGCTTAACCTCGCCCTGGTATTCATCATTGTGCTATTTCAGACATAATCTCTGCCATAACCACTTGTTGAATGGACAGCTTGTGCTCTTTCAGACACAAATGATTATGTCTGAAAGAGCACAATGATGAATGCTTGTTGAATGGACAGCTTGTTGGACAGGTTTCAACAGCTGAATGGTGCTATTTCAGCAAATGGCATTCATCATTGTGCTACTTCACCCTGGATTCTGTTTAGTTTTCACTTTCGATGAGGACCCAAAATGTAGTTCAGTTGTATCTCTAGCATATAGTTTGCATACCTTACACATTCTGTTTTAGTCTCATTACTAACACAAATGTAGTTCAGTTGTATCTCTAGCACATAGTTTTAGTACCTTTCATATTTTGTTTGTTATGTTATTGAACCTAAATGTGTCATAATCTTTGCAGGTACAAGATGGGAGATAAGGGTGTTCAGCAAGCAGAACCACGGTTGGAGCTAAAGAAGCATAGGAGAGTATCTCGCAAGAGTATGAACCAATCACTACTCGATGAATTAGATGAGCTGGATGATGACGACAACTTACCAGATGAGGAAAACGATCCCTTTTTAAAGGCAATGAGGGATGAAAACCAATAGGAAGTTGCTTCATATACATTGTAAATAGTTAAGTTCGAACCTCGATCTCGTTACAGAAGGTAGACTGACCGCCCACGGCTGTACAGATAACAGCATGAAAGTAATCGGATGGCTGGAGTCTATTGTAGTGAAACATGCAGGCAGAGTTTGCTAGTTGTAGCCAATCCAATGCCAGAGATCTTCACACTTAATCATGCATAAATCTTTGATTCAGTAATTTCTTAATTCTAGTTCCTTGGCTTTCAACCTTTTTACTCTCCCCCACATGTTTTGCAGAGTTATATAACAGTTATCAGATTACTTCTGTAAATTATTTTGCATCTATTAACTGTCAAAAGCAAAGCAAACGGCTTCCTATTTCTGAATCAGAAAAGCCAAACAACTAAAACAAGACCACATAAAACACAAAGCTGCAGATGCCAAGAACATCTCTTCTAGTTCTAGTCATTCATTGTATGAAGTGCTGAAAATATAAGTCTTACAATGTAAATGTCTCATTCAAATTTTAGCACGGTATTTGGGTGTCACAAATGACAGACTGAAACCTATCAAATGCTACTCCATTGCTGTGATCAGTAAAAAGTGACCTACTTCTTACTTCTTGGAGGCTTTCTTCTTTGAACTCACAGGCTGCTGTGGCTGTGGCTGCGGCTTGGGATGCTTCTCGGCTTCGCTCGGGTCCAACCACTTGAGCGGGTTGCGATTGAAGAAAGGCCAGTTGGGGACAGTGACCAATGTGGTGAGAACCACACCACCAGCGTATGTGAGAACCATCATCTGGAACGACCCAGTTATGTAACCAGTGAAGAAACCCACCACCGCGAACACCAACAGCAGTATCTGCATCAACTGCTCAGCTAGCTTTTGGCCTTGCCAATCCATCTGAAAATTTACAAACAAAACTTAATGAAACAAAGTAATCTTCCTCAGGCAAACAAACAAGGCCCTGCTTTTTTCATCAGGATTCATTCATAATGTAATTTAATCTAAATCCCTCTTTCCACAACTATAAGGCATGTAGATGACGCAAAAGCAGCTAAAGACCAAACAAATTAATTAAAACAAAATAAAGCAAATTCGCAGCGTTTGAAACAAACCATAGAAACAATACCTTTGAAATGAACTCTGAGGAGAACCCCTCGCTTTGCAAGCTGTAAAACGAGAAGAAAAGAGGAAAACCATTATCAGAAAGCAAAAACAAGGAGAAAATTACAAAACCATTCAGTCGAGTCGAGACTCGTATAAGAAAACCAATGAGATCTAATAAATCATGTAAATAATTTGACTGATAAGCAGTACGAAATCCTTCGGGTGCCGATGAACAAAACAGAACCAAATTCAAGTAAAGCGATGGCAGAATTGAAAAGGAAAAATATGGAGCAGCCGAAATTCGAACAAGTTTGGATCCATAACCCTAGACCTGGGTTACACTCAAGTTTCCCAGCAACTAAACGATTGAAATCCCACGAGAGGAAGAGAAGGAGAGAGTAGCGTACCTGCGAACAGACCAACTAACGAAAGCACGGGAGTGATAAACACAGAGAGAGTGGGAATTTGTGCATCTATTGGGGAAAAAAATTAGACCAATAACAAAAATTAAAACGCACCTTCGGTCCATGAATGAAATCATAATCGTTGATTTTGCATCTAACGGTCGATAAGCTCGGCGCTTACGTGGATTCGTGTGGTGCTTTGATAAATTTTGGGTCCTATTCAGTTCTGGGTTGCCAGCCCAATTAAATTCACCCGCTAAGCCTACGGTTTCAACCCAAGAACAATCCCCCTGGCCTACCATCGAATACTAACCCACTCTACAAGTTTGGCTGGGCGGACTCCCCCTTGTGATGAAATAATTTTCACAACGCTTATGTCATAATTTCGTATTCATTTTCCATTACTAAAAAAATATTAAATTGGAGATTGTTTAGTCATCCAAATGTATCGGACAATTCAACAATTTTAGTAACAATTAACACAAGTGTTCATTTGGTCATTTAATTGATACGACAACCGATCTTTAATTTCATTGATTTTTTTTTCTTCTAAAGATGATCTCTAAATGGCGATTGATTTGATAGACTGAAAATGTTGGATTAGGACATGGAATAATGCTATTCATATCACATTCACGTACCACCTTATATGAAAAATAAGATAGATAACCATATCAATTAAATTAATTTAACTTTTTTTTTCTTTCACAACACGAGGATAGGCAAAGTTATCCACCTGTTAATTAAACTGAAAGCTTTGTTATGAAAATAACATTCTGGATGGGAAATTCATTAGACACTCAAAAACAAGCCAACACTGTTACGCTTCTATTCCATATTAACAAAGAAGGTTTTAGCTTTAGGGCACAGCTTCACAATGGCATATTACCACAAATCAAATCAAAGGGGCGGTTTCCGATTTCAGATTGGGAATTTGCTTGACATAATGAAATGGAGTCGCACGCCACGACAATTGGCACACAAGAATATATAAAAGGCTCATGATATTGATGGGGTCTAATTATGATAAACATCGACTTTCAAGCATATTCTCCAACAAAACATAACATAATCTGAAACTAAAACACGAGTTCCAAAAATTGTCTACACAACATCTCAAACTATATAAAAAGCAACAAAAATCCATATCAATGCAAACGATGAATCGATAATTCCTCTTCGATTTCTTGTGACACTTTAAGAGGAAGCACCGCTTCGAAGAGCTTGAGACTTCTTAGATTTGCTAGTTGCCAACTGGCTCTCAGGCTGCAATGAAGACACAGTATCAGAGAAGAGGCAAGGCAAATCAAATTAATCAGTCACTAGCTTCCCAAGTTTTCAACATGATACTCTAGATGCATCATCATCAAATTACCTCTTTCTTGACTGGCTCTTCCTTCTCGGCCAAAATCAGCTCAATATGGCAGGGGGATGACATATAGGCTGCAAAAGGTTTAGCAATATAAATCAATACAAAAAGAACAACTTTCAATAATAAAAGAAGGCCAAACTCTGGAACATACGGTTGATTCTTCCGTGAGCCCTGTAGGTTCTGCGCCTTTGCTTCTGTGCTTGGTTGACTTGGATGTGAGATACGATTAGCGAATCAACATCCAAACCCTTCACCTGAAAGATTGTCCAGCAATTATTAGTCTTCATAACAAATAAAGACAACAGCAACAAAGTCAAAAGCCAGATGGAAACATACTTCAGCATTGCTCTCAGCATTCTTAAGCAAATCTAATATGAACTTGGCAGATTTGACAGGCCAGCGTCCCTGTCCATTGGAATGCCTGTTCTTTGCCTGAGCAGTACGCCCAACACCACGACAGAAACGGCGGAAGGGAATGGCCTGCTTGTGGGCCAGAACATCCTCCAAATACCTCTTTGCCTTGACTAGGGGCAACTTTCTGATAGCAAATGCAGTTTCCCTCGTGTTCTGTGAAAAATAAAAAATCAAGTTCAGACTTAAATGAGTACTTGACAGAGAATGTGCAACTATGACGATATATATTTTAATAGATTGGCAAGAGGTGACTGACAGATAATTCTACACCACAAGACCTTTTGACAAGGAAACCAAATCAAGGTATTACCAACCATGATGCAAAGTCAATAACAATATAAATGATCACACTCCATCAGGTTTTGAATTATATATATATATATAGACACTTGCCAATGTTCCATTATTTACTGAACCTTCAGTCACATGCAACATATGCAAGTACAGAGGCTCACCCAAAAACAATGCAGTTTATATTCCTGAAATATACGGGAGCCTAGTTCACATAAGGCAACTAAGCCCTGCTTTTATAATCAGGTTTCAAAAAATTAATAATACTTATATTTATGTGCAAATGTGCCACTATTTACTGAACCTTAAGTCACATGCAACTGATGCACATACAAAGGTTCACCCAAAAACAATGCAGTTAATGTCCCTGAAGTTTACGGGAGCTTAGTTCACATATGGCAACTAAGCCCTGCTTTTATAATCAGGTTTAAAAAACTAATAACATTTCATATGCACAAATGTTCCATCATTTACTGAACCTTAAGTCACATGCAACTGATGCAAGTACAGAGGTTCACCCAAAAACAATGTAAGTGATCTACCTGAAGTTTACGAGAGCCCAATTCACATGTGGGAACAAAGGCCTGCTTTTTTTCATCAGGACTCAAAAAACTAAATACATGCAATTGTGTGCATTGAACTACTTAACTCACAGCAGAAGAGCAAAATAATTCCCTAGTTTACATAATGTTCTCAACCAGAATCCTAATTGTGAAACTAGGAAACCAACCAACAGACCACAAAAATTGAACCCGACATAAAAACATTGCAACAGTAAAAACTCATTTCTAGAACAAACAACACAAAACTAGTAATTCAAAATGTTACATTATAGCGACGTCAACCCATTCACAATAAAACCATGCTTTTATTTATTTATCAGATTTCACAATGAAACCAAATTTTAATCCATCATTTCACAGTAAATCATCACATAGTTAACGTAAAATCAGCAAAGCACAAACAAGCCGGCTTAACCAAAACAAGGTAAAATCCGAAACATCAGACACTGGCAAGCAAAAAATATTAACAATACCTTGAAATGAACTCTGAGGTCAGAACCCCTTGCTTTGCAGGCTGTAACAAACGAAACAAAAATACAAGCCACTATTAGATCAAAACGACTTTCGCAGAGAAACCCAAATGAAAAACAAAATCAATGCCATTCAGCTCAGATTCGCATAGAAGATAAACGGCGAGATCTAGAACCGTGAAAAGCGATAAGAGCACATACACTTGGTGATATTGTCGGGCTCCCTGGAGTACTTCACCTGAAACAAAAGATGAAGGTTAAATGCATTTGAAGCGGTAGAGATTCAGAAGCTAAACAAGCTTTCGCATGCGAGGAAGAGAGAGAAAGAAGATTCAAGTGATGGAGGCGAATAGGTACCATGGCGGCTGATGCTGCTTCTGCCTCAGAGAAGGGGTTTGCGTTTGCTATTTAGCAGAAGAGGCGAGTAGTTTGGGACTTGTGCTTTTATAAACAAAGCAAAATGAAACCCTAGGTAAATCCCAGACCTAATGCTCATGGACCCTCTCACTTGGGCTGGGCTGTAAAAGTTTAGTTTGCACTGGGCTCATATCATAAACGACGTCGTTTTCGTTTAAGTGGGCTCTTATTAACAATTCTCTGGATACGGGTACGGCCTGTCCTCAATTTAAAAAGATAAATTGAAAACTAAATCGAACCGCATAAAATATGAAATGAAAAAATAACATAAACTGGCTCAATATTCCAAACCATTTGAGTTATATTACACTAGGGTTCTTTTGGCCAATGCCCCGTTCAAGAGTCAACGTGATTTTTTCTTCTCCAAAGAATAAATTGTATAGGAAAGTACTAAAGGCTTTATCATCAGCAGCAAAGCCCCGCATATAAATGCATTGTAAACTAATAGTCAATTGGCTTGCACCACCAAGGAGGCTTAATCATATCCCAATATCATCATCATCATCATCATCGATGGCTATGGCTTGCACCACCGAAAGGAGTTCAAGCACAACACCAACACCAACACCAAATAAGTGGACTGATGAACTCCCAGCTGAGCTTTTAGAGTTGATCGTGAAAAAGCTCGCTTGGAATTTCGTCGACCTCATTCGCTTTAAAGCCGTCTGTTCTTCTTGGAACCGCGCTGCAAGATCATATACCTCTGCCCCGTATCACACCCAGTTGCCTCCTCAATATCCATGGCTCAAGCTCTTCACCCAACGGGATGAGCAAAAATATCCATGGCCCTCTCATGATCATCACAGCAGGTGCTTCTTCAGCCTTGCAGACAATAACGTTTACAAGATGGGCTGGGATGCGTCCCAAGGGCTTTGGCTTTCATGACCGGGTTTGGGTTCATCACATGGGTGGCTGGTGGTTCGGGAGAATAAGGGGGGGCACACACACACGAAATCGTTCATCTTTTCAATCCAATTTCTACACAATGCAGGACGCTTCCTCCCTTCCCGCGCAGGTCTTCAGTACATAAAGTTGTGCTTTCCTCGGATCCCTCTCGCAACAACAACTTTGTCGTTGTGGTGATTTATCATACCCTCCAAGGGACAAGGGTAGCATTATATCAGCACGGCAGAGGAGGAGACAACGCTGCTGCATGGACTGATTTGGGGGGTTATCCTTGGTAGGGCAATTCTGATATCGTATTCCACAACAATGGTCGTTTATTTGCACTGTGGATAGATCACTTAATTCAAGTTTGGGACTTCGGGGACACCTCTAATGATAATAATCCCACGAAGATCATGAATTTTCAACCATCCATGGATCCGAATGTTATTGGTGGTGGCAGCATGACGAGGGATGAACAATGGTTGGTGGAGTCAATGGCTGATCTTTTGCTTGTGGGGCGGGAAAGGTTTGAGAATGATTCCAGAGGAGCAGTGGAATTTTATATCTACAAGTTAAACATTGCTGCCAAAACATGGGAGAAGGTGGAATGTTTGCGTGATTGTGCTTTATTTTTGGGCAGAAATCAACCGGCAATGTCATTATCCACCCAAGAATTGCCAGGATTAAAAGAAAACTCGATTTATGAGGGGAAGTTGCAGAAGGGTTGTGATGATAATTTTGATATTCATGTAGGAGTATACAACCTAGAAACTAAACTTGTTGAACCATATTATACAACTCCAGTGCCAGAGAACGCTAGTTTTTCATCACTCGTTTTGATTGTGCCTAGTCCTTTCGGCCCAATAAGAGAAAAGATTGTGCTTAGTACTTGGTTACGTTAGTCTCAGTCTCAACTGTTTTTCTTTGTGTTTAATATGTAATAGGTTGAGCACTTTGTGCTTAGGTAGGCTTACATATGGCATTTTTCGTAGAAATAGTATTTTGCAAAACTCAAACGTTTTTTTTATTTTATTTATTTTTTTGTTGCAAAAATTAATATTCAATAATATATCACTCATAATTCAAGCAAATAACTTACAGCTAGAAATAGTTCGAGTAATTACATCTCTGAGAGATACGCTCTCATAGCCTTGGGCTTCTAATTAATGTGGAAGGCCAGACGGTCTAGCCATGGTGGTTCGGCAGGCTGCGGAACAATAGTAAGGCTGGTGGTGATGATGGGATACGTTGTGCGGTGGTGACTTTCTTTTTGTTAATTTAACATTGCTTTTTATAATTTTTTTTATTAAACAAAATACGCAAAATACATGTCATTATTTTATTAATACTCCATTATTTAGGATACAAATTTTGTGCATAAATTTGGTGTTCCTAGCAGCACTCTAGTAGTTTATCACAACAATGCAAATAGATACGTGTGGAGCGCAATACTTTTTGGAACTCTCCTTTTTCTACCTCTTTTTTTTCTTAATCTCATAAGCTATATGAAAAGATTTGGGTCTTAAAAGTTTTTGGAAACCCAACAAGCATAACCCGAATGATTAGCAGGCAACAAGGACACATGCCCAATCTGGCGCAAAGCCCTATTAATACGTCCAATTTTAGACGGGCTATAAATTTTTGGAGTGGAAGGGAAGTCGGCAAAAGGAAAGAAATCTAAAATACAGGAAACTGGGGAAGAAATAAAAAAGTTGGCAAGCAACTTTTGTTCTCTCAATTAGGAAAATTCTTGGCAACTTTTGTTATGTTCCACAACCTTAATTAGGAAAATTCTGTGAATTTTGTTCTCTCAATTTGTTTAGGAAGGCTCTTATTTCTATTATTTTCTTTCTCCTTTTATATTTTGGTGCCGATGACATAACAATGGTACAAAATTGCCCCTTTTTCCTCCCAGCGCAGGATCTACTATATATATATATATATATATATTAGGGTCTTGGAAATTTCTGAAGCATAAACAAAACATATCCCCAATCTCAGCCCAGCCTATAAATACATGTAAATAATTGGGAATCTAGCTAATCATATCCCAATAATATCCTCATCATCAATGGCTATGGCTTGTTCCACCGAAAGAAGGAGGCTAACTTATTCAAGCACAACACCAACAACAACAAAATGGGCTGATGAGCTCCCACCTGATCTGTTAGAGTTGATCGTGAAAAAGCTTGCTTCGAATATCGTCGACATCATTCGCTTTGAAGCCGTCTGTTCTTCTTGGAACCGCGCTGCGAGATTGTATACCTCTACCCTGCATTACACCCAGTTGCCTCAATATCCATGGCTCATGCTCCTCATCCTCCCCACCCCCATCCCCGACAAATGGAGTTGGTGCCCCAAACCCCCTCATATTGATCATGAGAGCAGGTGCTTCTTTAGCCTTGCAGAGAATAAGGTTTACAAGATGGACTGGAAAGCGTCTCAAGACTCTCATGGCTATGGCGAGTGTTTGGGTTCATCACATGGGTGGCTGGCGATTCGGGAGTTTAAAACAATGATATTATCCCAAGAAATCGTTCATCTTTTCAATCCAATTTCTAAACAACGCTTGACGCTTCCATTGAGGCCGGGAAAGGCTTCAACTGCTAAAGTTGTGCTTTCCTCGGACCCCTCTTGCAACAACAACTTTGTCGTTGTGGTAATTTATGATATCTCCTTGGGACCGCCAGGGATAGCATTCTATCAGCACGGCAGAGGAGGCAACGCTGCTGCATGGACTGACTTAGAGGGTTCACATGATCACTATTCTGATATTGTATTCCGCAACAATGGCCAATTATTTGCACTGTCCACCGACCACTCAATTCAAGTTTGGGACTTCGGGGACACATATAATAATTATCCCACGAAGATCATGGATTTTCAACCTTCAATGAATCGGAATGTTCTTGACGGCCCAATGACGCACCATAAAAAATGGTTGGTGGAGTCAATGGGTGAGATTTTGTTTGTGGAGCGGCAATGGTTGTGGTTGGGGTCTGATACCAAAGGAGCAGTGGACTTTTATGTCTGCAAGTTAAACATTGCTGCCAAAAAGTGGGAGAAGGTGGAGTGTTTGCGTGGTTGTGCTTTATTTTTGGTCAGAAATCAATCGGCAATGTCATTATCCACCTGGGAATTGCCAAAATTGGAAGAAAACTCGATTTACTATGCAGAAACGTATCAGGAGGGTGATCTATATAAGCGGAAGCTGCATAGGGGTTGGAGTGAGATTCGTGTTGGAGGAGTATTCAAATTCAACTTAGAAACTAAAGTTGTTAAGCCATATTATATAACTCGAGAGCATGTGGACACTAGTTATTCAAAACCCGTTTGGATTGTGTCTAGTCCCTAGTGATGTTGGCATAATTTGTAATAGGTAGGCTTATGATAGGATATAATTTGTAATTACTAATAAGTCTCTAGAAGTTCTAGAGTTATACATTGTATGAGTTGCGTGTCTTGTGGTATTCCAAATGAGTTAATTTGCATCTTAGGGCATGTTTACGTATCAGTAATGGAGAAACTAAGGAATCAGAGAATTTAGGAATCGGAGAACTACTGAATTGGTATGGGAAGAATCATTCATATTAAGCTGTTTACTAAACATATGGAATTAGCAATGGAATGGGATTGATTCCCATTGTTATTGTTTACTAATTTGCATGAATCAGAATCCAAATTAATTTTAGAATTATGGTAAAGTGATAAGGGTATTTTTGGATGTTATTAAGAGAAAACAGGAATGGGAATCGTATCGACTACTCCCCCCTAGTTGATATGATTCCTAGTTTTGAGGGAATGTGATTACGGATTTTGAGGTGGGGCCCACTTATTTTTTCATTCCTGATTGTAAGTAAATGCAGGAGAAGTCAGGAATGGAAATCATTCCCTTTCCTCTCATTCCCATTACTGATACGTAAACATGCCCTTAATGTCAATAAATTGTCATAGGTCCATCAGTTATAGTGTGAAGCCAAAAGAATCGAATGAATGTTATGAGAACTACCGTTAATAATCTTTAGTTTGATCCATTTCTTTAAACAACACTTCTGTTCCAACATCATATATATAAACGTATATGTAACATGTTTAATTATTTTGGGTTAAAGGCTATAAAATTGAGCTAATGTCATAGTGGAAAAATATGTTTGGCCTAAGACCCTAAGCACCAATGTGTGTGAGTAAATCCCCTTCACCTTCCTACCTTTGACCCAAAAAAAAGAGGCTATAAATAAAATTGAATACAAGCCTCAATCTCAATATGTGGCTGGAGTTTTTATACATACATATGTATTTCATTGTTCTTTTATATGTGATCTTGTTTGCTTATACGATGTTGGGATTTTAAAAGGTTTTAAAAATTTAACCGTTTTATTTATTTAATTATTTTGGCTGTTTTATTTTATTTATTGTGGGGTTATAAATATTTAATATTCATGTTTTATTTCTGGTTGGTGAATGCCTTAATTTTTTGGTTGGTGAACTTTTATGGTTGATGAAGGTTATATGTTTTCGGATGCCTATAAAAGGCCACTTCTCCTTCACATTTGAAATACACACAATACACTATCATAATATCACATACACATTCTAATTCTCTCATTTTCTACTTTTACATATATATTCTCTACTTTATATTATTATTATTTTGGGCAATGGTTATGTGACTTGGATACCTATATTTGTCAATGAGTGTGCTCATAGCGGATCTTGAGTTTATGTACAAGGGGTCGTATCTTGGAGTCTTGTAGATTGTCAGTACCTGCATGTAGGGAGGCTACAAAGGCTTTAGGACAGTGTCTTTGACGTGCTTCACCGTACTAAACTCACCTTCTTACTTATTATTTATTTTGCTTATACTTACCAATTATTTATTTATTTTCAGTTTCATTTATACCTTAATAGCTTTCCAATTTGTTTATATGTTATTTATAATATAAATGTTTTTGTATTTGGCTTTACGGAAAGAGGAAAACTATTATTTTTCATAACATTTTTATACATACATATGTATTTCATTGTTCTTTTATATGTGATCTTGTTTGCTTATACGATTGTTTTCTTCTACTAGTTTAGACTACTTGTTCTATATAAAGGTGAAGGTAAAAAGGGAAACGAATAAATCTAAATTTGAGTTCAATGCAAGCAAAAATTGGTAATGAACAAATAAGTTAAAAAACCTAATACCTTGTAAAAGGCTTGGTTGTACTGGTAAACAAAAAGCAAAGAAACCCTAGGAGCTGCCGCCCCTTTGGGGTCGGTGGCTTCCCATCCTCCCCTCCCTTCTCTTCTCTTCTCTTCTCTTCTCTTATGCTCCTCCCTCCCTCCTTGCCCCTACTTTCCTCTTGTTTCTTTTGTTTTTTGTTTTTTTGTTTTTGTTTTTTGCAAAATTGGTTGTGGCTGGCTTTAATCCCGTTGCTTGTACCCCAAAAAAAAAGAACACACATTATTTCCGAAGTTGAAATTGTTTATTGACCTAAGACTCATTTTCTACAAATATTAAGCCTTTTAGTTTATGGGTCAAATGCAAGAACCCCATTTTGAGTGGGAATGGAATCCAAAATTAAATAGCAAAACCACTAAAAGGTTCTATCCTAATCCAAACTAGGAGTTTATTTCAACAACGCAAATAAATACATGTAGAGAGCGGAATATTTTGTTGAACTCTCAACACTAGTTTAGAGCACTCTGTGGTTGGACTTGTTCTATATAAAGATGAAGGTAAAAATGTGGAACAAAATAAATCCAAATTTGAGTTCAACGCAAGCAATAATTGGTAATGAACAACTAAGGACAAATAAGTTTATGAGCAAATTTGTGTTTAATGTATTTTTTGGTTGGAGTTGTTATACATACACACACATATAATATATATATATATATATATCTCTTGAAATGGAGATTGAATTATTGAGGATTTAAGACTATGAAATTGAATACAAGCCTCAATCTCCCTGTTGTTGTGGTTGGAGTTGTTATATATTTCACTGATGGTTTATAATTATATGTGACCTTGTTTGTTTATATAATTGTTTTCTTCTACTAGTTTAAGGTCCTTTGTGGATGGACTTGTTCCCGAATATTGAAATTTCTATTGACCTAAGACTTATTTTCTAAAATTATTAAGTCTTTTAGTTGATGGGTCAATGCAAGAATCCGATTTGGAGAGAAAAAACCTAGAATCCTAAATTATATAAGGAACCTTCTAAAAGACTCTAATCCAATAGGAGTTCATCACAACAACGCAATTAAATACATGTAGAGCGCAATACTCGCATCAACTACTTTGTGGTCATATGGTACTTTATGAAAAGCTATTCAACTACTGCCTTTTGCAAGCATGGAGACAAGCATAGAATGACATGGAACCGCTTAGACGTCTCATTAGAAACCATATTAGGATAGTACTTTTTTATTTTATAAAAAACTCAATATTAGGATAGTACTTAGTTTTAATAAATCCAACTTTTTAAGAAAGTTTGGGGGCGATAGTAGTACTAGGATGGGTGACCTCCTGAAAAGCCTTGTGTTGCATCTCATTCTTTTGCTAACAGGGTTTTAGTGTGAAAGTCAAAGTCGGTCTTGAGATTTTGAGAGCCCTGTGTGAAACTTAAACTAGAGCCCTCACATAATCTAATATTAAAAAATAATTTTTTTTTGCCATGACTTAATGTCATAAAACAATTTTTTTATAACTAAAATTCATTATTAATTAGAATGTCATTACAATCACAAATCAATTTCATAATTTTTTTAATGTTTTCATTTGATAAAGTTAAATATTAGTATGTGTTGAGGCCCAAAAAATCCACGGATGGGCCCGAATATATTCTCGGCCCAAAACGATATATTATTGAGAAAAGACCCGATTTGGAGCACACGAAAGTTCGCCATGCACGAGTCACACTCCACGTGTCATGCCAAATAAATAATCCGTCATGCTAGGAATCGAGATTAAGATTATAAAATGCATTAGCTCTACAAATCCATGCTAATTATCCCATCAAGCATCACAATTAAAAACGTGCCAAGCGACATGTCATGCCAAGCACGAAATCGTTATTTCGCACCCAACTACGTTACAAGCCTAAGCGGGCCCAAGCCGCTCAAATACCCGGGGCTTGCTTGAGTGAGTTGTGGTATGTATGGTAATAAATCATCATGAGGCCCATTGATGGGCCGAGAAATGGAAGTCTCGGGTCGCTTGGGAGCCTCGGGACTCAAGCCCATTTCTTAGGCCCAAACACATGGGTGAGCACAAAAGGGAAGATAACCCAACCAAAAATAAGCCCAATCAAAATAGCCTATTGACTCAACCAAAAAGCCCAAACGTTTTAAATAGTCCACTTACTTAAGGAACCACCTTGGCCCATACAAAACTCCAAAATAAGCCACAAAAGCCTCAGCCCCTTGCTAGAAAAATAGAAGCCACGAAGAGGGAGGTCTAAAGATTTATTGAACAAAGTTGCTAAAGGTTCCAGCACATGGGGGGAGCAAGTTCCAAGCAAAAAACATTCAAGGAACCAAAGAATATTAGCCTGCGAACTGCCAGAAGCACCCTTTGAACCAGCATGTATATCCACTTCCTTTCCTTCATCAGATCTGGCCAAGGACGGTGGAAGGAAAGAAGAAGAAAAATAGCTAAGAATGGAGCCTCATACTGGAACAACCGCGGGAAAGGGGCCTTGAGCTCCCAAAGTTCCTGATTTTGTGCGAATAGATAGAGGAAATTTCACCAAGATAGGAAAAGCCAAGGGAGAAGAAGAGAAAGAAAGGGAAAAACTTAGCCAAAATGGGTAGAAACCATTAGGGTTTATTGGGAAGGGATGATTTCCAGCAGCTATAAAATGAGGCATCTCCTACCTAACGAAACTAAATCCAGATTCAGAGAGCAAGCTTTCTCTCTAACTTGCAAAAACCCAGCAAACTCGTGCACTGTTCACCCTCTTCTCTATTCTTCTCTTCTGGCAGACAGAGTATTTGTCAAGCTGCCGGAAGAGCATTGTTCTTCATTTCTCTCTTCCTAGCCAAATCTCCTACAAATCTCTCCTTTCTCACCTTAACACTTCCCTTTTTCCCCCTAAGAAAGCCTAAATTTCCCCTCAATGCTAAACTCACGTTGATTTTGCTTCCATGCCACATGCCTCTCATGCCAAGCTCAAAAGTTTATCTGTAAGCATGCAAAAATTACCTGTAAGTTGCCATTGTTTTGGCTGGTGAAGGTAACCAAAATACTTCCTAAGGTTTTGCTGCCATTTCGAAACATTTTTTGGGCTTAATTTTTGAACTCAGACAAAGGGGACAATTTCATCAGTTTGCCTTTTACGGCAACCCAGCCCATTTACAGCTGTCGGAAGAAAAAGTCCCCTACAGTATGTTTGATATTAAAAAAATAAGAGTTCAAGAGAAAGAAGATGGTATGAAAAAAACTTTGGTTTTATTTTGAGTGGAAGAAAGTACTTTTTTTTTTGTTTATAGGAGAAAGCGTATGTGTGTGATATATACTACGAATTTAAAATGATTTAAATTTTGTTATTATAATGGAAAAAAGAATAAAAATACAAATAGAATGACATCATTAAGACTCGAACCTAGGTCTTGTGTCTTGTACCAAAGGATATACAGTAGAAATCAACTCCACTAAATACACTTTGGTTTCAATATACTACATGGTGGAGTATAAATACAGTTTTTATAATATGAATATATAATATAAAGTAAAAAAATTCAGGGGCCTCAAAAATCAGGGATCTTGTGCAGTGATGCCACTTGTACCATGCCAAGGCCGACTTATTGGGTTTTATTCATCATGGTATCCATATGTGTGAGTTCCCTCTCCCCTTCCTAACTTTGGGAAAAAAAGAAGTAAAACTAAAATAAAAAATTATGGTGCGTTTGGATGAGGGAAATAAACTTGGGATTTTGACAAAACTCAGAATTTCTAAATTGACATGAACCAATTCCGGTGTTTGGATAAAAAAAAACATAGAAATTTAGAAATTCCACATGGAAAAAAAAAAGAATTTGGATATCATAAATCCCAAGTTTAAAATCTATCTAAAAGTCGTCATTTCTAAAGTCCCAAGAGAGATTGAGTTTTAAAAAAAGATAACTTTACAATTAAAGGTTAAATTCTGTGTTTTAAATCAGTTACCCAAACAATAAACTTTATAAATTCTAGAACATTAATTTCCGTCATTTTAAATTCCGTCATTTATGAAATCCTTTGTACTTTTAAATTTCCTCATCCAAACACACTGTTATGGAATTTAGAAAATACTTTTAAAAGCTGTTGTGAGAACGCTATTTATTTTAAAATAATGAGCTTTATAGGTATCCAAATGATAAAATAAGTGGTATTTTTAGAACGCGATCATAATTATAAAATGTACTGAATCAATATTTTACTCGAGGAAAAACATAATGAATAATAAGAAGCTGGAAACGGCAAGCTTAGTTTTGCAACCACCGGGGCATTGTTCCATCCCAGCATTTATAAATAGGGAGATTCACTATTATACCCAATATGAGGGCCCAAATTATAAAAATACTCCATATGAAATGGACTTTATAAACACACCAAAAACCCATTTACAACATAACAAATAAACTTTAACTTCTTATAAATTACAAAACTATCATAAATTTCTTAAAACAAGCCCAACCCCAAAATCTCATAAAAATACCCAAAACACTCAATATGGAATTAAAGTAATTTAATAATCAATATTAAATTTAATAAGGCCAGCTGTCATTTTTTGGGTTTGTTTATAGAATTTCAATTGTGTAGGGTTTATCTATAATATTAGTGCTAAGAATGAGTATATCACTAAATATCTCTTATAAATATTGCATTTAATGCTCATGGTCCGTCAAGTCAAGGAGAGCGTTAAAACGGTAAAATGAGACTGGTGTATTTCAATTTTCTTTCGATCCCACAAAGGACACGTGGAGTAATACAAAGTGAGAGACTGTAGCTGGCTAAAGTCACCTGTGGTTAATTAGCATTCCTCATTGGGAGGGGAAAAGATCTCTTTATACTCTATATCCTAATTCAAATAGGAATTATATCTTAAGCGCCACCTATAAATACATGTAAATACTTGGGAATCATATCCCAATATCATCATCATCAGCAGCAACCGCTATGGCTTATACTTATTCCACCAAGAGGAGGCTAAAATATTCAAGCACAACACCAAATAAGTGGGCTGATGAGCTCCCAACTGAGCTGTTAGGGTTGATCGTGAAAAAGCTCGCTTCTAATTTCATGGACATCAGTCGCTTCAAAGCCGTCTGTTCTTCTTGGAACGGCGCTGTAAGATCGTATACCTCCGCCCCGTTGCCTCAATATCCAGGGCTCATGTACCCCTCCACGCGATGGGGTTGGAATAGGAATGGCATATGCTTCTTCAGTCTTGCAGAGAAGAAGGTTTACAAGACGGAAGCATCTCAAGGCTTTCTTAGAGTCGATTCCTTTTTGGGTTCATCACATGGGTGGCTGGTGATGGGGAAGGGGGCTTGGACATTGGGCGAAATTCGTCTTTTCAATCCAATTTCTAGAAAAAGCAGGACGCTTCCTCCCTTGCCGCGTGGGTCTCCAATCCGTAAAGTTGTGCTTTCCTCGGACCCCTCTCGCAACAACAATTTTGTCGTTGTGGTAATTCATGAGACCTTGAACATAGCATTCTATCAACACGGCAGAGGAGGAGAAAACGCTACTGCATGGACTGAATTAGAGGGTTCACATGATCATTATTTTGATATCCTACTCTGCAACAATGGTCATTTATTTGCACTGTCCAAAGACCACTCAATTCAAGTTTGGGACTTCGGGGACACCTATAATAATAATAATCCCACGAAGATCATGCATTTTCGACCTTCCATGGCTTGGAATGGTATTCATGGAACCATGATGGGGAATAAAAAATGGTTGGTGGTGTTGGATAACAATCAATATAAAACCAAAATAACAGAATAATAAAAACCAACGAATATATTTTATATGGATATAATTGAATCAATACAGCAATAATATAGATTGTAGAATACTGACTTGAATTGTAGATAGAGTCCTGCAGATTTGCAGTGTCCTTTAGACAGTATTTCTCCTCTACCCTTGTGCTTGTAGTTCAATAGGAGTCTGTCCACCAGGATTAAACTATCTTAAATCTAAGCCTAAGCACAGTGGCTTGATTTCTGGCGAACAGTGGTATGAATTCTCTCAGGAAGTGTAAAATGTGAGAATGATGATGCAGTTCAAAAGTATATTTCTGTTGAACCCAAGGCCCATCTTTTGACAATTAATTATATATATATTTATTACACAAATATATATATAATCCAAGCTCAAACCATGTTGAGGCTCAATTTTGCCTCCACTAGGCCCATACTCTATTTAGTAATTCTAATGTGTTGGTGCTTATAAACTATGGAAGAAAACTACTCTCTTCCAATGTGGGACTACATGCAAGTGTATTTTCCTATACAAACTCTAACAATACCCCACATTTGTATAGGAAAATTATAACGTGCATATTTGAGAGAAAACTTAGATATAACACATATCAGGAGAGGTGTCTTTTGGACTTGAACCTACCTTAGTGAATACTTATCGGATTTACTGGGGTGACGCAGTGAATATAAAATCTTGAACTGTTCACCTTTTGTAGTAAACCGAGACAACAAGTATCACATATGTTACATCTTAACATACCACTTATTCATACGTTTGTGTTCATTTTGGTCCTGAACAGATCCTGGATTCATAGGAGCTTTAGAGAATTTAGCCATCTCATTCTCATAAATGCGACCCCACATTTACTCCTACATAGGTAATGTTGACTATGAATAGTCTGCTCTATTCCTCTTGATGTCAAGAAATCAACATCATTAAACTTTCGTACCCTAATAGACTTCTTGCAGACAACACACTTCTTTCCATCATAGGAATGAGATTTAAGTGTGTTAGCTCTTTTGAATTATGCCTAACCAGTTTGCCTATTGAACCTAGACCATGGGATCTCCAATCAGCTAGGTTAGGTTTCCGTTAGGCCGATTCATTTATTGAATTGGCTTCAATCCCATTCCCCTCGATGTTACTTTGATTTGCTCTCTTGACAAGCCTTTTGTAAACGGATCCGCAAGGTTTTGTCTTGACTTTATGTAGTCAATAGAAATTATTCCATTTGAGAGCAACTGCTTGATTGTATTATGCCTTCGTCTAATATGTCTAGACTTTCCATTGTATACATTATTTTTGGCTCTTGCTTGAGCAGCCATACAATCACAATGTATACAAACAGCCGTCACAGGCTTAGGCCATATAGGAATATCTTCCAAAAAATTTCTTAGCCACTCGGCTTCTTCACCAGCTTTATCTAAAGCTACAAATTCCGATTCCATTGTTGATCGGGCTATGCAAGTTTGTTTACTAGATTTCCAAGATATGGATGCTCCTCCTAGTGTAAAAACATATCCACTAGTGGAATTTGTTTCTAAATCATTAGAAATCCAATTGGCATCACTATATCCTTCTAGTACTGGAGGATATTTGGTATAGTGTAATCCATACTCCAAGGTGTAATTTAAATATCTCAAAACTCTAATCAATGCTTCCCAATGATCATGTCCTGGATTACTTGTATACCTACTAAGTCTACTCACGGAATAGGCTATATCAGGTCTTGTACAATTCATAATGTACATAAGACTACCAATGATTTGTGAATATTTCTTTTGTGAAATAAATTCACCTTCATTCTTCTTTAATTTGCAACTTGCATCAAAAGGTGTTACAACATGATTACTTCCAAAATGACCAAACTTTCTAAGAACAGTTTCTACATAATGGGACTGTGTTAATATATAACCATCTGAATTTCTTTTGACTCTAATTCCAAGAATTAAATCAGCAAGACCTAAGTCTTTCATGTCAAAACTGGAGTTTAACATTTTCTTGGTAGAGTTAATTATGTCCTTGTTAGTCCCAATTATGAGCATGTCATCTACATACAGACACACTATAACACATGCGTTCTTATGTGTCTTGATATAGACACATTTATCACATTCGTTTATTTTAAAACCATGTGTCATCATAGTATGGTCAAATTTTTCATGCCATTGCTTTGGAGCTTGTTTTAGTCCATAGAGAGACTTTACAAGTTTGCAAACCTTTAGTTCTTGACCTTTTACTACAAACCCCTCAGGTTGTTCCATATATATTTCCTCATCCAACTCTCCATTTAAGAAAGCGGTTTTTACATCCATTTGATGTATTTCCATGTCATAAATTGACGCTATAGCAATCAACATCCTTATTGATGTTATTCTTGTCACAGGTGAGTATGTGTCAAAGAAATCTAAGCCTTCCTTTTGACGGTATCCTTTGGCTACCAACCGAGCCTTATACTTATCAATTGTACCATCTGCTTTTAATTTCTTCTTAAAGATCCATTTGTATCCAATTGGTCTATTACCAGGTGGTATATCAACCAATTCCCATGTATGATTTTGCATAATGGATTCAACCTCACTATTGATTGCTTCTTTCCAAAATGGAGCTTCTGGACTTGATATTGCCTCTTTATATGTTTGAGGCTCAGCTTCAGCTATCATGGTCAAGAAATCTGGTCCAAAATCTTTTGGTATTCTTGTCCTTTTACTTCTTCTAGGTTCTTGATCTTGTTCATTTTCTTGAACACTAGATGAAGTAGGATTACCATCATCTATTCTAGAATTCTCATTTATTCTAGAATCATCAATAGTTCTTTTGCTATTGACATTGGACCTTCCTTGTTTATAAGGAAAAATGTCCTCAAAGAATATTACATCCACAGATTCTAGTATTGTATTCACATGTATATCAGAAACATCAGAGTGAAATACTAAAAATCTATAAGCAGCACTATTGGATGCAAATCCAATGAAGACACAATCTATAGTTTTGGGTCCAAGTTTAGTTCTCTTTGGCAAAGGAACTTGAACTTTTGCTAGGCAACCCCACACTTTGAGTGTCTTATAGGTTGGTAACCTTCCTTTCCATACTTCATATGGTGACTTGTTACTCGTTTTATGTGGAATTCGATTCAAGATTGTATTTGCAGTAAGTAAGGCTTCACCCCACATGTTATGTGGAAGCCCAGAACTATTCAGCATAGAATTTATCATGTCTTTTAATGTCCTATTTTTCCTTTCAGCAACACCGTTTTGTTGCGGTGTATAAGGAGCTGTCGTTTGATGAATTATACCATTTGTGGCACAAAATTCAGCAAATGCAGTGGATTCATATTCCCCTCCTCTATCTGATCTTAGGACTTTAATTTTTCTGTTGAGTTGATTTTCAACTTCAGCCTTATATGTCTTAAACATATCCAAGGTCTCATCTTTGCTATGTAATAAATATACATAACAGTACTTGCTGCAATCATCAATGAAAGTCACATAATATTGCTTTCCTCCACGACTTGGTGTTGATTTAAAATCACATAAATCACTATGAATTAAGCCTAGCAGTTCATTGGACCTATTATGTACAGATTTAAAACTTTTTCTGGCAAATTTAGATTCTGTACATGTTTCACATTTAATATTTTCAATAGAATCTAACTTAGGCAGCAATCCTAAATTATACATTCTATGTAAGGAACGGAAATTCACATGTCCTAATCTAGCATGCCATAATGTAGAAGAAGAATCAACCATATAAGCAGAAGCCTTATTTATATTATTATTCATAGAATTGGCAGATACATTGACTTTGAATAACCCATCAGCAAGATAACCTTTTCCCACAAACATTCCCCCCTTAGTTAGTACAACTTTGTTGGATTCGAAAACTAGTTTGAATCCTTTGTTGCTTAGAACAGGTCCAGATACCAAGTTCCTTCTTATGTCTGGCACATGCAGCACATCTAGGAGGGTTAGTTCCTTTCCAGAGGTGAATTTCAGAAGCACTTTTCCCTTTCCAACAACAGCAGATGCAGAGGCATTTCCCATAAACAGTTGTTCACCACCATGTATCTCTTGGTAAGTAAGAAATGCATTCTTATCACCACAGATATGGCGGGTGGCTCCAGTATCAATCAGCCACTCATTGTCATTCGAAACCATGTTGGTTTCTGACACCACTGCAGCCAAGTTTTCTTCAGTCACATTGGCCTGATTGTTCCTTGGCCTGTTGTAGTTTGGATTTGCAGGATTGGCAGGATTCTGATTCTTTCTATGCCTGCAGTCTTGAGCCTTATGGCCTGTTTTCCCACAGACCCAGCATGCTCCTTTAATCTTTTTGAAGTCTTTTCCTTTTGCTCCAGGAACAAAGTTCTTCTTGTTCATTTTGGGATTGAATTTTGGTTTTGCTGAGGTTCCTTCAACTATGTTTGCCTTGGCTTCCATGTTTGAAACCACATTCTTGTTCTCACTTATTCTGTTATCCTCCTCAATCCGAAGCCTAACAATGAGATCCTCCATACTCATCTCCTTTCTCTTGTGCTTCAAATAACTCTTGAATTCTTTCCAATTTGGTGGGAGTTTTTCAATCAAGGACGCCACTTGGAAAGATTCATTGATCTTCATGCCTTCAGCAAGAATCTCATGGATAATTTTCTGGAGGTTTTCAACTTGTTTGACAACAGGTTTGGAATCTACCATCTTGAAATCCAGAAATCTGCCTACAACAAATTTCTTGGATCCTGCATCTTCAGTTTTATATTTTTTCTCAAGAGATTCCCAAACTTCTCTAGCCGTCTTGAATGCTGCATAGACATCATACAGTGCATCATCAAGTCCATTCAAGATATAGTTCCTGCACAGAAAATCAGATTGTGTCCATGCATCAATTGCAGCGACAGTCTCTTTGGTTGCAGGATCCTTATTCGACACAGGGGCATCCTGTCTGAGAATGTGGGCTAGATTTAATGTTGTCAGATAGAACAACATCTTCTGTTGCCAACGTTTGAAGTCAGTGCCTTTGAATTTCTCAGGCTTTTCGGCATGAGAGGTCTTACTTCCTGATTGTTCCATAATACTGTCTAAAGATTGTTGGATAACAATCAATATAAAACCAAAATAACAGAATAATAAAAACCAACGAATATATTTTATATAGATATAATTGAATCAATACAGCAATAATATAGATTGTAGAATACTGACTTGAATTGTAGATAGAGTCCTGCAGATTTGCAGTGTCCTTTAGACAGTATTTCTCCTCTACCCTTGTGCTTGTAGTTCGATAGGAGTCTGTCCACCAGGATTAAACTATCTTAAATCTAAGCCTAAGCACAGTGGCTTGATTTCTGGCGAACAGTGGTATGAATTCTCTCAGGAAGTGTAAAATGTGAGAATGATGATGCAGTTCAAAAGTATATTTCTGTTGAACCCAAGGCCCATCTTTTGACAATTAATTATATATATATTTATTACACAAATATATATAATCCAAGCTCAAACCATGTTGAGGCTCAAGTTTGCCTCCACTAGGTCCATACTCTATTTAGTAATTCTAATGTGTTGGTGCTTATAAACTATGGAAGAAAACTACTCTCTTCCAGTGTGGGACTACATGCAAGTGTATTTTCCTATACAAACTCTAACAGGTGGAGTCAATGGGTGAGCTTTTGCTTGTGGAGCGGGAATGGTTGGGGGACAATATCAGAGGAACAGAGAAATTTGATGTCTACAAGTTAAACATTGCTGCCAAAACGTGGGAGAAGGTGGAATGTTTGCGTGATTGTGCTTTATTTTTGGCCAAAAATCAACCGGCAATGTCATTATCCACGCAGAAATTGCCAAGATTGAAAGAAAACTCAATTTATTTCGCAGAAGAGTATCACGAGTATTCACATGGTGGTGATATTATTGATATTCATGTTCGAGGAGTGTTCAACTTTGAAACTAAAGTTGTTAAGCAATACTGTATAACTGGAGCGCATAACTTTAGTTATTCACCAGCCGTTTGGATTGTGCCTAGTCCTTGGTGATGTTGGTATCAGTCATATTTTTGTTTCTGTTGAACATGTAAGCCAAAAAGCATTGAATGAATGTTATGAGAACTTCCGTCAATAATCTTTAGTTTTACCCATTGCGCTTATGTTCCAAGAGCATATATATATATATATATATATATATTGAAATGGAAATTAAATGCAAGTCTCAACAATCTCAGTTTGTGGTTGGAGTTTTTATGCATACATATAAAAACTGAAGCTCAACGCAAGCAAAAAGGGAAACGAAATAAATCCAAATTTGGGTTCAACACAAGCAAAAATTGGTAATGAAAAAATAAGTTCAAAAACCTAACACCGTTTTTTTTTTTTTTTTTTTTTTTTTTTTTTTTTTTCAAGACAAAAACCTAACACCTTTAATCAACATTATTATTCCCGAATGTTGAAATTGTTTCTTGACCTAAGGCTCATTTTCTAAAATTATTAAGTGCCCATTTGGTATTGCTTATTTGGAGCAAAAATCACTTATTTTGAAAGTTTTCTTCCATCTGCCTGTTTGGTAAATAAAAAATAAATCGGCTTTCAAGCATAATTGATGTCGTTGACAGCTATTTGGATAAGCAAGTAAATGGGTGATTATATTTCCGCTTATGCGTAAAGCGGGTGAGAAATCGGTGGTATTTCAATAAATTTTCCTGAAATCCCAAAATTATCCTCTTCAATTTTTAGATATTACTTCTATTTTGCTCTTCACTTTTTCCCATGCGTTTTTGAATCTCTCCTCCTTCCTCATTTTCTTCTTCTTCTTCTTTTTATCTTCTTTAACATAACCCATATTTACTTTTCTATAATTTTCAAAAAAACACAAATTTACTTTTCTTCTATAATTTTAGCGAGACCTAGATTTAAGGACGAACAACATAATTTTTCTCTAGGATTCACACTTTATTTTTTGGGTTGTTTCTGGGTGATATTTATGTCATTCTATTTTGGTTTTTATTACTTTTTTTTAGTTTGTATCAGGGTGATGTCTTTGTCATCCTGTTTTGGTTATGATGTTTCTATTTTATTTATTTATTTATTGGTATACAAAATGAAACCTTCATTATAACTCCCACAAGGTTCGAGAAAATTGCTATCCGATTCTAGTAAACAACTCGGATAACCAGAGTGAATACCGTAACGTGAAACTACCCAACTGCAAACCCCTAAACCTTAGACACAAAGTCTTCGAAACATCAACCATGGATGACTTTGATGAAACTTAAAAGATAATGGTTTCCGACTTATATGTGCACTTGGCTATGATACAAAAAACAGAAAACAATTCAAATCAGTAAATAATGTAGATGAGCAGTTTCTAGTTAAAAACTGATATAAACGGAAACAACAATGCACTTTATGACAAAACATATCCTCAAATTTGAATAGAAACCAAAAGAAAGCCATGTTCAAAGTACTAAAACTAATATCAAAACACATTTAACTCCATGAGTAGTTGTAACATTGTCATACACTTCCAATGAAGTTTATGATACCATAAACTGCAATGCAGCTTATGCTAAAAACTGAAACAAACAGATGCATTTTATGACAGAAAATCTAAACAAATTCAAGTCCATCAGCAGTTGTAACATTGCCAAACACTTCCAATGCAGTGTATGAAACCAAAAATTACAATGCAGTTTTTGCTAAAAAACTGAAACAAACAAATGCCGTTTATGACAGAAAATTAAAAAACTTCGAATAGAAACCAAAAGGAAACTAGATAAAAGTACTAAAACTAAATTCTAAAAACATATAAGTCGATATAAACAAAAACAAGTTTTAAAGTACTCATACCTTAACACCTAGGACCACCAGCGGAGCCAGAAAATTCATCAAGGAGGGTCAACCTCAAATAATAAAATCATCACAAAACAAAATAAATTTATCTAATAACACAAAGTCTTTAGTAATAACTCATATATGTCATTCCAATACATTCATAATCATTCATCTCTTGAAATATTTTTATAATCACTTCATTATCAATAATATCAAATTTCAGAATTCAGATAATAAAGAAATCATATAAACATTATTTTTTTTAATTGAGATAATAAAGAAATCGTAAATAAAAAAGTGGTTTTGGGTTAATAATTCTTAAGTTATTAAAGAGAGAGAGTTATAACAGCTGTGAACTTCAGTCAGTAGGGTCAAAATTTAAGAATGAATTATAAACAAAGAGATATTTAGAAAACTTCAGAAGGGTCAGTTGACCCTTGTGGGCCTTCATTGGCTCCGCCAGTGCTTAGGACTGCCAAAAATCTCCACAACCAAACAACAGCTCAAAATCAAATATGATCACAAAACGAAGAAGATAGGGTTTAGTATTGAACGCCACAAGATCGCGCCACAAAATCGTGCAACAAAACGGAGCTCGAAATACCTGAACTAAGGAGAACAGAAATCACCCAAAACTGACAACGTAGCAGAAAAAAGAAAACAAAAAAAAGAAGAAAAATGAACGAAAACCTACCAGCAAATTTAAGCTCCAATGGCAGAACGAGAACAAGAGCTCCAAAACCTCAAAGCCGAAGGAAAACTAAAGAGAAACCAAGACCAAATCGTGCATAGTTTAAACAGCCAGGGGTAAAAGAGTCATTTAGTTTGTTAGGTTTAAATATGGGCTAGACTTTTTAAGAAGAATGGTAGAATTGTCTTTTCAGTTTTTATTTTTAAGCTGGCCCAACGAATCTGGGCCTCCTCTTCGGCCTAATCTAAAATAACAATTCTTTCCTAGGTATTAAAGCCCAAACCAAAATACCCAATGTCTCACATACTAATTAGTAAAGTTAATGATGTCTAATACCTAATTTTTCTAATTATTTATTTATTTTATTTTATATTTCTTCTGAAAACTGACCTTATCTTCTTTTTAATTTCTAGAAGGAACAATCAGCAGCCGTAAAGATCAACCTTAACGTCTTGGGCTTTTATCCTGAGCCCCTTTCCTTGTCATGTAATTTTTTGTGTTCAACAGTTGTATACTCATATACCTATGGCTACGTACTCTTATGTTAATATGCTTATGTTCTAAAAACTTTTACCGTATGTTCTATGTCTTGGGAAATGATACCAAATGGTCATATAGTTCCCATACTTAAAATAGTGATTTTTTTTTTGGGGAAGTTTGGGAAGTTCAGCTGTGGGCTCAAGCCCTTCAGCTTGGGATAGTGAACTATTATACTTAATAGGTTTTGAGGAGTCTGAACTTTTAAGTATACATGTATGAGTGTTGTGAACTCTAGCATGTTACGGCTTATCCGATCATATGACAAGTCTCTACATATGAGATATACTGTAAAAGTATTATTTCATGCAAAAATTACAATAAATGACTAAATGATATGTATCTCGGTGCTATTATGCATGATTTAATTCTGTAAGGCAATCTTATAATATATCAGTGGCATGTACTTACTGGGTTAGTATGACTCATGATGCTACATATTTGCTGTTTTCAGGTGGTGAGTAGAATTGCATGGGGATTGGGATGATGACTACATTTTTATAGAAATAAAACCAGTTGTACTAGTACTTATCTTTACATTACAAAAATGCAAGTATACATGAACTTTCATTTAAAGTAAAGATTATGTATGAATATTCAGCTCTTGATCATCAATACAAATTTGTATTTAAAGTCATTATTGTTTTTCTAGTTATTTTAAAACGAAAATTTTTGACATCAAATTCACATGTCGTATTCTTATAATATTGGCATATGGATTTGGGGGCGTGACAGTTATGTTTGGATGAAAATCAATCAGCAATATTGCAATATCCACTTTAGGTTTTCCAGAATTCAAAGAAAACTCAATTTACTTCACAAAAGAACGTAGAGTTAGAGTTTACAACTTAGAAGACAAAGACTTACTTCACAAATCATATATGAAATCTGTAAATATTCTGTTCAAAACTTGTTCACCACTCCTTTGGGTTGTTCCTAATCCATGGTGATATGGTAGTGGTACCACACACATCCCTTTATTAGAGCACTATTTGGGGTTTAATTTGGTCTAAAAGCGAAACTTTATTCTCTCTCTCTCCGTCTCTCTACTTTTTTTATTTTTGCCTTTTCCGTATGCAGTTTGAGCACATCGTAAAAGAATTAGATTACAAAATGTATGAATGAATATTTGAGGATTTAAAATTGATTAATACAAAGAATCCAACTCCCGTTAATCCACAATGGGCACTCTACTGATTAACACTGGGACTGTCGGGAATTCTTGTATTATTATACCACGAAAATCATGAATTTTCAATCTTTTATAACGATTGTTTTGTCTTGTTTGGTGGAGTCAATGGGTGAGCTTTGTTTGTGGAAGAAATTATGACCTATGACCAGCCAGATAAAAATTATAATGAAAAGAGGAAAAAAAAAGAAGAAGAGCCCACATTAAAACAAAATACTGAATTTTTTTTTCAATTGACTTGAGTTGAGATTAATTTTCTATAATTATTAAGCCTTTTAGTAAATTGGTCAATGCAGAAATCCATTTTGGAGTGGGAAGTTAATAAAACAACTCTCAACTGGAAAACTAGATTACCGCTCTATCCTAATCCAAATAGGAGTTTATACCCAAATATATACATGTAAAGCACAAAAAGTTTTGCAACTCTCAACCTCTAATTGCAGTTGGGGGATTTGAATTTCTGCAGCATATTGTCCGAACAACAATAATGGCTGAGAAAGCATATCCACTGTTTCATGTTCTACCATTTTTTCCATCTCAGCAGAAAGCTATCTGTGAAAAATACTTGGGTCCTCGAATTACCTGCAAGCCCAAACCAAATTATTTTCAGGCAACAAGGCCGCATGCCCAATCTCGCGAAAAGCCCAATTAATAAGTAAGTCCGACTTTTTTATGGGACTCGGCGTGGGAAGGAAGAAAATAATTCATTAGGGTTCTGGCAAACCAAAAAAGGAAATAATTCATTAGGGTTTACATCACATCACCGCATATAAATACATGTAAAAACAATACTTGGGAACTCTGTAATCAAATCCGAATATCATCAATGGCAATGGCAATGGCTTGCACCACCGAAAGAAAAACAACATCACCAAATAGAAATAGGTGGGCTGATGAGCTCCTTCCTGAACTGTTTGAGTTGATCTTGAAAAAGCTCGCTTCAAATGTCCTCGACATCATTCGGTTTAAAGCCGTCTGTTCTTCCTGGAACTGCGCTGCTGCAAGATCGTACACCTCTGCCCCCTTGCCTCAATATCCATGGCTCATGGCCCCCATGCCCAAGTTCCCTCCTATTGAGAGCAGGTGCTTCTTCAGCCTTGCAGAGAATAAGGTTTACAAGATGGACTGGAATCGGGAGAAAACGTTTCATGGCGATGGTGTTTCCTGTTTGGGTTCATCATATGGGTGGCTGGCGATTAAGGAGGTGTACACAGAAAAGAAAACCTACAACGAATATGAAGAAATCGTTCATCTTTTCAATCCAATTTCCAGAGAACGCTTGACGCTTCTCTTGGCGCCAAAACTGACTACAACTGATAAAGTTGTGCTTTCCTCGGACCCCTCCCGCAACAACAACTTTGTAGTTGTGGTAATTCATAATCCCTTCTTTGAAAGGACAGGGTTAGCATTCTATCAGCATGGCATAGGAGGAGACAACGCTTCTGCTTGGACTAACTTATCACATGGGAGTAGCTGTGCCGATATGGTATTCCACAATGGTCATTTATTTACACTGTCCATCGTCCACACAATTCAAGTTTGGGACTTCAGGAGCACCAATGATAATAATAATTATCCCACGAAGATCATGAATTTTCGACCTTCCATCAATGGGAATGTCAATAGCATGGCGGTTGATGAATGGTTGGTGGAGTCAATGGGTGAGCTTTTGCTTGTGGGGAAGGAACGGTTAGGGAATGATACCAGAGGAGCAGTGAAATTTTTTGTCTACAAGTTAAATATTGCTGCCAAAACGTTGGAGAAGGTGGAATCTTTGCGTGATTGTGCTTTATTTTTGGCCAGAAATCAATCTGCAATGTCATTCTCATTATCCACCAAAGAATTGCCAAGATTGAAAGAAAACTCTATTTACTTCACAGATTTGGATCATGTGCTTAAGCTGAATGAGAGTTGTGGTGAGAATTTTTATGAAATTCATGTGGGAGGAGTATACAACTTAGAAACTAAAGTTGTTGAGACATATTATCCAACTCGAGCGCCTGTGAGCAATAAATATTGGAGTTCACCACCCGTTTGGATTGTGCCTAGTCCCTGGTACTAATGTTAGTCTCTCAGTCTCAACTGTTTTTGTTTGTGCTTATAAATATGTTGAGCACTTTGTCTCAACTGTTCATGAAATGCAGATTGAACTATTGAGAGTTAAAGGCTATGAAATTGAATACAAGCGCCAGTCTATGTGATCTTGTTCGCTTATATGTGATTGTCTTCTTTGACCAAATAAAAGATTTTCTTCTACTACTGTTTTTTTTTGGGCCATTGTAGGCATTCCCCGATAAAGGCTTCGAATGGGTGCACTTGGGGGAGGGGGAGAGGTTTTGGCCCACTTTTCCACTGTGGTGCCACCCCATGTGCTTCTTCTACTACTGATTTTAGAGAGCACTTCATAATGGAAGGGAATAATCCAATTAAAGCTTTTGTTTCGCCAAAAAAATCATTAAGCCTTTTAGTTAATGCAAGAATCCGATTTTAAGTGGGAAATTACTAAAACGACTATCAGTTGAATCCTAAATTATATAGGGAAGCTCTGTCATAATCCAAATAGGAGTTTATCTAAACAAAACAAATAAATACATGCAGAGCGCAACACTTTTTGAAACTCTCAATCTCCTAAATTATATAGGGTTTTAATTTTGTGCAGCATATATACAGTCCCAACAACAATAATGGCTGAGAAAGGAGCTCCACTGCTCCACCATTGCACCAAAAGGAGGAGGAGGAGCATTGCTAGTACTTCAACTAAGCTTTAACGCCTCTTCTGTCTTGTTTGGTGGAGTAGGTGAGCTTTGTTTGTGGAGCAGGTTATAATTAGGCCCAAATTCAACTAAGCTCCCAGTTCATTGACGTATCAACAGCTGAAATCAAATAAACACAGGACATTGCTTGGCTCCTGATCCATCAGGAGCCTTGGCTGGTTTTAGCTTAACTCAAGCCTCCTCAACAGCAAACTCCAACTACTTTAAACTCCCAGACCCTTGCTTATAATAATCTTATGTTGATAAATAAATAAAAGGTATTTAAGTTGTTATATAATTTTCTCCTCTCCTTGCAAGCTAACTGGTTTTCATATCTTTTGCATTTCGTTGTCACCCATTAAGCAACAATAGTACATATACAACTTCTATCCTTCAAGTCAATGATGTTGCACAATCAAAAAACAAAATGTGCAATCCCTATTATAACCCAATTCTCATGTGCTGCACAAAATGTACAAGTATTATCTCCTTTGATATGTTGCACAACCCGACAAAAAACTTGTGCAATCTTTCATCTGTTAAATATTTCATAGCTGCACTACCCGAAAAATATCCTGCAAAAAAGATCTTGCTCAACTTCCCAATTCTTGGTCTTGTGAAAAAGCATCAATATGTACTTGTTTCTACAAAGTATCCAAGCTTCAAGTTAATAAGGTAAATTTAGCATAGAAATAGTAACATCATGAATACACCTACATGAAGTAGTTGGGTGAAAGAAATTTTGTCTTGCCAACTTGTCATCATATTAGAGTTTTCCTGTTTTGAAAATGGCATGTAGGTTCCATTTTCCATACAAGGTTCCTATTAGAGGCATAAAGAAAAATAGAAGTTTAAATCAATTATTTATATGCAAACTGAAACTGAAAAGATAATTTCCTCGAAGAGGAAATGCTTGAACCTCATGTCCAACAATCTGTTGCACTTGTGAACCTCCACTTGTGAAATCAATTTCCTACAAACAGGTTGTTGACAGTAAAAAAAAACAAAAATTTCGTAAGTGGTGTATAAAGTACTACGCACTTATATATTCACAGTGTCAGTATGTATGGAGTTACCTGAATTGTTATTTGTCGTCTTGCAGAAGCTTTTGTTGATGTTTTCTGTCTTTTTCGTTCAAGGGGGTCCTTCAATCGATTGCGTGGGCGTCCAACTGTAGCCTTTCTTTTAACTCCAGTTACAATTGGTGTAGCAGAATTAGTTTGCTCAACCACTCTGTCAACATGTTGATTTCCACAAAAAAGATTTGTCTTTATTTCCTCTAAACCTTTGAGCATCTCAATGGAGCATTGATCAACATATATTCTGTTAATTTCTCATGCTCTGCTGCAAAGGATGCAATCTCACGAAAATTGCGACATAAATGGTTGTAACACTTTCCCATAGACTCTTTGGGGTTGTCATGAATCCCAAATCCACCCTCCACCGATTCAATATGTATTGGGATGGAATCCTTTTCACATTTTTCTTATCAAGCACTTTGATTGCATGAACACATAAAATCCCAACAAACGTGAACTTCATGCAACTACAATTGACTTTTTCTGTTGAAGCTTCAAACTTAACCAAGTGCTCTTGAGATTTACCAATATAAGACACATATTGTCATCTCAGATTTACCAACCTTATATATGTTATAATCAAGAATTCTCTTATACTCTTCTTGAAAGAGTTTAAATACCTCCGGAGTATAAACCTCAACTCCGTGCCGCAGCATCTCTACACTTAGTAATAGTACAAGTGTTGTTTGCAGCATCTTGAAATCAGCAACTAGTTCTTCATATCTACAGTCTACCAAAATCCTCTCATAATGTTGAAAAAAGGGCAAAAGATTATGCTTTGGCTTCAAATATTTTTTTAAGACATTGCTCATACATTCACTACGCTATGTGCTTTTCATATCAGCCGTGAAAGTATTTCTGCCATACACAAGGGCCCATTTTTCACGCAATTCAAATATTTCTTTCAACCACTTGTTCCCCTTGAGGCTATACTTGTCAAGCATATGATTCCATGCCAATAACCACTCATTTACATCCTAATGATCATATACACATATGCTAAAATCATGAGCAAATTCTTTTGATCCATGAAAAACTACATGACTTAAATTCTTGCCAGCATTCTGATAAATATGCCAAACACAAAGTAGGTGAGAAGATTCTGGAAATACGTCTAAGATTGCACTAGTCATTGCAGCAGATTGATATGTTAGAATCGTCTTTGGTTGCTTTCCAGACATCGCTAAAGGGAAAGTCTCAAATAACCACTTAAAAGATTTTGCAGTTTCATCGTAACAAAGCTGCACCAAAAACAATTGTATGCTTATGATGGTTAACCCCAACAATGGTGCAAATTGTAACAACCCGATCCTAAAATTATTATTTAATTATTAAATTATTCAAATAAAAGACAATTTTACTCTAGAATATTTTAATGGGTTAAAAGTTGACTTTTTGTTCGGGAAAGAATTTGGGAATTTTAGTTATACCGTTGCGTAGAGCACGTCGAGATAAGTCCGTAGACACGTAGTGGACTCAAATTGAAGTTATACGAAGAAGTTATGATCTACGGAAGCCTAGTAGCATAACTGTAAATATTTCGAAGTCATTTTTTTAAAAACCTAGAATTTCTCTCTCTCTCTCTCTCTCCCCCCCCCCCCCCCCCCCCACAAAAAAAAAAGCAACGATCGGATTTTTCATCACTGCTGCCACCTCCGGCCACCAAAATTGACGGGGTTGGTACCAAAAGAACCAGCTCAACCTCCTCTTCCTACCCACCCCACCTCCGACGGAACCGTTGCTTGCGATCGCCAGAAAAAGCAAAAATCCTGCAGCTTTGATCCAAACTTCCCAGAGCTCGTTCTGGCGTTTCCGGCCACCAATTTCTTCGATCTAGGTATGCTTTTTCATCATTTCAATGTGTTCTAGCTGATGGTTGAGTTGTTTAGGATCAATTTCTGCATTTTGAAACTGAAATTATCGCTTAAAGTTTGGCCGGTTTTCGGCTCATGACTTCAGCAAGTTCCGGTCACTCTTTGGCCATGGTCTAAGAACAAAAATTGCTCCACTCATTGTTTTGATCATGTAGCTATAGGTCTTGACCAGCGGTTTGTAGATTTTCCGATCGCCGGAATTACTATAGGTACCCACGCGCTGTCGGCGCGTGTAGCAGAAGGTGGGCCACTTTGTGGTGGCCTTCGGGTCCTAAAATGTTCCCCATGTTGTCCCGAGCACGACACTATGCTCATATGTGAATTTGGTTATCGTTTGGTTGTTGATCGGATATTGCATATTAGGCGTTATTAAGGTTCAATACGTTCGGACCGTTGGATTGACTCCATTTTTATATATGTTGATCTGGGTATCCCTAGGATCATGTAGGAATTCGCTGATCATGAATTAGAGTCTCGGATACTTCGATTCAATGATTCAAAGATTATGTTAAATGACGATCGTTCGATCGTGAGCGATCCGACCCCTCGGTCGAGACCAAACTTGCAGAACGTGTTTAGTAGACTTGGCTAAATTTGTAGGAACTTTCGGATCCGAAATCGAAGTTTGTGGGCCCTGCGGGCCCCATGGGCCCCGTTGACCAATATGGGAAGTTTGATCCCTCGGTTGACCAAGAGTCTTCCGAGGTAGTTTCATCCTTTGAGAAGTATTAGAACGATCTTGTAAATGAGGGTTGACTGTTAGGTGAAGTATTTTGATTATGTTTGGATTATGAGATTATATTTTAGTATTTTATCGTATTCTTGTTAGGATTTTGGCTCGTCAAATATGTCCTAGTTGGTTTAGGATTGTTTTAGGAAAATTAGAGGTATACCAATTCTTGTCCTAGAGGGATTAGGAAAGAATTTCAGTTTTCCTTATTCAATTCAGGTTTGGATTTCTAGAAGTCTATTAGGATTTGGATAAGTGTAATTTCCTAATCTACTTAGGAATAGGAATCCAATCAGCCTTGGGACATGTAAGCCAACTCTATATCTATAAATAGGGTGTGGCAAGGCTTATTTTAAAGAGAGGAAAAACAGCCAGAGACAACCAAGAGTTCTGAGATTAGTTCTAGGGTTGCAAAAGTTCTGTAATCTCTATTATTAATCAAAGGAGCGGTGATTTCTCTACCTAGAGAAATCACAACTGGACGTAGGCAAAAGTTCTGCCGAACCAGTATAATTCTTGTGTGTTTCTAAGTGTTTTAATATTTGCTAGTTTAGTCTATTGCCGTCGGTTACATCAAAGAACAAGATCTAGAAGGCAAGTTATCTAACAAGTGGTATCAGAGAGCCTAGGTTAAGGGGTTCTACGATGTCTAAAGGGAAGATGAATGCGGATCTAGGACCTGCGTTAAAGCCCTTTGACGGCAAGGATGACTTCACAGATTGGCAAAGGATGATGAAGAACGTACTGATACAGCAAGATTTGGATGATGCACTCAGCGGTGAGAAGCCAACAGGCATGACAGACACAGCATGGACTAAGGTTCTTAAGAAAGCCAAGAGTTCCATCGAGATCCATCTCACAAGATCAGTTCGGTCACACATCACAGAAAAGATGACTGCCCAAGAAGCATGGGAAAAGTTGGAGAATGTTTATATGGGCAAAACCGTGTCCAATAAAATTTTTCTAAAGGATGAACTATTCGGACTTCGACTGGAAGAAGGAGGTGATATTGAAGATCACGTATGCAGGTTTCAAAATTGCATAACTAATCTTCAGAAGGTCGAAGAAACTTACAAAGATGATGATATGGCTATCATCTTGCTGAGGTCTCTACCTTCATCTTTCAAGCACTTTCGAACAACTCTAATGTTTGGAAAAGAGTCCCTGAAGCTTGAAGACGTGATTCAAGCTCTTCAGTCATATGCTAAACTAGATGATATAACTGAAAGCTCTCAAGGCCTTTATGCCAAAGGCAAGGAAAGGGGGCGGGAAAAGACGAAGGAAGACAAAACAGGCAACAGAGGTAGGTCAAAATCCAAGAAGAAAAAGGAAAAGAAGGAAGGTTGCTTCGAATGTGGTTCAGCCGATCATTGGAAGAGGAACTGCAAGATTTGGAAAGAGAAGAAAGCCAAGAGGGAAGGAAGCTCAGGTTCAGCTAGTGCAGTCACCGAGCATGAGAGTGACGGGGAGCTTCTTTCAGTAACATCAGGCTCCAAGGCTTTCACAAATTGGATTTTGGATACCGGATGCACTTTTCATATGTGTGCAGTAAGAGAATGGTTCGATACTTACAAAGAAGTCAGCAGCGGGGAAGTTTTAATGGGGGACGATTCTTCATGTCCTGTAAAAGGAATCGGCACTGTTCAAATCAGAATGTTTGATGGGATGATACGAGTTTTGGGGAACGTTAGATATGTCCCTAGACTAAGAAAGAATTTGATTTCCTTGGGTACTTTAGATGAGGCCGGCTATGAGTACGAGTCTAAAAAGGGAAGACTCAGGGTAGCCAAAGGATCACTGGTGGTAATGCGGGTGACCTACAACCCAATAAGCTGTATAAGTTAATTGGGACCACTATAGTTGGGGGAGCAGCTGTTTCTGTAAATCAAGGTATAGAAGACAAGACTGAACTCTGGCATCATAGGCTCGGGCACATAAGCCAGAAAGGGTTGCAAGAATTACACAAGCAAGGCTTATTGGAAGGCGTGTCATCTTGCAAACTGGACTTTTGTGAATATTGTGTTCTTGGAAAGCAAAGGAAGGTATCATTCACGAGTAGCAGTGCAGATAACCGAAGCAAGGAGCAACTCAGCTATATTCACTCAGATGTTTGGGGCCCTGCACCAACCAAATCAAATGGTGGAGCCAGGTATTTTGTTACTTTCATGGATGATTTTTCTAGGAAGGTTTGGGTTTATTTCATGAAGCAGAAATCCGAGGTTTTTGCAAAGTTCAAGGAATGGAAAACAGAAACCGAGAATCAAACTGGAAGAAAGATCAAGTACCTGAGAAGTGACAATGGAGGTGAATATACAAGTAATGAGTTTACTGATTACTGCAAGGAAGAAGGCATCACAAGGCACTTCACAGTAAAGAAGAATCCCCAACAAAATGGAGCTGCTGAGAGGATGAACCGAACTCTCATGGAGAGAGAGAGGAGCATGCGATTTCATGCAGGATTGCCTGATAGTTTTTGGGCAGAAGCTGTTAATCATGCAAGTTATTTGATTAACAGATCACCATCTACAGTTCTTGGTTTTAAGAGTGCAGAAGAGGTATGGTCTGAGAAGCCAGTGGACTATTCCAAGCTCAGGGTATTCGGCTGTAGTGCTTATGCACATATTCCAAGCGATGAAAGGTCCAAGCTCAAACCAAAGTCTACACATTGCATATTCTTAGGTTTTGAGAAAGGAGTGAAGGGTTTCAAGCTTTGGGATATCAACAACAGGAAAAAGGTTGTCAGCCGAGATGTTGTCTTTAATGAGACAACCATGCCTCTGAATAAAGTCGAGAGCAGTAGGGAGAAGAAAGACGATGCTGAAATTGAAGCAACAAAGATTCCGTTAATCAGTTCAGACAAAGAAGCTCAGGTGGAGCAAATTGAGCAAGATGCCGAATCTGATGGTTTTGAGGAAGAAGATGAGCATCAGCGTCGTTCACCAGTTAGGAATCAGGTGGAGCAAGAAATAGGGCAGATTGAAGGCACTCTAATCCGCCAGACATCCCAAAGGGTTAGAACTCCAACCAACAATCCACCTGCATTCCAGAGATGCATAGCACTGGACAAACCTAATCGGAATAAGAAGAAACCTGACAGGTTTGGGTTTGACCAAGACGAAGTTAATTATGCTCTCAACATTAGTCAAGGAGATCCAACTACTTATCGAGAAGCTATAGCAAGTGATGAGCGAGATAGTTGGATAAGTGCTATGACAGAAGAAATGGAGTCTCTTTACAAGAACTCTGTTTGGGAGTTGGTTCCTAAGCCCAAAGACAGAAAGCTAGTTGGATGCAAGTGGGTATTTAGGAAAAAGGAAGGACTACATGAACAAGATGCCGTGAGATTCAAAGCAAGGCTCGTGGCTAAAGGGTACTCACAAAAGGAAGGAGTGGATTATGATGAGATCTTTTCACCCGTAGTTAAGCATACTTCTATCAGATTGCTTTTAGCAATGGCAACTCAGCATGACATGGAGATTGAGCAGATGGATGTGAAGACAGCGTTTCTTCATGGGGATCTAGAGGAGACAATTTTCATGGCTCAACCAGAAGGGTTTGTTGAATATGGGAAAGAAAACCTAGTATGTCAGCTAAAGAAGTCCCTGTATGGCCTGAAACAGTCTCCAAGACAGTGGTACAAGAGGTTCGATTACTTCATGCTGAAAATCAATTTTAGAAGATGTTTATATGACTGTTGTGTGTACTATCATGTGTTCCAAGATGGGATGGTCATATTGCTGTTGTTATATGTGGATGACATGCTAATCGCTTGTCAAGACAAGTCTAGAATTCAAGACTTGAAGAAGATGTTGAGCGAGGAGTTCGACATGAAGGATCTAGGTGCAGCACAGAAAATCCTTGGCATGGAGATTCAGAGAGATAGGACCGCTGGAAGGATCTGGATATCACAAGCCAAGTATATTCAGAAGGTTCTTGAGAAGTTCAACATGCAAGAAGCAAAGGCAGTTTCGACTCCTTTGGCAGCTCACTTCAAGTTAAGTGGGCAACAGTGTCCTAAGTCCGAGGAAGAGCAGCAGGTAATGGAGAAGGTTCCTTATGCTAATGTCGTGGGCTGCCTTATGTATGCAATGGTATGCACACGTCCAGACATAGCTCAAGCAATCAGTGTCGTTTCCAGATACATGGGAAATCCAGGAAAGCAACATTGGGATGCAGTCAAGTGGATTTTGCGTTATTTGAAGGGTTCTTGGCGACAAAGGATTATGTTTGAGAAGCAAAAAGAAAATGCAAGGGTGTTGGGATATGTGGATGCTGATTATGCAGGGGACTTGGACAAGAGAAGGTCAACTTCTGGTTATGTGTTTACATGCGCAGGAGGACCGATCAGTTGGAGGGCACTACTGCAACCAATTACAGCTTTGTCGACCACAGAGGCAGAGTATATTGCATTGGCCGAAGCTGGAAAGGAAGCAATTTGGCTTAATGGCTTGGTAAGTCAAATGGGAATCACCCAAGATTTTGTGAAGCTGAAGTGTGATAGTCAAAGTGCCATTCACTTGGCAAAGAATCAAGTTTTTTCTGGAAGATCAAAGCACATTGAAGCAAGATATCACAGAATCAGAAATTGGGTGGAGTCTAAGGAGATTTGGATTGAAAAGATTCATACGGATGACAATGCCGCAGATTTCCTTACAAAGATAGTGCCGGCCAAGAAGTTCAAGCATTGCTTGAACTTGATCAATCTCGTTGATTGATTAAAGTGGAGCACCTCCTCACTTGAGGTGCAATGAGGCAAGAAGAAGATTGCCAAGGTGAAGACTCTTGAAGATTTCCAGAGCTGCTTCAAGGAGGTTCAAAGATACTCTGGGGTGCAACGATCAAGACTTGGTTTGACTCACCAAGGTGGAGATTGTTAGGATTTTGGCTCGTCAAATATGTCCTAGTTGGTTTAGGATTGTTTTAGGAAAATTAGAGGTATACCAATTCTTGTCCTAGAGGGATTAGGAAAGAATTTCAGTTTTCCTTATTCAATTCAGGTTTGGATTTCTAGAAGTCTATTAGGATTTGGATAAGTGTAATTTCCTAATCTACTTAGGAATAGGAATCCAATCAGCCTTGGGACATGTAAGCCAACTCTATATCTATAAATAGGGTGTGGCAAGGCTTATTTTAAAGAGAGGAAAAACAGCCAGAGACAACCAAGAGTTCTGAGATTAGTTCTAGGGTTGCAAAAGTTCTGTAATCTCTATTATTAATCAAAGGAGCGGTGATTTCTCTACCTAGAGAAATCACAACTGGACGTAGGCAAAAGTTCTGCCGAACCAGTATAATTCTTGTGTGTTTCTAAGTGTTTTAATATTTGCTAGTTTAGTCTATTGCCGTCGGTTACATCAAAGAACAAGATCTAGAAGGCAAGTTATCTAACAATTCTTGGGTATTATTTTGATATTTGAAGGTTATGCAATATTGGAAGTTATGGGATCTCTCGAGGTTATTATTGAATATTATTTATTATTATTATTTTGATTATTAATAAAGTATATGACTGAGTGATATTGGGTTTTATTTTTATTTTTTATGAAAGTCTATTGCTTCAATTGTGGAATATAGTATTTTATGGAAATTATATGTAAAAAAGTGTTGTTTATTATTTGAATTACTTTGGGGTCTTGACGGGTTTACAAGATTATGCTATGAGATTATTGGACTTTAATTTAATATTGAGGTTTGTGAATATTTTTGGATCTTTATGAACTTTATGCTTGAGAAGGGATTTTGGCTACCCATGTAAGAACTGATTTTTTGGGAAATTGAGAAAAGATTTGGAAAATGGATTTGTGGAATAAGGGAAATTTTATGATAAGTTTCGGAATATGGTTTTCAAACCCACCACAGGAGTAACCACTGGATCATATTTAGAAATTAAAATCATTTAAGAAAATAGAAACCACAAAAACAAAACAAACAAACAAAATCACAACTTGGTTTAGACATTTCTTCAAACAAGTTAGCTGCAACTTATAACCATTTATTTCACCCAAATTAAAAGCCTGGTTAGCTTACAAGGAGAAAAGAGAAGATTATATTACAAATCAAATAGATGTTTTTATATATTTATCAACATAAGTTCATTATAAGTATACTACTTTGATAAACCATATAAACATAAGAAACCTACTCATCGGAAGCGGTCAAGAAAAACAACCCTTAAATATGAAGAATCTGCCATGTATAGGAATTATGAAAACTAAAATTCCAAAATTAAGAAAGGGAAACAATGTTGTTGGACTAACCATCCTAGAAGAATTAATCAAACAGTGAGAGAAGTTGTCGAAAGAAGAGGTCTCTCTAAGAGAAGAGCATGACCTGAGTTAAAAGGGCTTGGGTTAAAAGTGAAAGGACCCGACCCAAATTCCACTTTGGAATTCGAGTTGAACCATGTGCGTGTCCGACACCTGGCGGATGCTGGGCACAAAAGACATATTTGCCCTTCCAAACAAATACAGTTTATCTCAAATTTGACTCCAATTCGTGGCTGCACCTTATAACCTTAGGCTGCCTACGTACCCTTACTAAGGGATCAAGCTACACGTAGTTCTTTCTTATAAGTACGCCATGCACTGAACTCCCTTATTTCAGTTTAAGAATATCTAGGCACTGAAATTCTCTCCACATAAGTGTACCTCTAATCCTGATTCGTCAACTCCATTAATACTGTCAATTCCCTCTTTGCAGGCCGAGCCGCAATCCTCGTAGGCCTCAAAGATACCGCTTCTATCCGGGCCGCAACCTATAACTATCTATCCTCGCAGGCCAAGCCGTAATCCTCGCAGACCTCAGAGATACCACTTCTATCTGGGCTACATCTTATAATTAACTATCTATCCTTGCAGGCTGAGCCGCTATCCTCACAGACCTCGGAGATTCCGCTTCTATTCGGGCCGCAACCTATAAATAACTATTTATTCAACCCGTAACCTGATTTAGATAACTCCTTCTGGTCAAGACTCGTTTATTATAAACCTAGCCATTGGGTTGGCGTTTCTGGAGTGTCCGGGACTCTGTTTTACAATCCATCGAATCTTATATGATCTTGGCATTATCTAGATCAATATATCTGAAAATGACTACGATCCAACGGCTCAAACATGCTGAACTCGGAAATCACACACTAGGCGAGATCCGTTCGGGGTTCAAACGTTATCCGAATTAAGATCTGCAAAATCCTACGCGCTCGTGAGGACCAAGGGATCATTCTAGAACTGAATGTGGTCCCCACCCTACTGCCCACGCGCTGGTAGCACGTGGGTGGCTTGATCAATTCCGATGACCGGAAAACTCTGCAATCGTAAGTCCAGCTTCCTACCCTAGGTTCATAATATGATTTGGAGCCACTTTTGTTTTTGGACCTACCCCAAACACTGGCCAGAAGTTGCCGGAATTGCGATCCCAAAACCGGCCAAACCCTAACTCGAAAATCAATCTGTCAAACGTAGAAATTACTCAATTCCTACCTAACCATTAGCTAGAGCACGGAAAATAGCTAGAAATCCATACCTGGATCGACGGATTCCGTCGCCGAAGCTGCCGGAAATAGCGTCTGAATGTTTGAGGAAGAACCGGTCTTCTCCGGCTCGTGACGGCGGCATGGCAGCCTGAGGCGGCAGGGCTCCAGCCCATACGAGTTCGCCGGCTGGCGCTGGTCATTTCCCGACCAGTCCCACCACCTGGCGTGGCCGGAGTAGCCTAGACACCGGCCAAACGTGGCGGGTCTATTTCGCGCGAGAGAGTAGTCGGGTGAAAGGAGAGAATACCCCCTGAGAGAGAGAGAGAGAGAGAGAGAGAGAGAGAGAGAGAGAGAGAGAGGTTTTAAAATCTAACATGGAAAATTACTATTTTGCCCCTCAACGTATTTTGATCGTAGTTTCTTCGTTATAACACCGATTCGAGCCCACTACGTGTCTACGGACTCATTTCGACGCGCTCTACGCAACGGTGCAATCGAAATTCCCAAATTCCTCCCTGGTCAAAAAGTCAACTTTAAACCAAATAAAATATTCCGGGGGTATTCTAGTCCTTTCCTTGAATAAAATAATAATTAAGAAATAATTCAGGATCAGGTTGTTACAAAAAGAGTTTAAAAGAGTTGGGGAAAAAAAAACAGGTGTCTTTTTGTAAAGGGGCCACGTCGCATGTGTAGGAGGAAAGGCTTCTCATGTATCAAGAGCCAAGCAATGTTCATAAACACAGGCTATGTCAAAAGCTTGCTTGTATACCTCCAACTAGAAGGTCCAATTCTCAGCCCTAGATGTTATGACCTTAAAACTTACAAAAAGCCAAATCCCCAGCCAGATACAAATTATACAAAAAAATAAAAACAAAGGCCAACATTAATTTTCTAAAATGATTAAGCCTTTCAGTTAATTGGTAGTCAATGCAAAAAAAAATCCGTTTTGGAGTGAGAAGTATTAAAACGACTCTCAACTGGAATCTAAATTTGGAACTCTCGATCTCTAATTGCAGTTGGGGGTTTGAATTTGTGCAGCATATAGTACAAACAACAATAACGGTGAGAAAGCATCCAAAAAATTTCAACCATTTTTCCATCTCAATAAAAAGATTTTGGTCCTGTTGTTAGGCTTTAAGGCGAGATTAGTACTTAAAAGGCTAGAATCAAAAACTAGGTATTGATTATTTTGAGGTTTTTGCTCCTGTTGCTAGGCTTGATACTTTTAAAATGATTATTTCTCTTACTGCCCATAATTCTTGGAAGATATTCCAAATGAATGTTAAATCTGTGTCTTAAATAAATGGAACATTGGAAGAGGAAGTTTACCATGAGCAAGTTCCAACAAGTTAAAAAAAAAAAAAAAAAAAAAAAAAAAAAAAAAAAAAAAAAAAAAGCAAAAGACAAAGTATATAAGCTGAAAAAGGCTTTGTATGGCCTTAAACAAGCTCCAAGAGCATGGTACACCAAAATTGATTCCTACTTCATGGAGCATAAGTTTGAAAGATGCCCCTATGAACATACTTTGTATGTCAAACATAATCATCATGGTGATGTTGTTATTATTTGTCTGCATGTTGATGACTTGATAATTACATGCAACAACATGAGATTGATTGCAGAATTCAGGGAGGCTTTAACATTTCAATTTGAGATGACTGACATGGGGTTTATGTATTCTTAGTATTGAGGTGAAACAAACTTAGCAGCGGACTTTTATTTCACAAAGTATGTTGATGACATCCTCAAGCATTTTAAAATGGAGTCATGCAAGCCAATCTTGACTCCAGTTCAAGAAAGACTGAAGCTGCAGAAAAATGGAGCTAGAAAGTTGGTTAATCCAACACTTTTCAAGTAGTTGGTTGGTAGCTTACGTTATTTGACTGCTACTAGGCCTAATATCACATTTGGTGTTAGGCTTATAGTAGATTTATGGAAGCTCCAAGACAATCACATATGCTGGCAACAAAAAGAATTTTGAGGTATGTCAAAGGTACTCAAGGTGATGGTATCTTTGATCCAATTAATTGTCAGGTTGAACTTGTTGGTTATACAGATAGCGATTGGGTTGATGATGTTGAAAGGGCAAAAAGTATTTCAGGCTATGCATTTCATATTGGTTCTGGAGTGATTTCTTGGTCATCAAAGAAACAACAAGCGGTGGCCCTTTTATCTACTGAAGCAAAGTATAATGCAGCCACAAATTGTCCTACTCAGGCAGTATGGTTGCGCCAATTACTTGGTGTTCTCCATCATGAACAAAAAAGCCCCACAACAATTTATTATGACAATAATCAGCGATTGCACTGGCAAAGAATCCTATTTTTCATGGGATGACTAAACATATACATGTGAAATTCGACTACATCTGTGATCTGGTGAATGACAAGGTGGTTGAAGTTCAATATTGTCCAATTGGAGAACAGATTGCACACATATTTACAAAGGGTCTCAAGGCAGATTTGTTTGTGAAGTTGAAGAAGATGATGGGGATCGAGAGCTATGATGAGTTTGGTTTAAGGGAGGCTATTGGAAGTTAAACCAAGCCCACTTTAAGCCCAATCCCACTTTAATAATTTTTATTATTATTGTAAAACCCATAGGATTAATTAGCTATTTTGGGTTTTCAAGGAGATAAGCTGTCGATTGAAATTATGAAGCTTCTAGGCTTCTTTCTCGTCTTTTGCTGCATAGCATGTAACACCCTGACCCAATTAAGTAGTTTATTTAATTATTTAAATTGTGAAATTACATTTTTGCCCTTAGGGGTAGAGACCCTTTAGTTCCTTTTCGTTTTGGAATGAATTTGGAGAATTGAGCAACACTGTTACGTGGATCAGCAAAGGAGGTCGTGGTAGATGAACCTGGAAGGGAATGAATAGGCATCTGCAGAAGGAAGCATAAGTAAAAAACATACAGAAACAGAAGAAAAAAAACCCCAAAAATGCAATAAACACTTACAGCAACAATTGAAGGCTTCAAAGGACTGGTCATCACTGCCAGAAGGCCAGTAGACCCAGGCACTTCTACCTGGAAAGACAGAAACAGTTAAAGAAGCAGAACTAGAACAGAATTACAGAAAATAAAGAACAGAGTAAGAAGAAAATTACCATCACTTCAGGGGCAGCTGCAACCACTTTCACTACGCCTTCTGGAACTGCAACAGGTAATTCTACCTACTCCACAGGCTCGGATGCAGATTGCTTTGATTGTTCCCCAGCTGTTGGAACAGCAGTAGATTGTTCTGCCTCTGGATCCTCAAAAAGGGCTAACTCTGAGCTAGTCAGCCCTGCCCCTATGTCTTCCTGTTGCTCCTGTTGCTTATGAGCCAAAGCAATGCTCTCTGCTATCACCTCGGCAGGGATCTCCTCCTACAAACAAGCAGAAGTCAGGACATGGAACAAAAAGGCAGCAGAAACTAATACTGCTAAAGAAACAAGACTCACCTCTTCTTCCACTGTCTTGGCCTTCTCCTGAGGCCCCTCTCCTACTTCTTCCAGCTCATTCTCTTGGTCCACAGCCTCAAAATCCTTTCTCAGCTCTTCATCCGTGTCAAAAGTGGCAGTTTCCTATGTGGCCACATATTCCACCACTGTCCTCTTTCTAAGCCTCTTTGACTTAGTAGGAGGAGGGGAAGGGCCTTCAGCATCAACAGACAGAAAATGGGCCATTAGAACATGAGCCAGAACAGGACAGAACAAATATAAAAAACTGAGGAACTGTCAAAATTCACCTGAAGTTGCGGGTTGAGCTGTTTCCTTCATTTTCCTTCTAGGGGCAGGAGTGGCCTCGACGGGAGTCTGATCTTCTTCTTCTTCTTCTTCCTCTCCAGAAGGAAGCTCCAGGTCCCCAGCAGTTATGACAGAGGTAGCTGCACAAGAAATGACAAAATCAGAAACCAATCCAGCAGGAAAAGGTAGAAGAGGCAGAAGAATAGAAAATTACCAAACACTTCTCCAGCCTGGGCAGACTGACCACCAACGTTTTGTGTCAAAGAGGGATCTATTGTAGACAGAACAAAGTGTTAGATATCACCATTACAAAATAAACAGAACAGACAGAATTAAGACACTACCTTCCAGAACTTGGGCATTAATGTCCTTTATGGTCTGCACCATAAACTTGTGAGCTTCCTTTCCTGTACGAACGACCCAGCCATCCTAGCCATCAAAAAGCACTGACAGTGCAGTGCTGGAAGCGGGCACATTTCGAAATCGAGCCTTCCACCAGGCGTCAAAATTGACAGAACTGCAGGAGTTTGGTTCCCAGGACGGATATAGGGCGTCTGCACTATTGTTTATCTTGTTCACTGCACACCTGGCATCCTTATGCACCTTCAAGTCATCCATATCCCTCCAAGAAGAAGCCCGATTGCAACTCCTATAGGATTTAAGTGGAATAAGCTGTGGGCAACCAAGCTGCCTTGCACAAAAGTTGGGATGATATACTTCTGCCCCCATATGATAATTAGGAGGCTTCCCACCTCCATGGGGCATGTCTCTTGGGAGGGTCACACTCAGGAACTTCTTCCTGAAATCAATTCTAACTGTTTCTTCTTCCGGCTCCTTCTCAAACAGACGGTATCCAGGCTGGAACCAAGGATAGGTTCTCCTGATCACCACTTGCCATTGAGCTGCTGATCTCTTCGTGCAGTGCCTAAAGAACATCAGGTATTCTTCAATAGAACGCTTGGGCACTTCTGCCGACATCAATGGCTGAGCCAGAACCTGATCCTCAGGCAGAACTATGTCTGGGAACCTCAATTCAGGGAAATAGACCTGCAACCAAATCTGGATCATCCAAAAGGCACCGGGAGCAGACAGATTCAGCGGATTCTCCAAGGTAGAAGTATGCAGGTTCTTGAATAGATGAGCCAGAACTGAAGGCCCGAGTCCGACATCAGTGTGGTTGTGCAAAGCTTCTGTCAGGTGTCTGTACTCAAGCAGAACTGCAGAAGAGCGGTTGGGCAGAATGAACCTGTTCAGCCAATATAGAAGGAACAGCATATGCTGCTGGTCCTTGTCCTTCTCAGCACTGAATTTTCTAAGATAATTGGAGAAGGAGCAATTCTGGTTAATCAGGGCTGGAGAGATGGTGAATGGCTTAGCTAGCTTCTGCTAGTTTTTCTTCCTGTGATAATTACCAACAACATCAATAGGTCTCCCATGGGGCCTAAACCTGAATATCTGAGCCATGTCCAGCAGAGTTGGAGCCATGGGGCCTATGCGAAAGTTGAAAGTGTTACTGGCAGAATTCCAAAAACACAGTGCAGTAGCAAGCAGGTTCTCATCTCTATTGACAGATTGCTTGGACAGAAGTATGGCGTCATAAATACCAGCCCACTTCCAGTGAGGTTCATATCTTGGAAGGAGTTTGTCAATCCAGTCTACCCATTTCACTGAACTATTCCTCACCTCACTGGATGTGAAGACGTGGCAGACGTGGGACAACATAAGAAACTAGCACGCGCCAATTTAATGGCCATCTCATTTAAGTCTGAAACCGTTCCAAAAACGATTTAGACTTAGGGGGCATTGTTTGGGCCTAAATTAGCACGCCCAACCCAACAAGAGGAAACCCAATATCCAGAAAGGCCTAGCCCAAACCAGACCAATAGACTCGAGCATTAAAAGAAAATCACATCTTGGGCTCCAAACAAAATAAGCCCAACATGATTTGGATAAAGAAAGGGACCCATCCTAGAACCCCATGTGACATCTTTGTATTATCAGGTTTGGAAAAGTCAACAAAACCAACTAGCACAAAGTTGATAAATGGAAGGGTCCGTGGCTGGCAAACTGGAAGAGACACCTCTAAAAATCTAAAGATCAAATCCCTCTTACATATATATATTCAGAGATTTTTTCTACTTTACAGAGAAGGTGATTCTCCCAAGAGATAAGCAAGCTACAATCTCAAAAAGAGATAAGCAGGAAAGCAGGGAGTTGTTCAAACTGAAGAAATCAAACTAACCATCACGGATGAAATCTCACAAGGGGCAGTTAAAATTTGGAAAGGAGATTAGGTTTTCTTTTCTTTTTTTTAAAAAGAACAGAGAAGTGATCTTACGGATTGATTGATGAGAGCCTATCTGACAAAATTTTAAACTCTTCTCTCTTGTATTTCTTTCTAGATTTTTAAAAGATTTGCCGCCCATTATTTTAAGAAAGAAACCCTAAACCTAAACATCTCTTATAAATAGAGGAGAGGGTGAACAGGTTCAAGGACACTCAATTCAACAACAAACAACTCAAAAATCAACCAAAAAGCCCACTTGAATTCCAAATGAAACCAGCTTCATATCAGAATTCCCAAGGTTCAAACTTAGAAAAAAGTCAATCAAAACGAGATTTCTCTCGTTACAAATTTGGTTCAGCAAAGAATCAAGACAGGTAGAGCTTGAGCTTTTCCCAAACATGAAAACCTCAACAAATTTCACAGTGCAATCTCTAGCCCACTGAAGTCCTCGAGAACAGCCACTTCTGCCCTTGTAGACTGAAGAAACCGCAGTTCTACCCACTCAAAAGCCTCACAAAAGCTTGAAGTACATTAAGGCTCTACCATAATTAACCTTTGGTATCAATTTACAGCTGAAGCTTAGCAGTTGAAGTTGTCAACAGTCCAATCCAGCCCAGGCATTTCCAACCCAGCCCGGATCAGAGCCTCCTATCCAAACAGAAATGAATTTCCAGCTGTCATTTCATCTTTCTAGCATGAATATTTATTTTTATAGTTTTGTAAAAGGCAGTTCTGCCCGAGACAGTTTAAATTCCATCAACCATTCTGGCCAGAACAACCTCTTTATACTGAGATAAATTGTTAAAGTCCTCACCAGTCTGAGGCAAGAAAAGAACTTACTTGGGAGATATTCCTCACCCAAATTCACAATCGTTTGTTTGCAAAAATCAGTAACTTGGGGCGCAAGTTATCCATTCTAAACTAAGTCTGCTAGAATCTTCATTGCTAGCAGTGGCACGCTCGCACACCAAAGAAAGCTGACTTGTTGACCAGTCAATGGTTCACAAGGCAGTGGGGAACTTTGCCCTTCCACCACTGGAGTAAACGCAAAACGGGTGAACAGGTTCTAGGCATCCGAGGTCGAGACCACCACGTCGAGGCATCATCGTTTGTTCCGTATGAGTGTGCTACTATCACTCTCTACCTTTTATTTTTCCCGGGTTGAAAACTAAATCTTTTGTTACTATTAGCTGCTCGTTTTTAAGTTTGGGTAGAGAGCCTAAGGCCCATTTAAATAGTTTTAATTGTTGTGCTTGCCTTTACCTTGTGCATACTGGAAGTTGGGTTTGTTCTAGCTCTTGTTTGCAGGTGCTGTAAATTGGGAAATGTTCCAATTATAAGAGAGACTTTGCCAAAATTTCGGTAGAAATCGAATTGTTTATCAGTTCAAATTAGGGCTAAAGGGCTTTTTAGTAAAGTGGGCCCGACATCAGCCAGATGTTGAACTGGCAACATGGTTCTTCACGAATTTCAAGGAGAAATTCAGGGCGGGTCCTGTCACAACCATCCTCATATAGGTGTTGCTGCCTCTTTGTATTTTGACCCCAAAAAAAAACAGTTAATGATGTCGGTGATGTTGGTATATCAACTATATTTTTGTTTATGTTTAACATGTAACAGGTAGGCTTATGATAAATAAAAAATAAAAAATAAAAAAAATTCTTTTTTAGAGTAAGTGTATTCATAACTTAGTGTCACGACCTGCATGTTCAAGGCCCAGCCCGTTAGATTGATCATGCTAGACCTCTTAGCCCACATGTCCATATTCATTGTACAATAGTTGGTAGACTACGATTGGTGATAGTAGTTGGTAGATGCCGGTAGTTGACATTGTACCTTAGCCACCTACTGTGGTGGTAGGTGGGATAGGAACAGTATATAAGTGGGATGTCACATTGTGTATCCTCATCTCACAACTTGTAAAGCATTTGAGTAGCAATATAAGCAGATATTCTCCCAAACTTTCTTTAGCATTCTTTTGCGTTCTTACTCTTGCGATTGTTCTTTCCTTGGTTCTGTTCACCCGTTTTGCGTTTACTCCTATGATGGAATGGCAAAGTTCCCCACTGCCTTGAGAACCATAAACTGGTCAGCAAGTCAGCTTTCTTTGGTGTGCGAGCGTGCCACTGCTAGTAAAAAATTCTAGCAGACTTAGTTTGGAATGGATAACTTGCGTCCCAAGTTACTAATTTCTGCAAACAAGCGATTGTGAATTTGGGTGAGGAATATCTCCCAAGTAAGTTCTTTTCCTGCCTCAGACTGGTGAGGACTTTAACAATTTATCTCAGTATAAAGAGGTTGTCCTGGTCAGAATGGTTGATGGGATTTAAACTGTTTTTTAGGCGGAACTGCCTTTTACAAAAATATAACAATGAATGCTTATGCTAGAGAGAGATGAAGAGACAGCTGGGACTTCGTTTCTGTCGAGATGGAAGGTTCTGATCTGGGCTGGACTGGAAATGCCTGGGCTGGACTGGACCGTTGACAACTTTGACTGCTAGGCTTCAACTGTAAATCGATACCAAAGGTTGATTCTGGCAGAGCTTCAATGTACCTCATGCTTTTGTGAAGCTTTTGAGTGGGCAGAACTGCAGTTTTCTCAGTCTGCACGGGCAGGAGTGACTGTTTTTTGAGGGCTTCAATGGGCTAGAGACTGCACTGTGAATTTTGTTGAGGTTTTCCATATTTGGAGGAAGCTCAAGCTCTACCTGTCTTGGTTATTGCTGAACCAAATTTGTAACGAGAGAAATCTCGTTTTGAATGACTTGCTTCTTAAGTCTGGACCTTGGGAATTCTGATCTGAATCTGGTTTCACTTGAAATTCAAGTGGGCTTGTTGGTTGATTTTGAGCTGTCTATTTGACGGTTTCCTTGTGTAAGATCTTTGTTTGATTGGATGATGAATTTTTTGTGTGTCTTACCCTGTTCACTCCTCCTTGTATTTATAGTAAAAAATAATAATGGGCAGCAAATCTTTTCAAAAGATATCTCTCCCCTTTTTTTCTCTTTTTAAATGGAAAGAAAGAAAGTAGGATTTTATCAGTTTGGCAAATAGGCTTTCAAAATAGGCAATCACTTCCCTGTTTTTCTTGAAAAAGAACCTAATCTCTTCTCTCAATTTCAACTGCCCCTTGTGAGATTTCATCCGTGATGGTTAGTTTGATTTCTTTTCTGGACAGCTCCCTGCTTTCCTGCTTATCCCTCTCTGAGTTTGTAGCTTGCTTATCTCATTGGGAGAATTACCCTCTCTGTAGAATAGAAGAAAAATCTCTGAATATATATATATATAAGAGGGATTTTGATCTTCAGATTTTTTCAGGGTCTTTTCAGAATAGGTTGATGACATAAACTTTTCAATCACTTCTTTCATGACAGTTGCCATTGTTGACTTTTCTTTATCCCAGAGATGTCACGTGGGATTTGTTTCCTGTCTCTGGGCTTCCCCCTTTTTATCACAACGGGCCTGTGAGGCCCAGGCTTTGGGCTGGGCTTTTCTAGATTTTGGGCTTCTAATTTCCTGTTTCTTGAAGACCAAATTTGCTTTGATTTTTTGCAGCCTTACTCTGGGCCTCATTTTCGCTGGGCTGGGTGTGTCAATTTTTAGGCCCAAACAGGTTCGATCTTGTGTTGTAGGAAGGAGGCTGACTTAGCTTGTTCAAGAGGCGATCAAGTCTAAAGCCGCACGAAAGGAAGATTACGAAAAATTCATCCAGTGCCAGTTGGTATCAGAGCGAAAGCTCGAATGATTCGAAGAAGCATGTCGAAGAGCAGATCTGATGTGGAGACTGATCTGTCCAAGGTCAATATGGATCGTAAGGGCAAATCAAAGAGGGAACGATCTAGAGATGTTATAGCCATGATGGAGAAGCGGCTTTCTAAGATGGAGATTGCCGTGGTCGAGTTTGATCAGCGACTCGATGAGGACGTCCTTACGAAGAGTGGTTTTGAAGCTGTGGTGGATGAGCTTCAAGGCCAATTCCAAGGAGCCCTCAACTCTGCGCTAGTCAACATGCGGCTAGATGTCCAAACCAAGCTGGATCACTTCTTAGCGGAGCTTACTTCACTTCGTGAGGAGGTGAAGGATGTGAAGGGAGATTGGGCTTTGTGCAAGGAAGCTATCTTGAACAAGACCCGAACTCCGGAGGAACCCAAGGTGTTAGATTCTTTCAAGTCCAAATCCTATAATGGGAAGAGGGAGGCAAATGAGCTAGACACATTTTTGTGGAATATCGAAAAGTATTTCAAGTATCTGAAGCTCGAGGATGATGAGCCCAAGATCAACACGGCAACGTTGTTTCTCACCGACAATGCTCTCATGTGGTGGCGTCGTCGATCCATGGGGATCGAACAAGGTACGTTTACACTTGAGACTTGGGATGAATTTAAGAATGATATTATGTTGCATTTATATCCAGAGAATGCCAAGTATGAGGCAAAGGAGAAGCTGAGATGGCTGAAGCAAACTGGGAACGTGAAGGACTATGTCGCCATGTTCACCAACCTATTGTTCGAGGTGCCTAGCATGACGGATGAAGACAAGCTCATGTACTTCATGAGTGGCCTACAGAATTGGGCCAAGCTGGAGTTACAAAGGAGACATATCCAAACCTTGTCAGAGGCAATTGCTGCAGCTGAGTCTCTTGTTGAGTTCAAGAAGAAGGATCAAGGCGACTCCAAGTTCAAAGGAAAGAAAGATAGCAGTGGATCCGGTAGGGGAGACAGCAAGCCAAAAGAGGGTAGCAAGTCAGGAGACAAGTCTGACGGTCACAAGTCATCCGGGAGGAAGAATGACAAAGGTGACAAGGGGAAAGACAAGTCAAAGCTAGCTTGCTACTTGTGCAATGGAGCGCACATGAAGCGGGACTGTCCGCAGAAGAAAGCCTTGAATGCTATGAACCAAGAGAAGGAAGAAGAGGCCGACATGGAAGCAAGAATGGGGGACATTCACCGCTTCAATGCCGTACAGGCCAAAGTAGCTCAACCACAAGTTCAAGCTAAAAGAGTGATGTTCGTCGACGCTATGGTGAATGGCAAGATAACTCGTTGCCTGGTGGATACAGGTGCCTACACAACTTTATGTCTGTGCATGAAGCAAAGAGACTTGGATGTCGAGTCTCGAAGGAAACAGGCAATATGAAAACGGTGAATTCAACTGCCAAACCAATTGATGGGGTAGCTCGTGGTGTGGAGCTACACATTGCTGCTTGGAAGGGAGTAGCTAACTTCTTCGTGATCCTAATGGATGACTACGATGTCGTGCTAGGAATGGAGTTCATGGACGAGGTAAAAGCATTTCCCATTCCATTCTACAATACTATGTGCATTGCACAGGATGGAGCAATGTCATGCATGGTGCCAGTGGTGAGGCAACAAGGCGAGTCGAAGCTCTTGTCATCCATGCAACTTTTCAAGTCTCGGAAAAAGGGCAAACCAACGTTCCTTGCGACTATGAAGATGGACACAGTTGAGAAGGAAGTCAAACCAGTCCCGAAAGCAGGGGAGGCAATCCTTAAGGCGTTTGCAGAGGTCATGCCCAAGGAGTGGCCCAATACCTTACCCCTAGGAGGAAGGTGGATCATGCCTTCGATGAGTTGAAGAGGGCATCTATGGAGGAACCAATGCTGAGACTACTCGATCTTAGCAAACCTTTTGAGGTACACATTGATGCATCAGATTCTGCTATTGGTGGTGTACTCATGCAGGATGGACACTCATTGGCTTTCAAGAGTCGGAAGCTCAATGACATGGGGCAAAGGATACGAGAGGGCTTGTTGCATGATCCCCATGCCAAAAGTCTATTGGAGCTTGTCAAAGATGGGAAGACAAGAAGATTTTGGCCCGATGATGGTGTTCTTTATGCAACAAGGAAGAGGATCTATGTTCCAAGGTGGGACAATCTGAAGCACTATGTGAGTGCCAACCAGCGAGATTGGGCAAAGTTGTTGGATGTTGCTCAGTTCTCATACAACTTGCAGCGGTCGGAGTCAACAGGGTCAAGTCCTTTTGAGTTGGCAACAGGACAACAACCTATGACACCAAACACAGTGGTGTCAGGCTACACGGGGAGTAGCCCAGCTGCATACAAGACGGCCAAAGAGTGGCAGGTGACTAATGAGCTGGCTCGGGCTCAATTGGAGAAAGCAAATCGGAAGATGAAGAAATGGGCGGACAAGCATAGGCGAGATGTTATGTTCCAACCAGGTGATATTGTCTTTGTGAAGCTCAACCCCGCTCAACACAAGTCCACTAGAAAGTTACACAAGGCGTTGTTGAAGAGATATGAGGGCCCATTTCCTATCATCCGATCAGTGGGAAGAGCTGCTTACCGTGTGGAACTATCACCCTGATTGAAGATTCATCCGGTGTTCCACGTGAACAATCTCAAGCCTTACCATGTTGACCCTGAGGAGCCAAGTCGTGGAGAGTCTCAACGAGCTCCACTTTTGATGGTGACTTCATTTGACAAGGAGGTTGAGTGCATCATGGCCAAGCGAGAGGTGCGACGCAAGGGTGTATCGAGGTACTTTGTCAAATGGAAGGGCCTGCCAGAGTCCGAAGGCAACTGGGAGAAATAAGAGTCTTTGTGGAAGTACAAAGACATCATCGAAGCATTCGAACGAGAAGGATCTACCGCGGCGACGAGGACGTCACCAGATTAGGTGGGGGAGAATGTCACGACCTGCATGTTCAAGGCCCAGCCCGTTAGATTGATCATGCTAGACCTCTTAACCCACATGTCCAGATTCGTTGTACAGTAGTTGGTAGACTACGGTTGGTGACAGTTGTTGGTAGATGCCGGTAGGTGACATTGTACCTTAGCCACATACTGTGGTGGTAGGTGGGATAGGAACAGTATATAAGGGGGATGTCACATTGTGTATCCTCACCTCACAACTTGTAAAGCATTTGAGTAGAAATACAAGCATATATTCTCCCAAACTTTCTTTAGCATTCTTTTGCGTTCTTGCTCTTGTGATTGTTCTTTGTTTGGTTCGATCTTGTGTTGTAGGAAGGAGGCTGACTTAACTTGTTCGAGAGGCAATCAAGTCTAAGGCCGCACGAAAGGAAGACTCCGAAAAAGTCATCCCATGACATTAGGCACCAAGATTATCAGCTACAAGGGCATAAACTATCCAAAAAGGGTTGATACAAATGTGGAACCACATTAACCATGCAGGGTTATTCCAGACACAGAAATACACCACAAGGTGTATCTCCACTAATAGTGGCATAAAGCCAAAGAAATTTTGGCATGAATCCCGTAAGCCTAAACAAATCAGACATGGACCGTAGCGCCCAAAACTACCAATAACTACAACTTTTAAACTCTCACAAGTAAAAATACAAGTAGAGACTTGACTACAAACAAAACACCCAACTCACAAAAGAGTTGATGTAATTATTACAACCCAAAAAAATTGCAAAACCAACCGAGATGATAGAAAGTAGAGTCACCGCTGTCACAACCACGAAAACAGTATCACCATCGTCAAGCCCAGGTTGAAGATCGGCAAGACAACTCAACAACAACTTTGTCGTCGTGGTGATTTATCATAGCCTCAAAGGGACAAGGGTAGCATTCTATCAGCAAGGCAGGGCAATAGCAGTATCCACTTTAGATTTTCAAGAATTCAAAGAAAACTCAATTTACTTCACAAGAGAATGTAGCGCGAGACGAAAAAACCAAATCGTTTGGGTAGAGTTGTCTACAACTTAGAAGACAATGATGTTAGGCCATGTCTGAAATCCGTTAAGAATTGGGGCAAAGCTCGTTCCCCATTCTTTTGGGTTGTTCTTAATCCATGGCGATACGCCGATATCGGAATGCCTGCTATCCATCTAATGTGTGCTTGTAATGTGTTTATCTTTTACTAACTTGTAGCACTAATTTGTGGTTCAAATTTATCTTGTGGTACATGCGAAACTTCCTTCTCGTTTCTTTTTGCTTTTTCTCTGTGGTTTTGAGCACATAGTAAAAAGAATTATATTTCAAAATGTATGAATGAATATTTGAGGGATTGGAATTTATTACCACAAACAAAGAAAGAATCCAACTGCCATTGATTTGGACTGCTTTATATATACATTCAATTTCACTACCACAAAGTACATGAGAAGGAGAACGAGGAAGAGGGAGAGAGTGGGGTGGTGGGTTGGTTGAAATTAGTAAGACCTTGAATTCTGGTCCGGAGAGTATAAAATTCTTTGAACACCAAAAAAAAACAAAAAAAAAGCAAAAGCAAAAGCAAAAGCAAAATGAAAGATGAATATAAAAACTAAAACTAATACTTTTATTAAATAAGTTCAAATAGAATTCTTCCTAAATCGATGCATGCTGGTTCCCACAATTTTGTTATAATTCTTTGCTGTCACAGATGCAAAACCACCTCTGCCGGCGGGTCAAAGAAAACCTAGAAGATATAACTAGACAAAAAGCCAGAATAAGCAACGACATCCACCCACTCCGGGAAAAGGCCTTTCAGCTGTTTCGCTTCGTCAACCATATATTGGTCTATGACAGCAACTTCCACCTTCAAATCTTCAGAACTGCTAGCCTGCAATATTCACAGAAACAGAATTAAGCCATGAAGAGAGAGAGAGAGAGAGAGAGAGAGAGAGAGAGAGAGAGAGAGAGAGAGAGCTTTGACATATGAACAGCTGAAACCAAATAAACACAGGCTAAGTCAAGAGCTCTATACCTCTAACCAGAAGGTCCAATTCTCAGGGCTGGCTCCGCTAAGTCGGCATATGTACGATGGTGGACCTCCATCAGCTGTCTCAGTAGCTGTACCAATTTCTCAAGCATAAGAGTACCATGTGACAAAGTAAAACCAAAATGTATTTAGAGCATCTATCAAAAAACACGAACCAATCATTTCTCATAATACCTGGAAGTGTATTGTCTGCAAATGACCAACTAGATAAAGGACCGGTTATGTTGAGGACCGAAACCCAAACCTCCTCTAAGGAACTGACAGGAAGGTAGCACAAAAAGCTTCAGAACTTACAACTGAATTTAAACAATTAATCTAGAAAACCGTATAGAAAGCCTTTTTCTGTATCCAATTTGCAGGTCATGTGCCGGCGTTTTGTTCTACTCACCCTAAAGACAGTTCCAAGTATATTCTCCTCGATCCCCCACTAAAAACTGTATGTGGCTCATAAGTGGACAGATGGGGAAACTGCCTGTACTGCTTCAATATACCATCACTTCTGGCAGGGAACTTCAAACTTCTTGAGAACAAAAAAGATACAGGAAAAAGTCCCTGCATATACACACAAAAGGCCCTCACATAATTTTTCATCCATGGTTCCCATGTTTCAATTTAATGTTGAACAATTAATGCAAACAACTTATCCGTGTTGAACATATAAACAGCATCTTCCACTCAAACTAACAAGCTCGAGTGTTACTTAGCCAACATAACTCAAGTGATAAGGACTAAAGAGAAGGGTTGTTCTTCAATCTTGATTATATCCAGGGTCTGTTTTGAATTTTTGGTGTAAATTGCTTAATTGAACTTTAGAAGTACTAATTTCTTATCTTATTAAAATATGATGAAAAAGGGTAGATTTGAAATGACAATTTTTTCTTGAGTATTTGAAATCCTTCATTTTTCCTAAATAATCAAATGCATATGAACATAAGAAATTAATATACGACCAAAAAAGAAAGAAATCAATATTTCAAAGTAGGACTAAGCAATTTACATTAAAAAGCCAAAGCCAAATCCCTCTTTAAACTCTCCTTCCAAATGAACCCTTAGATTTAGAACACAAGTGTTAATTTTTGGAGAGAAGCCCACCAATGCAGGAGAAACAATATAGACACAGCTTTGGTGAGATTTACATAAGTGAAGAAGATCATTCATGTAATTATAGACAAAGAGAAAATGATTAACTACAGGACACAAGGACCATGTCTAATATCCTAGGATGAGTGATCCAATCTCAAGGACAAGCACGTTAGAGTTTGAAAGAGTCGCAGAAGGGCATGTTTAATCATAAATTGGCATAAAATGATTACAAACTAACATACCATCCAATTCTCTCGGTGAGATGTCTTTGCAATTTCAAAAGATGACTCCGAATTAATGTGCAATTCCTTTGCCACGTCAGGTGCATGTTTGAAAAGAAAAAGTAAAGAATTGGAATCCAACACCGAAAAATCATAGCTGGAGTCCACAACCTGATTTGCATCTGTCATACAGAAGAAAAACTATTGACAAACTAGGAAAACCCCAATAAAAAGAAATGCATAAAGAAATATAAAGAAACAGTATTGGAAGACAGAGAATTTCTCGATGTCTATTCTTCTCACCTAGAGGAAATTATGTACAGCCCAAGGAAACAATAGGAAAGCACAAAAGGATTCCTAGTCTTAAAGTAAATAAAGTACATGCAAGAGACCTTTTCTATGGTTATCTCAACACACCCTTCAAACGTGTTCTGAACTTCTACTCATATGCATTGTTTGGCAATATCTATTTACAATAGAATATGTATCTCAATATACTACTCTATTTGTAATTTAAAGATTAGGTAAGACTGTAAATATTGAAATACAAAATGAAGATTAATTTAGAGTTGGAACCAAAGGCCACACATGCTCCCACGTCGCCCCATATATGCTGTCCACGTGTTTGGCTTGAGTGACGCCACACGTGAGGGGATGTGGTGAGAGTGTGAATCCCACATCGGGGAGTTAAAGCCTTGCAAAATAGTTTAAATGATTACAGGTCTCTTCATCCATTGCCAATTGGTTTTGGGTTGGATGCTCACATTCTAACAAATACGATGGCAAAATATTAGTTGAACGGATTTGCAATCATTTTAAAAACAATAGCCTGCTTGATCTATTTTAACCATCAGATTTTAGAAGGATTTTGGAATTATACTTGAACAAAAGACCCAAAAAAAATAGATTTGGAAAGCATGCCTGTCATTTCAAAGATTTACTTTTGCTAGCTTGAATACCTGCAGTAAGAAATGAATGCTGGAAAACAACCCTCTTAGGTGCGTCCGCACTATATGGAAAGAACTGAGATGACAGAGCCAAGCCTAGCACGCTAAGATGCAGCAAAACTTGCAAAATGGACGACCTAGCTAACCAATGACCACAAATAGGTATCAGAGGGCCTACACACCAACCAGTCACAACTCCAATTATTGCTGCCATTACAACGTCAGGAATAAAAAAACCTGCAAGAAAATTTCTGATGATTAAACAATGCTTTTCTGAATTTATGAATACTGGGAATTCAAAATATTTTACAGCATTATTAAAAGCTTTAGAAAATCTTGTTCTATTGCAAGCACATAACATTCATAGAAAACTGAATTTCCCAATTATGAGAAAAAATGAAGACCTTATATTAATTCCAGCACAGAAAACTGACTTGAATGATATAATTACTTTAGATGCAAAGGTAACACATACCAGCTGTAAAGATAGAAAGTTCAAAGCACTAACCATATGGAGGTGGCAAAGCACCCATCATACCCATCTTTTCAACCATAAATTGTATAAGAAATCCACCAAAATATACAGAGTATGCAAGGCATGGAAGTATAGGTAACATGTAAAACAATGTTGACCTGAGAGAAATTTTAAAAATTATGTTAAAGAACTGTAATTCCTTCTCAGAAACTGTGAGAACAGGACTAAAAGTGACAACTATAAGAAAGGAAACACAAACATACCAATTACATTATAACTTTATAAGCAAAACAGTTTAAATCAGTACCTGAGTGACTGGCGACCAAATGATTTGATGGATAAGCAGTACGAAACCCATCCAGGAAGCATAGAAGCGGACAGCAAAAAAGTCAAGAAGCCTCCACTGAGCCCAGCAAAAAGGTAAGCCTGCATTCACTAAAGTAGTTTTAGAGATCTCAAATTTAATTAAACAAATATAAGTTACGCAACTTAAGTTCATGATTCATATCATGACAATTGTTAAGTGAAAACTATCTGATATAAAAAGTAACCATGCCGCTTACCAAAGTTAACATAGCGTATAATCCAAATGCTCCCCAAAACCTCGCTTCATCAGATAAAGCCTGCAAGATTCACGCATACGATAATCTATTTGCTAACTAAACAACTGGGATTATTGAAATATCTATAGACATTAGACAATATAGGTCTGCAAACTAAAACAGAAACATGATGCCACCAAAAGGAATTTTTAAGGCGGAATAAGTGCATGCAAAATACTTATAGGTCATAGTTGCAAAATCTTTTTTGGCATACATGAATACAATACAACCAATGAGATTTTTTACACAACCGAGAATGCAACCAATGTGATTGAAAGAAATCTGTAATTTTTCAACCAATACATGAAAAAATGTATATTTCTCCATACTTGTCTCTCTTGAGTCTTCTATTGGCAAATGGTGCTTTCATATTCATCTATAAAAGTAATTTGTAAACATATATTGAAGCCACTTCTATGTTAAAACTTCAAACTAAGGCCATGTATATTTTGGGGAAAAAAAAAAGATAACGTGTTCTCGTCTGGTGCGTAACTGTACCTCCTTTAAAGACTTGAGACCTGCTGCATCTTGAGAGAGGGGAAAGCTACTCCAAATAATTCTGGGAATCAACATACCAACAAGAGAGCAGGGAATGAACATCAAGTAAGCCAAATATGGATGAGCAAACCTGCATTTTAATCCAAAATTTCAGTGACAGTTGTCAAGGTATAAAGCTCCAACTTAAAATGATACTTTTCAAGAGCTTGCATACATTTTCGTTTTGTAGGAGCTAGAATTATATCTTGTTGACTAGAAATTTTACATTTCAACTTCATTTATGAATAAATATGATCTAGAACTTCAATAAAGCATGACATACTAATTCAATAGAGATGGGCATGACTTTATCCATAGCCATTATTAGCCACTATAAACCATAGAAACTAAAAGCGGCAGCTCTTTCATCAACTATAAGAGGCTTAACTGCTGAAATAAAGTGTCTGGTCAATGAACGTAATGAAATACTACTGAAAATATTTTTGAAAAAAATCTCTAATTCATATCAGCTAGACTCATAAGAATATCCTTATTAAAAAGCACAACGCTATTTCTACAGATAATAGGATTATAATAAGAATACAACTCAACAAAATGAACCCACCAGTGCATTGCATGACTAGTGAACAGCAATCTCAGGATAGAAAAGATTATTGGAAAAACAATTGCCAGAAAAATCCCAGTAGCATGGAATATCAGTCCTGAAAAATTGACAAATCGGACAACAATGTTGGAAATTCTTGACAAATACCAAATTTTTTTATAAGAAGTGTCAAAGTAAAATAATTAACTCTACCCCGTGAGTAGAGAACCAGAACTTTCGGGTGCAGAAAATGGGACCCCGATCACAGCAAAAAGGTTGCATGAATGCGTTTACATAAGAAGCAGCTGATTTACCTTTCGCAAAATCACAGAAAGTAGAAAACCAAGAAAGGAGACCAGGAGTCTGCTTTTTTGAGAAAACTGGCGCAGCTAGGAAGATGGCAATAGGAATACTGTGAAGTAACATAGCTACCTTCCGTGTATAGTATATCTGCAATATTCATCAAGAGAGAGAAAGAGAGGACAAGCTATATCATACATCAGCCAAGAGTATATATATATGTCAAATCAACAGTGTCATGAAAGACACAAATCATGAGCTTTGTAGCATACCATAAACAATGTTAAATAATCAAAGAAAACAGCATGTCCTTCCTCATACTGATTGGCAGTAGATATATTGGACTCTCTTTCATGTGTTATTTGTAGCTTAGAAGACTTGGTGAAGGCCTTAATTATGCTAAACAAATTCTCTCCGCGTGCTTGCATACTTCCAGGTCTGGAGGCATTGGAATGTATCAGAGGAAGTGCTTAGGGACGAAGTGATTTGAAAATTCAAATTAAGTAAATCTGTACCAAAATAGCAGATGTAATGCATACAATAGTCTCTCCATTGTATCAAAGGATGTATGGTAAAAATAACCACCAAGGAGAAAGATAATATCCAAGCCAGGAATGTCACCGTAATCTTGAGAAAATATCCGAAAATCTGTATCTCCAGGAATAATAGGAAAAACATCCTGCAGATGGCACATAAGTCATTCAGAAGTAAGTCAGCTTATGAAATGCGAAGGCAAGCAAAATAAAAAAGACTACATACCATCTTGAATTAGTGTTATCATTTAAAAATTCTAAAGCTAATAGAAAATCATAACGTAATTACAAGTAGAATCAAGAGTGTAAAAGCATCACTCTTCACCATTCCCATTATTAATATGAAATTTCAGTTAAAAAGAAATTTAACTGATGTATTTACCAGCTGCAAAATAGTAAATGTATATGAAACATAAGATCGTAAGATATCAAATGAAAGAGCAAGCCCAAATGAGCTACCCTCATCGAAATGAAATTAATATTTAGTACTCTAAGAAAAGGCAAACCATTAACCTGAGCTGCACTATGTGCCATGGGATATATTGCTGATTGAGCATAGACCTGAGAGGGCCAAGAACCGGGTCCTGATTGACAAACTAAATCTGAAAAATAAATAAATACAAATTATCAAGAGTACATAAATCAACAAAGGATACTACAAACTAATGATGACAATTTCAAATGTATTCCCGAAAATAATATTAATGGGCGATGATATCCTACCAGGACCGCCTGTCCCTGATGCTTCCACGTTTATAAAAGCCCCAATAGTGTCACGCCATTTATGTGTCTTCATGAAGCCGTGAGAACCCTAAGTAGCATACAAAAACACCTCTAATGAGCTTAAATGCATCAGAAGGTCCATACTATATGAATTATCAAACAACTAAATTTTGAATAGTAACAGATGATGCAAGATTTTGCTCCCAGTCAAAAAAACCATTGTTAAGACAAATTACCAACATAAAAAGCTCTTCTGCCCCATTAAAAAGAAAAAGCACGGGCCGAGGAGGTATCCATCCAGAATCCACAATAAGTCTTGCTATTTCCAGCATTGATGCTGTGAAGGAATAGGAAAAAAAATAAAAAAATTATATGAACATGCAAGACATGATGATTATAGTATCTCCAATCAGGTAAGATTTTCTTTCTACCCACCTACACATGAACCACAATCACCAGCACCTGGGGAACCAAGTGGACTGTCAAAATGACCATTTACCAAAACTGACGGGTCAGAGTCTTGTGAATCTTCGGATGATATCCTGCCATTAAATAAAACTTAATGTGCCGTGACATTCTCTAAACTGCAGCATGATGAAAACATCAATGCTACATTCTTTTCTTTTTTGTAACAAAACATCACTTCTACATTACTCATAAGATACATATCAACTATAACTATGGCAATGAATAATACCAAAAATAGTACCAGCAGTGTATTCAAATATAACTAGATAGTAAGTACAGAAAATAAAGGCAACAAAAGAAAAGTTTAATTGATTGGTACAAACAAAATTTCAATAAATAAGCTATCAGAAATGTGTATAGTACCTCATCACAATATTTGAGTGGTTTCGGTACCCAAGAGATATGCTATGGCCCAAAAACATCATATTAAAGGTGCCATTAACAACGGTCTCTTCTATCTCAATTCTTCAAATATCAAAATTTAGGCATCATTGTCAGTTATAAAAAACAGATAAATAATAAATTCCTAGAAATTAATCATTACGTCAGACAAGAAAAATTCACATACAGACCTAAAATTGGACCCAGCTCGCTCCTTTATCATTTCCAATTGAGCTGTAATATACTGAGCAGCTTCTCTTAAACCAGGGCGCCCTTCCTATCAAAAACCGTACGAAATTGCTAATAAGTAACTCGACCCAGAAACAAAAATAGTAATCAATCTCCCAGTATAAATTACACTAGCGAATTCAAATCAAACACAGAAAAATCCTAAATAAAGGTTTTTAATTTGGACTCCAAAAACAAAAAAAAGCAAGAAAAAAATAGTGAGGCTATTGAACAGCGAGCGAGCTCACTTGGCGACCATCGATTTCTTGGGCCAAGACTCGAACATGCTCGACGGCTCTAGCTTCCGAGAAGCGATCGAGAGGAGCGTCGATCTCGAGCGGCTTAATGAAGCGCATGTGGATAATAGAGTCGACCAGCATCGCAATGAGGCCGTACGTCACCGCCAGAATGAGCAATAACTTGAACCCGGAAACGTCGCCGGAGCTGAACCTCAACGCCATTTTCTCGATCCCTCTCAAAACCTAAAGACAAGGAACGAGGCCAATAAAGGTGGGTTCGCGAATATGGTGAAGAAGAAGCTGTGGGTTTTGTTTTGTGAGAGAGAGTGAGGTCGGTGAGTGGAGAAATGCGTAAGAAATTTCCAAACCACCTCCCGCTACGGGACGTTTGTGATCGTTGTGATTCGTTTTGTCTTTGGCTCCTGATAGCGTGCGAAGCATGTGATGTAAATTTGGTAAATTGGGCTGCTCGGTCGGTCAAAGTGGTTGGCCTTTTAATATGAGCTCGGTTGGACTAGGGTTTATTTATCATGCGTTTTGGGGCGTTTTGGGCTTAGTTCAATTGTATCATATTATAGGGCTAATTTGATAATGTTTTAATAGGAAAATTTTCTAGCTATAAGCGTTTCTATTAGAAACAATTTTATTCTCAATATGTCGTAGTCTGAATTTATAAGGGGTTGGGTATTGTTGATTGGTTTTGGAATGGAATTTCAATTTTCTTCATGGTATTAGAGCAAAGCTTCACGTGTTGAACCCAACGGCCATACATGCTTCCACATCACCCAATATGTGTTATCCACATGTTAGGCTTGAAAGTTGAGGAGACCGATGCCACTATGTCTATTTCTACTTTTCTACTTTTCTTCTTTTCTTTTTGTGTGTGTAACTACTAACTATCAATTGTTCATTCACATGATAAATGATTTCATATCTTGTTTGGAACATATGCATTATCTGCTTTCCTTTTCCAAACTATGTCAAATCTACAAAACAAAGTTAGAGGTGATGGTTACCAGTGGATGCACCATGCGTGTTTGAAGCATGTTGATTTACACATTCATTTTCTCACTTCTTTTATCATTAAAAGCATGTCAACTTGACTCATTTTGGTGCTCATTACTTTTATTTATGGAACTTGTCACAACAATACAATTGATGTGTGATGCGCATTATTATTTTTAAGCTAAAGTTGATTGGTCGAGTGTTGATCACAAATAAGTATACTTTACCTTTTTTTTTCTTTTTTTTTTGTTCCGCCAAAGATGAAGATAAAAATGATTTATAAATTAACAAATAAAAATAAAGAACTAAAGACGAGAAGGCTTTTGTGGATGACCAATCCTTGAAGCAAGGCCCAAAGCCCTTTTTATTATCCCATTTGTTTTTTTGCCTCCTCAACCAAATCTAACGGATAGTTAAGTTTTAGTCTCTCTATCTACACTCGGCACCAAATGGCCGGTCAGTAATGTCAAACAGATCTCAGAAAATGTACGGAAAAGCCGCATTCGCTCTCGTCTTCGCTATCCTCATACTCCTCATCACCTACTCAATCTTCATCGGCACTGTCGATATACGATCCTACTTCCTCCCGCTTCTGCCGTCGCCACCGCCAGGTGCACAGCCCCTCTGTGCAACCGGCCCGCCTCTCAAAGTCTACATGTACGATCTCCCGCGCCGGTTCAACGTCGGCATGCTGAACCGGAAGAGCACGGAGCAGGCTCCGGTCACGGCCCGGACCTGGCCCACGTGGCCCAGGAACTCTGGGCTCAAAAGGCAGCACAGTGTTGAGTACTGGATGATGGGCTCGCTTCTGTTCGACGGCGATGGCGGTGATGGGAGAGCGGCCGTTAGGGTTTCTGATCCGGAATTGGCCGATGCGTTCTTCGTGCCGTTTTTCTCTTCCTTGAGTTTCAATACTCACGGGCACCACATGACCGACCCGGCTACTGAGATTGATCACCAATTGCAGGTAATTAATTAGGTTTCGATTGCTGGCGTTCTTTATCTGTGAATATTGGTCGCTTGTTATGGAGAACTTTGATAATTTTGTGTCGAATTGGGTCGTCGAAAGCAGTGAATTGGATGCCTTCGATTGAGTTTGCCTGTCTCATTTTCCCTTCTGTATACATATTTGGAAATGACAGTTTCGATTCTGTGTTTTATCTTTATAGGAAATTAAACAGAGTCTACTGCTGAAAATGAGAATTATGTGGTTTTCTGAATACAGATGAGATATGAAAAACTGGGATTTTCTTCTGTGGCTGGCATATTGAATTCGAGGCTTGGGACTTGTATGTTAATTGAAACTTAAACACCTTTCGCTGTCATTCAGTTTGATTTGTGACACACTTTTCAAGAAAATGTAGAACGGTTTTTGCAAAGTTAGGTGGTATTTAGAGAGGAATTGGATGATGGTTTCACTAATTGCAGTGCTGCTTTGTTCATTCTTGAGCCTTTCCGTAGATTGATACTTTGTTTTACCATCAACTGTTTTTATCTTTACTTGGTTTTTGTCAACCAGCTGTCCAAGTTATAATTCATGCCTCCAATGTTTTCCAATTTTCAAAATCACTGTCGTGCAGGTCGTAGTATTGTTTCCAAATGTCCTTTTTTCTTGTGGACTTTCATATTTTTGTTATGACTAAACTTTGAGTTTCTTCTGATTTCAGATAGATGTATTGAAAATCTTGGGGGAATCCAAGTATTGGCAAAGATCCGGAGGCAGAGACCATGTTATCCCTTTGACACATCCCAATGCTTTCAGATTTCTTAGACCACAGATCAATGCATCAATTCAGATTGTTGTAGATTTTGGCCGGTACCCTCATGTCATGTCAAATCTGAGCAAAGATGTGGTCTCCCCATATGTACATGTTGTGGATTCCTTTACAGATGATAATCATTCAAATCCATATGAGTCCCGCACTACACTTCTTTTCTTCCAGGGCAGGACATTCAGGAAAGATGTATGTTAGTTTAAGAGTTGTTTGAAATAAAAGATGCATCCTGTCTTAAAACCTTCTACTCTGAGCTATAATTGATTACCTTTGGTCTTGTTATATGCAGGAAGGCATTGTCCGTGTTAAACTGGCTAAAATTTTAGCTGGTTATGATGATGTTCACTATGAGCGAAGTGTTGCAACAGGAGATAACATAAAAGCGGTATGTATGGAGTCTTTAGTGGTCCATAAATTTTATTGTTGTGTGCATATCTTGGTCCTGGAAAGTATGGATTTTACACATTAGTCACTGGAAATGATTATAGTCATCCTCAGTGTCATTTTAATTTCTTAATGATCTTTAGCCATCTTCTCAAAACTTTTATGGTGTCTCAGAATCATCCATGAGTGCCACTTCTAATTTTCTCTACTTGTAATTTCTATCTAAATATATGCATGCATCTTATTCGTGAGTAAACTCAAATTACATACAATGCGGCAACCCACAGCATCTTAGTTTCATTCTATTAAAGAAAAAATGTCGGGGAGACTAATCATTTGAGGGACACCAAGCAGATAGATTTCTAATATATGCTCTTAGTTGGTATGTTTACTCTCAATTGAAGAAGACAGGCAAATTTCTGTCATCTGGATTTTCCTTCAGAAGGATAATTTTCCCCTTGCATAGGAGGTTTTTGTAGTCAGCCATCTCAAGTTTGAGTAATATATATTATTATAATTAATTAAGTTTTCTTTATTCTTTTCTTTTTTTTTTTTTTTTTTTTTTTTTTTTTTTTCCTGTTATACCAGTCTTCGCAACGGATGCGTTCATCAAAGTTCTGTCTGCATCCTGCTGGAGACACTCCTTCGTCTTGTCGCCTATTTGATGCTATTGTGAGCCACTGCGTTCCTGTCATTGTGAGTGATGAAATTGAGCTCCCGTTTGAGGATGAAATTGACTACACCAAATTCTCACTATTCTTCTCATTCAAAGAGGCTTTGGAACCTGGTTACATGGTTGATCAGCTCCGGAAATTTCCAAAGGACAGATGGATTGAAATGTGGAGGCAACTTAATGCTATTTCCCACCATTTTGAATTTCATTACCCCCCAGAGAAAGAGGATGCCGTCAATATGCTATGGAGACAGGTGAAGCACAAGCTTCCTGCAGTCAAACTTGCTGTACATAGAAACCGGAGGTTGAAAATCCCAGACTGGTGGCGGAGAAGAAAGTGATTTCAGGAGCATACGTTTGTTGTATATTCATGATCTTTTTTTTTCCCATCATAGTGACAACCCTTAAGGGGTAAAGAAATACCATAGGTATCACAACACCCAGATTTTGCAGGGTAATGTTTAGAGGTTCAATAGCGCTTTTTGCAGCTTACAGCTTGTCTATTCTTTGACTCTCTCACTTTTTTAGTGTCAATTGAGTATAGTTTCCCCCTTGTTCAGTGTCGTATCAAATGACATACTGTAAGGGGTAATTTCTTGTGTTGATGATCCGATTACCCATTTGTCCTACAATTCCTGAGTTCTTAATAATGCAATACCATACGGCTTTTCACATTGGAATTTGGTGGTTTCTCGTTTTCATTGTAAATACATTGTGGGATATTTTGAGGTTGCCCATGTAAAAGAATATAAGCTTGTATAGTCACTAAGGCTAATCCAATTGATGGCCCCTTCCCAAGAATGTGCCTGCTAATTAGGTTATTCAAATTGATGTTTATGTATAGTTGTAGCCAGCAGCATATGGTGGCAGATAGAAAATTTTCTATACAAACTCGAATTGCTTATTCTAGACAACACTCTGATTGATACATCAGTCTGAATCTTACATATCCTTACAAAGATTTTTTCCATCACTATGCACAAACACGTCGCAGTAGTAACGAAGCAGCAAGGCGGACTTTAAGTTGCCCCTGTTTGTGGTAGGCTTTCCTGGTGCTTCAATTGCACACACAGTGGAAGTGGTTGCCTTGGCTTGGTTAGATGACACCAAACAACCCTCAAAGAATGCGTGATGCGCATATGTAATCACAAATCAGGGTGTTGGACGTGAATATGGACCCTGTGCCAGGAAGTGTTGAGAATTCCTCTCAGGTTCCAGATGACCTCCACATTTTTGGGTTGGACGTTCGCAGATATATCAACCTGTTCAACAAGATTTGAATGTTTAAGATTTATAACCATTAAGTGACAACATAGTGACGATTACTTACTGCTTTAGCGACAATTTCAGTAGTGTGAGAGACATCTGCCTCAGCCTTAAATAGCACCCATGCCCACTTGTCACTACTTGTATCATCTGCAACATATGGAATTCCACTCTTTTGGTATCTGATTGCTTCCACCCATGTCTTGCCACCATCAAAAGATACATCTACTCTTTCGATCCCCCGCCCACCTCCAGACGCTGCATATCCATGAACTACTATCTGCAAAGAAATTGATGATGATGTAAGGAGGTGGAGAAGCTTTTCATAGTTGACCAAATGTTGTGTTGGTGACTTGTAATGTAAGTCAATAGTGCAATGCTGTGTGACACAACATAATGACTTTCAAATTGGAGTTTGCAACTCATGACTACTTGCAAAGTTGGCCCTATTCCCATTGTGCTTAATGAAAACTGTGCTTAAACAGATGACATACCTTTCCAGGCTTCACTGTATTTTCTTCCTCCAAAGAACAAATAACAGACTGCAAAATCCATCAAAGACAATGTTCATGAGTTCATTGAAAATCATGTCAGTGAAGGTACATATATCTAAATAAACAAGAACTATGCGCAAGGAGCTTAAAGCTATTGATTATCGATAGAAATACCTGAACAGGAAAATCCATTTGAGGCCTCCGGGTTGACCAATCAATATTTTCCCAGTTCACAGTAGGAGGAAACATTTTGTAGTCCCTTTGCATAAAGAATCCCTGTTCCACTATAATAACTCAATTATTCTATCCATTGTAAGAGTCATATAATACAAGAACAGATAATGCGACACGATTAGTAAGATCAGTAAAAACCAACCTGACACTCATTTTCAATTATATTGATAGAACTCAGCCATTTAACAGAACGAGCACCTATAACACCAGGAACAATTACGCGCAGCGGATACCCGTGATCCCTGTTTAGAGGCTTTGGCACAGTAAAATAGGTCAGCGAGAACGTGGACGCATACTTTGACCTCACAACTATAAGAAGCAATTAGAAGAAATCTGATCTGAAAACTACACCAGCTGTTTATTTACCTCTCCATTCATCTCATATGCAAGTAAAACCTCAGCATCTGAGTTTGTTGCCTGAATTAACGGAATTGATCCCTTGTACGGTCCTCCTTTTTCCTCCTAAAAGACGTTCATCATACAATATAAAACATTCCCAAGTAAAGAGAAGAACGTGTAGTGCAAAACTGAAGCTCACCTTGCACTTGTCAACACTTACGAACTCAACATGCTTTCCTCCTAATGGGGACACTGATGTTAACTTAGAGATCCCCACAAGTTCGAGAACATCAGCAAGTTTAGCCCCACCCCAAATAGCTGAAAGGAAACATAAAACAAAAATGATAAAAGTTTAATTTTACTTTTCTACGTGCAATTTATCTGTGACGGAAATTAATAAGCATAGTAGCAAATTAACCATTTCCAATGGCAGAAACATCCCAGCCAACACCTTTCACTGCTTTTACTTTGCTCATTGCAGTCCTTCTGTTACCTGCACACTGGTTAGCTTGAAACGAACCGAATCAAATTATGATGGAGAGCTGTAACTAAAATATACCGTCTTCCCCACAATAATGCATTAATCTGAGGAGGTGGGCAAAGCTGGAAATGCCTTGTCTAACCAACTTACTTGTAAAGTGGCTGTCACAATGTGCCTTCGTAGCTTCCTGTTTCAAGTTACCAAAAAGTTTTACTCTCTTAATTGATTAAGATGAACCAACTACAAAAGACATTATAGTAGTTACCTAATATCAGCCATTGATAGTTCCAGGGGCTTTTCCACCAAACCACATATAGACACTCGATATCTGCTCACACAAAGAAGTAGAGTGTTATAACCTTGGATTTGGACAAAGTAATTGCAAAATGAGGAAATTGGAAAAAGAATAAAACATTGCTTAGAATTCGTAAACTTTCCTGTGAATTTTTCATTTATGGATGCAATAATAGCAAGAGATTAAATTTCAACATAGTTCTCAAGTTTTCCCAACAGACACAACTCTTTCTAACTTTTAAATTCATCTACTCCGTCGGCTAAAACCTTACCACCTACCTCAACATATGCTAACAATTTGGCATATATAGTATAGCTACAAAAAGATGAAGAAAAAATGGCAAACTGCTGTTAACCTTTCAATGTCATCAATGACAGGGATTGGCCCATGGTTTCGCTTGTAGAACAAATCTACTGGCGTCACATAGGATGCGATTAAGGCTGAACGTGGTGGTTCTGCGTTGAAAGGTTCCTGTTTCACACGAACACAGTGCAACCATACACATTCATTTCAAGCTACCAAGCATGAAAACGAAAACAGCTACAATTTTAAGAACAAAAACGGAAGTGAACCGCTTGTCCGTCTCTCTGAAAAGTAACAGAATTTACCTAAAAAGGGAAAATAAAATTGAATAATTATGATTTAAGAATATATGATGAAAACCCAACCTGGGAATTTACAATGAGACTTGGATGACGTTGTGGTTCTTCAGTATAATTAGATGGAGCTCTTAGGCCTGACATTTTACAAACGTTGACTGCATCAATGAGAAATAGAGACAACAGAGGAACCAGAGGCTGAGAATAAAAGCAACCAAATTCATGTGTGGTATACATATAAAGTGGTACATACTACATTATTTGTCACCAAATTGCTTTATCAACTTTTCTATGTTCAAATTCTTTTATATCACGTATCATATGCTGGTGGGAACTTCTTTCATATTAGGGATTTTTTTTGTAACATTTTTTATTTTCATTATCCGACAATGATGTACCTAGAAGTTTTCTGGGATAATCTTAATGGGTGTTTAGGTGTACCACTAACACTAAAGTTCTAGAACTAAATTATACAAAATTCTTGTCCAAACCTAACATATAATAATGAACTAGTTTAATGCATTAAAAGGGAAAAAAAAACATAGAAGTGGGTTAACGCCATTGATAATGACAATAAGTTCGTTATTCTGCATTCAAATTTGAGGTTCTAGCATAAATTAGATTGGATTGATTTAGATTGTATCAATTGACAATGATTCGTCATTTTACACTCAAATTTGAGGCTCCCAACATAAATTAGATTGGATTAATTTAGACTGTGTCTTGTATTGTAAAGAAAAAAAAACAAAGTTAATGAACTAGTTTAACTCAATTTGACAAAAAAACATAGAAGTGGTATACATATATAGTGGTACATACCACATTATTTGTCACCAAATTGCCTTATCAGCTTTTTTATGTTCATATATATATATATATATATATATATATATAAAGCAAAAGGCAGAGAATGGTGAAACATTCAAAATACCAGAAAATGTCCTTGGTTAATGCAAACATTAAGAATTGAAATTATTAATTAAATGAGGATAATACAGTAAATTCACACTTTTTCATATTGAAAAAATTAAAATTAAAAGAAAAATAAGATAATGGATCCTATTTTTATGGAACACAACTACCCATTATCTTTTTTAATTTTAAAATAAATTTCATTTTTTTATAAAAAAAAGGTCTCTCGCAGGCACGGAAGCGCGTGAGGAGAGGCTAGTATTCTTTTATGCCACGTATCATATGCTGGTGGGAACTTCTTCCATATTAGGGATTTTTTTTTTTTGTGACATTTTTTATCTATATCTATCTATATATATAAAGCAAAAGGCAAAGAACGGTGAAACATTCAAAATACCAGAAAATGTCATTGGTTAATTCAAACATTAAGAATTGAAATTATTAATTAAATGAGGATAATATAGTAAATTCACATTTTTTCATATTAAAAAATTAAAACTAAAAACAAAATCAGATAATATGTCCTACTTTTATGGAACATAACTACCCATGTTATCTTTTCTTAATTCTAAAAATAAAAGAAAAAAGAAAAAAGAAAACCAATTGGCACATCTAGTATATATAAATCAAAAGGCAAAGAATGGTGAAACATTCAAAATACCAGAAAATGCTCTTGGTTAATGCAAACATTAAGAATTGAAATTATTAATTAAATGATGATAATATGGTAAATTCATACTTTTTCATATTTTAAAAAATTAAAATTATTAGAAAAATCAAATAATAGATCCTATTTTTATGGATCCTATTTCATTATCAGACAAAGATGTACCTAGACGTTTTATGGGATAATCTTAGTGGGTGTTTAGGTGTACCACTAACACTTAAGTTCCAGAACTGAATTATACAAAATTCTTGTCCAAACCAAACATATAATGAACTAGCATAATGCATGAAGGGGGAAAAAACATATAGGTGGGTTACGTCAATTGATAATGGCAGTGAATTCATCATTTTGCACTCAAGTTTGAGGCTCCTAGCATAAATTAGATTGGATTGATTTAATAGAAAATTAGTTAAATACCCATTCCTAGACATAAAACTATAAAAATACCCTATACTATTTAATGTATATAAACACACCCAAAATAAACCCAAAAATCAACAGCTGTATATTTTTTAATTTAATTATTAAAATGAAATACCTTTATTACCCTTTTAACATAAAATTGGAATTCTAATCAACAACATATCAGAACCCATTTCACGACCTCCAGTCTCTCATCTTCATCTTCAACCCCAATTTTTAGTTTTTGTTCAATCTCATCATTCTAAGCTTCTCGTCGGAGGGCTCGCCTGGGCTATCAACAATGATGCGCTGGAGAGGGCCTTTTCTCCGTTCGGTGAGATCATCAAATTGAAGAGCCATTTGATGCATGTTCTCTCTCTGCTTCTTGATCTTCTATTTCTCTATGTTACTTGATCTTTCTCTCCCAAAGATTGAAGATCGATCGATTCCTTTCCATTTTTGTTTATTATTGTGTATTTGTTTGATTATACTCCAACGTTTTTGTTTTGATGGACGGATCTGATTTGATTTGGTTTTGTAGGGGACTTTTTCCTCCAGCAGCTGCAAATGGGCTGGGCTGCTGTAAAAAGGGCAGACTGATGAAATTGTCCCCTTTGCCTGAGTTCGAAAATTAAGCCCCAAAATACCTCAAAAGGGCAGTAGAGCCTTAGGAAGTATTTTGGTTACCTTCACCAACCAAAACAATGGCAGCTTACAGATAATTTATGCATGCTTACAGATAAAATTTTAAGCTTGGCATGAGAGGCATGTGGCATGGGAGCAAAATCAACATGAGTTTAGCACTAAGAGGAAATTTAGGCTTTCTTAGAGGGAAAAAGGGAAGTGTTAAGGTGAGAAAAGAGAGATTTTGTAGGAGATTTGGCTAGGAAGAGAGAAATGAAGAACAATGCTCTTCTAGCAGCTTGACAGATACTCTGTTTGCCAGAAGAGAAGAATGGAGAAGATGGTGAACAGTGCACGAGACTGCTGGGTTTTTTGCAAGTTAGAGAGAAAGCTTGCTCTCCAGGCGTGGGTTGTTTTTGTTGGGTAGAAGAGGCCTCATTTTATAGGCGCTGGAAATCATCCCTTCCCAAGAACCCCTAATGGTTTCTACCCATTTTGGCTAAGCTTTTCCCTTCATTTCTCTTCTCCTCCCTTGGCTTTTCCTATCTTGGTGAAATTTCCTCTGTCTATTAGCACAAAATCAGGAACTTTAGGAGCTCAAGGCCCCATTTTCTCGCAGCTGTCTCAGTGACAGATTTCCATGCCCAGCCATTTCTTTTATTGCTTTCTTCTCTCTTTTCCATGTCCAAGTCTGATGGGAAAAGGAGTTGGGAAATATATGCTGGTTCGAATGGTGTTTCTGGCAGCTCGCATGCTAATATTCTTTGGTTCCTTGAATGTTTCTTGCTTGGAACTTGCTCCCCCCATGTCTGGAGGCTTTGTTTAATGAACCTGCAGACCTTCTCTACGTGGCTTCTATTTTTCCAGCAAAGGGCTGAGGCTTTTGTGGGCTTATTGTGAAACTTTGCATGGGCCAAGGTGGTTCATTAAATAAGTGGGCTATTTTGTTAAATATTGGGCTTTTGAGTCAATAGGCTATTTGGGGCTATTTGGGTTATTTGGGCTATTTGGGCTATTTCTTTTCCTCTTGTGCTCACCCACATGTTTGAGCCTAAGAAATGGGCTTGAGTCTCGAGGCTCTCAAGCAACCCAAGACTTTCCATTTCTTGGCCCATCAATGGGCCTCATGTTGATTTATTACCATCCATACCACAACCCACTCAAGCAAGCCCCGGGCATTCGAGTGGCTTGGGCCCACTTAGGCTTGTAGCGTGGTTGGGTGTGTAATAATGATTTCCTGCTTGGCATGACATGGCATGTCGCTTGGCATGGCATGGCATGTCGCTTGGCATGACACATCGCTTGGCATGCTTTTAATTATTATGCTTGATGGGATAATTAGCATGGATTTGTAGGGCCGATATATTCTAGCATGACGAATTATTTATTTAGCATGGCATGTGGATTGCAACTCGCATGTGGCGGGTTTTTGTGTACTCTGCTTTACGCCTTTCCTTGATAGAGTGTCATTTTGGGCTGATAATTTATTCGGGCCCAACCGTGGATTTTTGAGCCTCAACAGGTTTCTTTTTGTGTTTCCAGATCATCAACGACCTAGAGGTCCAGGGGCTTCGACTTCGTCACCTTCAACAACGAGAAGGCCATTAAGGATGCGATCGAAAGCATGAACGACCAGAACCTCGACAGCCATAACATCACCGTCAGCGAGGCCCAGTCTTGTGGAAGCGGCAATGGTGGTAACGGAGGTTACAACTCCGAAGGGGGGGGCGGATGATATGGTTGCGGGCATTCACTTCACTAACTGCTCCAAAGTCCAGTTCGCCATGAATCCGTATCATTGCTCAGCTCAACAGCTCTTCTGTCTCAACCGTCAGTCAGTAGTCCTCCTTCCTTTCTAGTTCCTAGCCATAATTGAGATGCTATTGCTTTGCCTTGTTTTGCCCTTGCTCCTTACTTTATTGATGATGATTGATTTTGTCACATTAGCTGAAGCTGAAGTCGTATATGGTGCTAGTATTAACTATTGAATTTCATGCTCTTTGCATTCCTAATTTCTAACGAATATGCATCCTGGTTGATGATTATCTTAGACTGCTCAATATTTATTTAAAAAAATATTGTCATTTCCCCCATTTTGGTTATGCTTTTTGTTTCTCTTTTGCCTTGCCTTTTTCATGAGAGAACGAAGAGATTGCTCTCCTAGGGAATTCAGACTAAGAATATGTATTGGTAGAAAACTTTATATTGAATAGATTCTGCCTGCAACAACTTATTTTAAATATTCCTATACAGCACACGGGGACTTGCACCAAACCGAACTTCTTCTTCTTCTCTTCTTCTTCTGTATATTTATTTATTTGGTTGTTATTGAGAGAGAGAGAGAGAGAGAGAGAGAGAGAGAGAGAGAGTTGGGTTGGTGTGCGCACGTGTGTACGTGTGGGACTGATCTTTTATACAAATTGAAAAACTCTCTCTGTCTCTCCAGAAACTTTTGTTGGAAAAAGAATCCTCTGAGATTTCTTGAGTAAAGTTTCAATAATGTATCACACTACTAGCTTTGCCATGCTACTATGTATTCTGGTGCCCCATATTAATCTCTACATATTTATCCGTTGACCACATAAAAATGACCTTTAAAGCAACAACTTTAGTTTAATTATTGTCATTTAAACATTTATCTATCTTTCTTGTTGCAAACTCATAGAGATTGGTAGGTCCATGGAGGTCCTGAAAAAGGAGATATTTTATTTACTTCATTGTGTAACGAGTTAACATTACAATATATGTAACCACTTAGCATTACAATAACTTTATATTGAAATTTTGACACGAGGAGTGAATGGTTTCATATTATCCCTATAGTTTGTAGTGAAATAGCATACTATTCAAATTCTATGTACTATTTCACCTTATCAGTTATGCGCTTTGGGCTTATAATTGTTATCTGTGTTGTTCCAATTATTCTATTATGCTTAATTATTTTGTTCTTATTTCGTATTGTCAGATTTGGTGAACAACCTTGGTACCATTGCAAGGTCTAGCACCAAGGAATTTATGGAAGCCTTGGCTGCTGGTGCAGATCTTGTTGTAGATAAGGTCATTGTTATTACCGAGCACAATGATGATGAGCAATATGTGTGGGAGTCGCTCTGATTCAATGTTTATGGTATGTGGAGTGATGAAGGACCAATTAATTATGCAAATGAAATGATGTAATTGATTTTGAGTGGTATAGAGTTGTACACTTTTATCGTACTGAGTTGATTTCTATGACATAGTATTAACAGTGTATTTTTTTTTTCTTTTTGTAAAGGTATTTTCTTTTGCCTTTGCGATTGTATGTGGTGAAACTATGAACAATTAGAGGTGGTTTCTGCAAAAGATATCAGATGTCTTGTTGGGCTGTTATAATTTTTTTAAAAATTTTTTTTTATGAAATGGTATTAACAATGTACTTTTATAAAATGGTATTAACAATGTACTTCTATCACATGATATTAACAGTGTACTTCTATAACATCGTATTAACCATGTACTTCTATAAAATTGTATTAATAATGTACTTCTATCACATGGTATTAACAGTGTACAGAAGTTCAGTGGAGAAGGGTCGTAAGGATAGCTCCTTGATTTTCACGATTTTTTTTAGTTTGGGTTTTTTTTTAAATTTGGGTTGGGCTTGTTTTGGGTTCTTTTTGAGTTTTTTGTGTTTGGCTTATTTTAAATTAATCAATGGTGGATATGTAATTTATAGGAACTTCAACACTCATTTCTTATTTAGTAAATAGGTTTTGTGTGTGTTTCTAAAGTGCATTTCATGTGGGGTTTTTTTATAATTTCAACTCTTATTTTGGGTATATTACTAAAGCTCCCTTGATTTAAACTATCTCAATTGACAGTGAATTCATCATTTTGCACTCAAGTTTGAAACTCCTAACATAAGTTTAATTGGATTGATTTAGACTGCCTCTTGTACTATAAAGAAAAAAAAACAAAGTTTATGAACTAGTTTAACTCATTTCGACAAATAAAGTAATTCCATAATAGAATTTTTTTTTTCGGTAATTAATAGAAAGAAAAAAAAAAGTTGGATGGATGAAATAGGCAATGATGATGGTCCGGGATTCTCCTACCGCATGTAAATGTAAGCGGTGGATAAGCATGAGGTGGATGAGTGTGACCACTGACCAGTATTTTACTAGAAATAGAAGCTACGTAGGATTAGCAGCCATCGGCCAAAGCCCATGTGTATTAATTTGTGCCAATTGCCGTACATTTAACAGCCCACCAGCCACCCCTATCAAAAACAAAGTCTGGCCCAGTCTACATAAAAGTCGGCCACAACCTTTATCCTTTTTGTCCTGCTTATATATATATATATATATATTAAAAAAATTGTTAAAGAAGCCTCCCAAATTCACAATATAAAAAATCTATCAAAGTTCTGATATTTTGCCTGTAGAGAATTAATAATTGGCTCTTCTGTTCAGCATGGGAGACAAGGTAGAGAAGATCATCCTCAAAAGCCCGGCACTTTTAAAGGTACCCATTTTCCTTCATTTCTTCCTTTCCTCAATGCCATCAACTCAACTCTCTCTCTCTCTCTCTCTCTCTCTCTCTCTCTCTCTGTCTCAGCGTTTCTTGTAATGAAGCATCGATCCTGGAGATCCCTTTGAGCTTAGTGTCAACTTTAAAAAAAAATTCTAGCTAGGAATGATCCTCAAATTTTTTTTCTTGTTTCCCTGGTTTTTAAAAAAAATTATTTAATTTTATATAAATTCATCTTTGGGGGATTTTTCAATCTTTAACAAGAATGCAGATACTTGTTTTTATCAATAATTATTTTTTTTTCTTGTCTTTTTTTAGTATATATGAGATGGATGCATGATGGTGCCATATATCAGTTTTTTTTATGGGATAATTGTCAAAATGTCAACTGAACTTATACATCAGTTTCAATTTGTCACTTTAAAGAAAAATTTAAGAGAAATGTCACCTTAATTTTTCAAAATCCATGATTTGTCATTTGACTTTAATACCATCCAATTTTCCATCCATTTTTAAAGGTATTTTAGTCTTTCCATTTTCGAAAGGAAAAAAAATAGAGAAAAAAATATACCTCTCTCTCCCTTTCTCCCCTAGCCCAACCCCACCATCCCCCCAAAACACATCGCACAGGACCCCCCCTCTCTCTCTCTCTCTGACCATGTATAATTTTTTTTAATAATGATTTTTTCATTTTTAAAATACCCTTGGAAATAAAAAATATTAAAATACCCTTAAAATTGATGGAAAATTGAATGGTGTTAAAGTCAGATGGCAAATCATGGATTTTGAAAAATTAAGGTAACATTTTTCTTAAATTTTTCTTTAAGGTGACAAATTGAAATTGAGGTATCAATTCATGTGATATGTCTACAAAAATACCTTTTCTTAATTACTATCACTAGCCCCTTGACACATGCTCACGCATGTGTCAATTGGTTTTCTTTTTCTTATTTCTTTTATTTTTATAATTAAGAAAAAATAACATGGGTAGTTATGTTCCATAAAAGTATGACATATTATTTGATTTTGTTTTTATTTTTATTTTTTTAATATGAAAAAATGTGAATTTACCATATTATCCTCATTTAATTAATAATTTCAATTCTTAATGTTTGAATTAACCAATGGTATTTTTTGTTATTTTGAATGTTTCATCATTCTCTGTCTTTTACTTTATATATATAGATATATCATGCATGATGCACAAGTGTCATATATCATGCATGGATGATGTACAACTGTCATATATCGTGCATGATGCACCTGTATTAGAAGCTTTCAATCCAAAAAGACAGAAACTTGTGGGATTTCCCTCTATATTATACTAATTAGGGCTTTGAAGATCTTTTTAATTTCAGCAAGTTAGTATTTCCTTTCTTTAGTTGTTGATCACCAAGTTGAAAATAGGAGACAAATTTTGCAACCCCGGTTATATACACCCATTCTTCCTTGTCTCATCTCTCGTTACTTGTCACGTATCACGTGATGAGACAAACCCGTATATGCAACTGATACAAGTGAGACGCTATTGGAGATGTTCTAATTATATTTTATGGATATACAATGTGTCCCTAACCCTAACAAAAATAGTAAATTAATGGTCTTAATTTTTCTTGTACATATTACAGTACATCTTCGAAACAAGCTGCTTCCCAAGAGAACACGAGCAATTGAAGCAACTAAGGGAAGCCACTATCGAGAAATACCAATTTTGGTAGGTTTAATTAACATTTGTATTTAACTATTATTAGAAGCAAGTAGTACTATTGATTAAGGATGTAATAGTAATTAAAATAAAATTAATTTGAAATATATGAAGTTACTTGACTGACCCTGATGATGAATAATTAAATTTTGAACACGTATAGGAGTCTCATGAATGTGCCTGTAGATGAAGGCCTGCTTCTCTCGATGCTTCTAAAGCTCATGAATGCAAACAAGACACTGGAACTTGGTGTGTTCACTGGTTACTCTCTTCTTACCACTGCTCTTGCACTACCTCATGACGGCAAAGTATAATTTTTTAATTTCATTAAAATAATATTAATTAGTTTGATTATGTGGTAATTAAGGACAGCACAACATTATGAGTTTCATTAATTCTTTTCAGATAACGGCAATCGATCCAGATAAAGAAGCATATGAGTTTGGATTGCCATACATTCAGAGGGCTGGGGTGGACCATAAGATTAATTTCTGTCACTCAGATGCCCTCACTGTCCTAAATGATCTCATTGCCAATGTAAGTTAAAAATCTGTGATTTCACAAAAATCAATTACCCAAAATACCTAAGTTCGAAAAAGAAAATGTTATTCGACGGATGACAAACTGGGAGCGTGAATAACAATTGTCTTTGGTTTAACTTGTTTATTTATTTGCACTGGAGATTTTAATTTTAAACATATGTAAATAATTAAATAAAGCAGGGGAAGGAAGAAGGGAGCTTTGATTTTGCATTTGTGGACGCGAACAAGGACGCATACATCAAATATCACGAGCTGCTGCTAAAGCTTGTGAAGGTTGGAGGAATAATAGCTTATGACAACACATTGTGGTTTGGGACAGTGGTAGAAGCTGAGGAGAATGTGGAGGAATTTGCAAAGAAAGGCAGAAAGCATTTGCTGCAACTCAACAGCTTTCTTGCCGCGGACGATCGCATCGAGTTAGCTCTTGTTTCCATCGGAGATGGACTCACCCTCTGCAGGCGTCTCTATTAGGATAATAGTGTTAGCTACCATGAAACAAACTCCAATCATGTTGTTGTTGTTGTTGTTGTTGTTTATCTAATAAATAAAATAAAATAAGACAGTTTGATTTACCCATCTATGGTAATTAAAATGGTGAACATCATCTTATCTTCAAAACTAGTTTTTCCTTATTTATGATGTGTTGGTGTGGAGGAGATCTATGTGGTATCCAAAATGAATTTCTCAGAAATGAAACTCCTATGTCTAATATTTGAAAGTTGTTTAAAGAGCCGAAGTATGATTAACCTCTACATAGAAAGTTCATGTCTAAGCGTCATACTAATAATGCATTTGTTAACACATGAGAATGCATAAGAATGTACTTGTTGAACATGAGCCTGCGTTCTCGTACACAGTTCTAAGTTTCTAAACTTCAAAACAATTAAGAAAAATAATAAGATGATGGGTGTCCAAAGAAATGAGTTGGGTGTTAATAGAATTACTCAATATCTCATTTAGTAGAGATTAGGCCTATTTGACATGAGCCCGATGAACCTATTTGAATCCAAAGTGGGTAATAGCTTAGGGCCCGTTCGGTAATATTTTTAGAGCCTGTTTTCTGTTTTTGTTTCCTGTTTTTCACAAATACACGTTCGGTGCATCGTTTTCGTTTTCCCTCACAAAACGTTTTCTAAAAACAAATCTGACTTTGTGAACAAAAGTTGAAAATGAAAAAAAAGTTGTTTTCAGTTATTTCGTTTTCAATGTTTTCTGAAGACACAAGAATGCATCCCATAAACAACTCGCGCTCTTTCTCTTGACAACTGATAAAACCACCAACAGGAACAACACCCATCTTCTCCGACCCAAAATAACACAAATATGAGAACTAAGAAAAAAAAAATACAGAGGAAGAAGAAAAGAAAAGAAAAACAGAAACAGGAAGACCACCGCATACCCAGCTCAACCACCATAATCACCCAATCAAACCCCAATTAGTGGAGAGAGAGAGAGAGAGAGAGAGAGAGAGAGAGAGAGAGAGAGAGAGAGAGAGAGATGGGTGGGTGTATGGGATTCATGTCACGGAAGGAAGGAAGAATGGGTGTAGCCTGGGAAGGAAAGGAAGAAGAAAAGGGGAAGAAAGAAGGAAACATGAAGAAAAAAAAAGAGAAACAGACTTGCGAAGCAAAAGAAGAAGAAAAGAGGAGGAAAGAGAGAAAAGGAGAAAAAGAAGAAAAAAAGAAAGAAAAAAGAAAGGAGATAAGATAGTTTTTGTGCTTTAATTTTTTTTCATTGTTTATAATAATTTTAGCCTATAAAAATATCATAATTAAAAAAAAATTAGAACTGAAATTAGCAAAAATAAACCTAAAAAACAATTGTACTACCAGACACGTTTTCATTGTTTTTGTTTTCTAAAGATGTTTTCTAATTAATTTACTAGACACATTTTCATTTCTTGAAAATGCAAATTTGTTTTTTTGTTTTCATTCTCTGAAAATACTCTCAAAAAACATTCTCCGAAAACGTTACCAGACGGGCCCTTAGTAACTTGGGCCAATGTCCTTTGGGTTGCATTTTTATACCCAAAAGAAAAACATAAACGAAAAAGTGGGTTCAATGCTTGCTAACTTCCAAAGACATCAAATCAAAGTTCAGCTTAGCATTTGTCATGTCCGCCTTTTATAGCCAGCATATGGGCAGAGCTCTTATTAAGCTGCATATTCTCATTTAGTGCATGAGATTGGATTGGATAAGTTACCAAATCTAAAGTACGTTGAAAAAGAAAATGAAAGTAGAGATAAACCTGGTGGTTCTGCATTGAAAGGTTTCTGTTTCACACAAACACAGTGCAACCATACACATTCATTTCAAGATACCAAACATGAAAACGAAAATAGCTACAATTTTAAGAACAAAAACGGAAGTGAACCGCTTGTCCATCTCTCTGAAAGATAACAGAATTTACCTAAAAAAGGAAAATAAATTGGGTAATTATGATTTAAGAATATAATGAAAACCCAACTTGGGAATTTACAATGAGACTTGGATGACGTGGTGGTTCCTCAGTATAATTAGATGGAGCTCTTAGGCCTGACATTTTACAAACGTTAACTGCAGCAATGAGAAACAGAGACAACAGAGGAACCAGAGGCTGAGAATAAAAGCAACCAAATTCATGTGTGGTATACATATTTAGTGGTACATACTACATTATTTGTCACCAAATTGCTTTATCAGCTTTTCTATGTTCAAATTCTTTTATATCACGTATCATATGCTGGTGGGAACTTCTTTCATATTAGGGATTTTTTTTGTAACATTTTTTATTTTCATTATCCGACAATGATGTACCTAGAAGTTTTCTGGGATAATCTTAGTGGGTGTTTAGGTGTACCACTAACACTAAAGTTCCAGAACTAGTCCAAACCTAACATATAATAATGAACTAGTTTAATGCATTAAAAGGGAAAAAAAACATAGAAGTGGGTTAACGCCATTGATAATGACAATAAGTTCGTCATTCTGCACTCAAATTTGAGGTTCTTGCATAAATTAGATTGGATTGATTTAGATTGTCTCAATTGACAATGAATTCGTCATTTTGCACTCAAATTTGAGACTCCCAATATAAATTAGATTGGATTAATTTAGACTGTGTCTTGTATCGTAAAGAAAAAAAAAGGTAATGAACTAGTTTAACTCAGTTCGACAAATAAAGTAATTCCATAATAGAAATACCTTTTTTTTTGTGGTAATTAATAGAAAGAAAAAAAGAAGTTGGATGGATGAAATAGGCAATGATGATGGTCCGGTATTCGCCTACCACATGTAAATGTAAATGTAAGTGGTGGATGAGTATGACCACTGACCAATATTTTCCTAGAAGGTACCTAGGATTAGCAGCTGCGCTGACACGGCAGCCATCGGCCAAAGCCCAAGTACGTTTAATTTGTGTCAATTGCCATATATCTAACAGCCCACCAGCCACACCTATCAAAAATAAAGTCAGGCCCAGTCTGCATGTAAAGTAAATGAGACATAATATTTAACGAGATTCAGCCATGCGTACATCCTCGGAGGCAGCAGCAGTAACTTTTCCACTATATAGAATAATAGAGCTACAACTTTAGTGCTTACAATATATGTGGCTCACTGATTTTTCTCTCTTGGAGAATTTACTTCTGCTCTCTTTTTCCTCTCCTGTCACTCTCCCTTTTCTATCCTTCTCTTCTTTCCTTCCTCTCTGCTTGACTCTCTTTCTTCTCCCAATTGGGGGTATAATGCAAGGGAAGGATGAAGCCTTTTTATAGGCAAAGTTGATAGCTTCCCGTGGATGTGCAGGGAAGGAATTGGCAGACAATGCATCTCCAAAGTCTTCATTGGTGAGCTCCACTTCCTTTTTTTATAACACTCCCCCTTAGAGACCACCATGTAACATATTGTTGACACCATGTAACATGTTGTTGCCTCAATAAAATCTTACTAGGAGAAAAACCCAGTGAGGTAGAAAAACCCATTTAGGTTTCCTATATAAGAATGTACTTGTTGAACATGAGCCTGCATTCTCGTACACATTTCTAAGTTTCTTTCAAACCAATTAAGAAAAATAATTAGATTATGGGTGTCCAAAGAGACGAGTTAAGTGTTAATGGAATTACTCAATATCCCATTTAGTAGAGATTAGGCCTATTTGACACGAGCCCGATGAACCTATTTGTATCCAAAGTGGGTAATAGCTTATTAATTTGGGTCAATGTCCTTTGGGTTGCATTTTTATACCCAAAAGAAAAACATTAAAGAAAAAGTGGGTTCAATGCTTGCTACCTTCCAAAGACATCAAATCAAAGTTCATATTAGCATTTGTCATGTCCGCCTTTTATAGCCAACACATTACATATGGGCAGAGCTCTTATTAAGCCGCGTATTCTCGTTTGGTGCATAGGATTGAATTGAATAAGTCACTAAATCTAAAGTATGTTGAAAGAGAAAATGAAAGTATAGGTAAATGATTTCCATTTTGGGGGATTATGATAAATAAATTATAAGGTGTTGCTATTCTACTATTTTGCGAGGATTAGGTGAGTAAGTTTTCTTCATGAATAATTCATCTTCTACTTGCAACTTGGACAAAAAAAATTCATTTCTTCCTTTAACATGCTTTAAATATAAAAAATTATCCAATCTAACCCAATACTATACCAAAAGAAACTAATTCATTGTGAAAAAAATTCCCACAACGTTTCCCATTAGACAAGTAATTTCATTAGTCATGGAAGAAATCATTGGCCATCCAACTCAGGTGGGTCCACATTGTGTAGGGCCCATCTCTTGTGATCCACTGGCACGAAGTAAAATACGTGGAAGTAGCAGGTACACAGAACCAAAGCAAATAGTATAATATGCGTAATACTTTGATACTAGTAAGTATACTACAAATTGTGTTTCTTGTTTGTGTTATATATGTTGGGCCTATGGCTCTCTTATATCCACCTCTATAGGTTTCCGACCACATTGATGTCGGATCACATGAACACCATATGTCGCCCACGTGGCCCGATGCGGTTTCATGTCCCATCTCAGCGCCTGTTAGCATATTTGTCGGCCGTCACACGACACTGCACACACTCTTCTACACACACGCACTCTCTGAATATCAAAGATGTGTGCAGTTGTGGGTTATGCTAGTTAGTATTTCCGTCTTTTTGCACGAATTCAATTTTTTAATTCTTAAGATTAGAATAATTTGAATTAGTTCAGACTATCTTTCTGAAGAAAATAAGGACCCGTTCGGTAACGTTTTCAGATAAAGTTTTCTCAGAATATTTTCAAAGAATAAAAACAAAAAAATGAATTTATATTTTTAAGAAATGAAAATGCGTGTGGATTAATTATAAAACATCTCAGGAAATGAAAATGAAGATGTGCATGCATGTACAGACAAATATTATTATACTACTAAGTTGGACATTTATTTGGACTGTCAGTTTTTGGTAGATGGTGAGAGTTTGAAAAGAAACTAGTGTTTTTAATACCTGGTTATTATAATAATAATCAAGGAGTTATTTTCACGAAATCCCAGACATTAAACTGGTCTTAATCATTGAAACTGGAATTCACTGGAACAAGGAAAACTGGTGGAAGACCACATTGCTGTTATGAAATGCTTTCTTGTGGATCGTGTGCTACTGCCCGGTAGGTTGCTAAGATTTTGTCCGCCCTGCTCTGCTCTGTTTGTGTCAATCTTTTGATTTGTGTAATTTCTGGTGTTAGAGAGATAGAACGAGTACACATGGTGATCAATCAATTTACTGTGAAATCAATTGATTGAAAGTTGAAAGTTTAAACTAGCTAGGAACTCTGCTGGTTGTTTTATGCAGCTGATGCAACTTGTGTTTGCTTCAAGCGAAAGGGAAATTATCAACGGATCTGCATGAACTTGACACCCCTTCAGGCAAGTACTACATGTTCTTTTTGCTGTCTCCATTGTGCATAATCTGTATCACCTCAAATTGTAGCAATAGGCCAATTATAATTATTTTCTTGGTGGTAATTCAGTAGAGTTTGTATTTTGCTGGTTTGAGATCCTTCTGTTTCTCTAGTTCTTTCCATGATGTTATTTCATTTCACCCTATAATATTACTGATGTATTTGGAAACTTGCAGGAAGAAAGAATGCGACGGTTGAAGCGCCGAATGAAGGTTTACTTTGATGCTGCTAGGGCAGATCACCAGGTGCAATGTTCATTTGAAATCTTTGTATGCTTGAGCATTTACAAATAAAATGTTCTCAAATGACATGTTCAAATGGTTCTTTGGTAATTGTTTTTTTAAACTTAGTTGTTAAGGAAATTTTTTTTTTTGATGAGGACAGGAAGCATTGAGAGCTCTTTGGTATGCTACATATCCTGGTCAAGAGCTTCAAGGCTTGATATCGGATCAATGGAAAGAGATGGGATGGCAGGGAAGAGATCCATCTACTGATTTCAGGTTGTCTTCTTTAAAACTCATCTGTTGTCCCAGATTTTGTGGTCAAACTTGTTCTGTCAATTTGTGCTGGCTCTTACTTGGTTAGTTCGGATTCTCTACCTGACAGAGGTGCTGGTTTCATTTCTTTGGAGAACCTGTTGTTCTTTGCAAAGACGTTTTCGGTAAGACATTACTTAGATGTCTAAATAGAAAGTTATGAACATTAAGAAGTAGCTTTTCTCCTCTTCCCATATAATCAAAAAATGGAGAGATTGATACATGTGTATTGTTGCAGACATCTTTCCAGTGCCTATTGAAAAAGCAGGGAGGAAAGCCGGCTGCTTGTGAATATCCGTTTGCTGTTGCTGGTGTAAATATCACATTCATGATCATGCAAATGCTTGACCTTGAAGCCAGTAAGTTACAACTTAGGATATTAGATCAAATCTTGTCCATTTTACAAATGACAACTTAAAGCTTTTCTGTTTCTCTAGAATCGGCCAATCTGCAAGCTCTAAAGTTGTTTTCTTGTTTGGAGAGATAGCTCATCATGCTTGTTTGTTTGGCAGCAAAACCCAGAACTTTCATCAGAGCAGTTTTCTTACAAATGTTGTTAGGTAAGAGCCCGAAATCACGTCCAATTAAGCTACTGATTTGAATTGAAGCATATAAATTAATTGTACCATAAGTTTTTTATGGCTTTCTTGTTATTTTTTGATGTCATTTCAGAAAATGAGTGGTCCTTTGACTTGCTTTATTGCGTGGCTTTCATGGTTATGGACAAGCAGTGGCTTGAGAGAAATGCTACATACATGGAGTTCAATGTGAGAAGAATCCTTCATCTTTCTAAATTATGTCTGTTGAGAATTTCTAGGATCTTCATGTAGTTTTGGTTAAAGCTTTATGATGCTTGAGGCCGAGGCCTCTTCTGCTGCTGAATGATCAATTCCAAAGGGTTTTGAATCAATCTGATTGAAGTGTGTATGTGTGTGTTACAGGATGTTTTGAAATCCACTCGAGCTCAGTTGGAGAGGGAACTGCTAATGGATGATGTCTTCCGGATTGAAGACATGCCATCTTACAGCCTTCTTTGTTGACGACAGTAACCAAAGCTAGAAGCACACAGAAATGACTGACCTAAAAAAAGTACAATCATTTTCACTTTGAGGAGCTTACGAGAATTGTGTTCAAGGGTTGAGGAAAGGAAATTAATCAATTGATTATTTCATTATATTATTCACGATTGAAAGCTTATATGTGTTCAATGTTCATAACTTCATATGAATTCATTTTAAGTTAGAGTATATATGGAAAGTTAATCCCATATAAATTTGATTTCTTCTTCCCATTGGGGCCTTGCATTTTGCCCTATTTTTTATGATCCTTTTCTCATTGCATAGCCATCTTAGGATATCAAAATGAATATGACGTCTTCAAAAAATTGTCATTCATTGTTTAGATCTGTCTGGGACAGATACCTATTTGAGTTTTTCTTTAAGAGATCCATGTGACCCATGTCTGCAATTTGTAGGTTTTTTCCTGTAATTTTTCTACCATTGAAAAAAAAGCCATTTTCAAAATTTCATGTGGAGTAGAACAAAATACTCCTCAATTTGATTTCCCAAATTCTTGACTGACAGATGGCAACTCCAGTTTTGCCTAATGAGAGAGAGAGAAAGAGATTGGGTTGCTCACTTTATGCCACCTTTGGCCTTTGGGTCACAGCCACTCTTGGTATCTTATCCTCTTTGCAAGACAAAGATTTGGCAGACTGATAAGATAGGCTTTATAATGCCCATTGCAAACGTGAACAAGGTAGACCCTTTATTGTAGATGATTTTGCAATTAAGCTCTAAGTCAGATGGTAATGATCCTATTAAGAATTTAATCCCATACCTAATGCAGGTTAGTAAAGTTCAATTTTCTCATCCATACGGACAGAGAGAAAAATGTTACCTGCTAATTTGTCTCTAGTTATACCGACTCTCAACCATAAACTCAGAGCTAATCAAAATTAGTATAATTAAATAATTTACCAATCCAAAGGTCAATGGGCCACCCCAACAAGTGAAAGATTAGATTAACACATCAGATGATCCAAGTTTTAATAAAATATTATTAATTACTATCCAAGTTTGAAGCCAAAATAAAGCACAAAATCCGCATTCTAAAAATGAAGGCAGAACCGTATTCTTATTCGCCAAGGCACATATGATATATTGCTTAAGAATGAAGTCAAAGGCTGGTCAGTGTGGTGCAAAATAGGTGTACACAAATCTCTGAATACGAGACCCTAACTAAAAGAATTCCATGTTTAAATTCAAATAATGGGAGAGGGAGAGGGAAAGGGAAAGGGAATGTCACAAAAAGCTCAAGGTTCTAAAAGAACTGCTGATCCTTGAACCGAAAGCTTGGGCATTACCTACCTTTGCCACCCTTGTCTTTTAAGCAAAACTCACACCCAGAGGTCCACCAGAACACTACACACACTCTGCCCCCCTCTCTCAGCCATTGGGTGCTTAACAAGGAACTTCCCACTCTTTCTCTTTCCACTCCTTCAACACTGCCCCCTTAACTTAGCTGCTGCATGTCAAGGAACTAACCTTATCTGCAGCCTGAGTTTCTCTGAAGGAATTCAGATGGGTTCATTTCAAACACCGATGGGAATGCGAAGCTCCAATCTTCTCGAAACTTCATGTGGATACCTGCTTCAAGAACTGCAGGCAAGATTTTCTTCTAGTTTTATCAGATAACTAATGGCTTTGAATTGTTCTCATTCTGGATTTTTTGTTTTTTTGTTTTTTCGTTTTTGCTTTTCTGTTCTTCAATGTGAATGGACAGATGATTTGGAATGAAGTTGGACAAGATCACTTTGAAAGGGAGAAAGTACTGCTGGACCTAGAACAGGAATGCCTAGAGGTTTATCGGAAGAAGGTTGACGCTGCAAATACATCCAGAGCTCGCCTGCACCAGGAGTTGGCAGAAGCTGAGGCTGAATTTACCCATCTTCTTTTGTCCCTTGGTGAACGATCTCTCCCTGGACGGGTAGGTTGCTTATTTATCAATCCCGGTAAACTCAGTAAATTAGAATGGCCATAAACATAGCATGCATGTTAAAGCAGAAGCCAAATTCATACGTTAATAGTGAGGATTTACTTCTAGAATCATTTGGCAGTCTTCTAGTTAGATTTGAAGCGCATATATATTCGAATTTTCATGCGAGGTCTTAACTACAAATATAAAAAATTCTTACTCGCATGAACTGATTCTTGTATTAACATCAGCCAGAAAAAATGGCGGGAACACTGAAAGAGCAGCTAGATTCAATCACGCCGGCTTTGAGGGAAATGAGATTGAGGAAAGAAGAAAGGGTGAATCAGTTCCGAACTGTACAAGGGCAAATTCAGAAAATTTCTGCAGAAATAGCAGGTCAATCAGAATCAGAATATGATGACTTATCATCAGATATCATGGTGAATGAGAATGATCTATCCTTGAAGAAACTAGAAGAGTATCAGACAGAGCTACAAAGACTCCGCAACGAGAAGGTACCATAACTGTACTTCAGAAATTGTTTTGTGGATAATCAATCAATAGTCTGTCCTAAATGATGATCATCCAAATCCCTTTTTAAGTTATTTTTTGGTCTTGCAGAATGAAAGGCTCATGAGGGTGGAACAATATATAGATGCAGTCCACAAATTGTCTTCAATATTAGGAACAGACTCCTCCATGGTCATCACCAAGGTTCATCCAAGCTTAAATGACTTATGTGGGATAACCAAAAACATAAGCAACAGTATTTTGGCTAAGCTTAACAGCACGGTGGAATCTCTTGACGAAGAAAAGCAAAAACGACTTGATAAGGTGATAATTAGCTATGCAGTTGTATCAGTATTCATTTGAGCAAAATTAATTGTCAAGGCCTGCCACCTAGGTTTCTGCAAAACAGATATACTCACCATGTCTTAGTTATACTTGGGTTAGATAAAGCATCAGTATGATATATTTCTGCATATACTTTTTCAGCTTCACCATCTTGGCAAAGCATTGACAAACTTATGGAATCTCATGGACACACCCTATAAAGATCGTCAATCGTTTTCCCATGTTACTGGCTTATTATCACTCTCATCAGCAGAAGTATCAGATCCAGGAAGCCTAACCCTAAACATAATCCAGCAGGTAAGTATAAAATTTTGATGGCACTTCATTTTATCAGAAAAGAGAAATAACAATTCAAAGTCTTTTTATAGGCTGAAGCTGAAGTCAGGAGATTGGATCACTTAAAAGCAAGCAAGATGAAAGAACTATTTTTCAAGAAACAGAATGAGCTCAAGGAGATATGCAATAAATCACACATGGAGATTCCTTTGCAGTCAGAGATTGATAATCTAATTAACCTCATTAACTCTGGTGTGGTTCAGTGATTTGCGTTTATTTGTAATAAGTGAGATGATTTTCCTTGTTTAAAGATAGAGTAGCCTGTAAATTGATCTAAATGTACGACAGGGGAGATTGACCATGCAGATCTTCTCATGAGCATGGATCAACAGATATCAAGAGCAAAAGAAGAAGCTTCTAGCAGAATGACTATCATGGAAAAGGTGGAAAAGTGGATGCTAGCACGTGATGAGGAGCGTTGGTTGGAAGAATACAGCAGAGTCAGTATTTCACACGCATGGATCTACATTTGTACTAGGCTCCTACATTTATAATTACACACATACACTTCACAGTTACTAATCAAAAATACCTTTTTTAGGATGAGAACCGGTACTCGGTCAGCAGAGGTGCACACAAGAACCTGAGACGTGCAGAACGCGCCCGAGTATTAGTCAACAAAATCCCAGGTAAAATTAAGAACCGTTTCTTAGCTATATGCATTCACACCCAACATGAAGCAGGATTGTCATACATAAGAGGTACACAACTCAAAGATTATATACAAACACTATGTAATGCTAATAAAGAATATCATTGGCTGGATGAGTAGCAGTATTCTCCTCAAACTCAAACAAAGAAAAAAGAAAAATATAAATGCATGTGCAATGTTTTCACATCATATGGTTTAATGACAACCAATAAAGATAAGTAAGTTTGCTCACAATGCCACAAAAATGCAGCTTTGGTGGATTTGCTAATAGCAAATACTAAGAGTTGGGAAGACGAAAGAAAGAAAACTTTCTTGTATGATGAGGTACATAACTTATTGTTCTGTGATACTGTAAAACAATCTTCTCTCATTTGATTCTTAATTGCTGATTTGTGTAGAGCATCTGATGAAGGCATTAATATAATACATGCAGGTACCTCTCCTAGCAATGTTGGAAGAGTATAATGTGCTAAGGCAGGAAAAGGAGGAGGATAAGCAAAGACAAAGGGTTAGTTTTATTTGACAATGAAATGAAAGGTTCACAATTCATCAGAATATGAAAGTGTTGCATTTTTTTTTGGGTCTGTTTCTGGTAAGACATCCCAGATATTTGCAACAAACTCAATTGAATCACACCTCATTCCACAATGGCCCATTGGCCTGTGTATTTTTACCAACATGATGAGGCAAGTTTTCCTTCCAGGAAATGAAGAAGGTCCAAAGCCAAGTAGCAGTTGAGCAAGAAAACTTGTTTATTACCAGGCCAAGCACCAGTGCAAGGCGAACTTCAACCAGAAGTGTGAATGGAGGTTTTAGCAATGCCATACCTCTAAACAGAAGGCTTTCCCTGGGCCTTCAGCAATTGGGACCAAACAGCATAAACTCAGGCACTCAAGGCATATCCTTTATAAAGGAAGGTAAGAAGGCACGGGGACAAAAGATGTTTGCTCGACCTGGCCTTGTTTCTCACCTTAGAGATGAAACAGCTTCAGTGGTATCAACATTTTCCGGCCCACAATCTCCTTGAATGTTCTCCGATTCGTCACCCTTCATGTGCTGTGGGGAAACATGGGGCAGAAAGTGGGTGCAGAAAGACATAATAGATCATGCAGAAGAATAAGTTCAGCTACCATATCAGCTAAAGGGCCTATGTATTTATGAATTACCCCTGTACCAGCAGAAGTGTCTAGAATTTTAGGCAATTGTAATTGCAAAGGCGAATAAATAAGTTCTAGGATTGTTGTTTGATATTAAGCATGCTAGCTTTTGTCCAAATCATGGATTGGACACTGTAATATTGCAAGGAATGTTATAAGTGATATACAGACTGATCAGACGTCCAAAACATAGGATGTGTTTATCTCAACAGGGTTTGAAAAACATTGCATCAGAAAACAAATCTAAAAGGAAAATGAGAAAGAAAAGGTAAAGAGATGGCCGAGCAAAGGCAAGGGGTGATTACAAATTTAGAGCACTATAAAACAACATTTGATTTGGGATATGAACACAAGCCAGAAAGAAAGTACACAAATTCTGCATTAAATTAAACAACACATAAACATACACGGGAGCAGAATGCATTAGGAGTTGATACTACAAATGACTCATCTAGTTTTCAGGTTTAGTGCATATAATATCAGTGAAATGTAAACAATGCAAGACCATGCCCTTCTACTTTTCTCGTCTCTTCAATAGTCTTCCAAAAAGGTTCATTCCTGCTGCTCATGTAATCTCCTTGTGACCAATCGTCCGTTCCTAGGGGTAAAACAGTAATTAAGCCTATAATAAAAATAAATAAAATAAAACAAAAAACTGTAAAAAGTCTTTTTAATATAAATACAAAAGATAAGAAGAAGAAAAAAAGGCCAATTGGCACACGCTCTGCGTGCCAAGAGGCAAGTTCATATAAACAGGACTCCCTCACTCATATTAATTAATATGGTATGCTATCACTTTTGGTTTTTGATTTCATAATCCTTTCAGCTAATAGATCAATGCAGAAGAATAAGTTCAGCTATCATTTCAGCTAAAGAGCCTATGTATTTATGAATTACCCCTGTGCCGGCAGAAGTGTCTAGAGCTTTTAGACAATTGTAATTGCAAACGCAAATAAATAAGTTCTAGGATTGTTGTTTCCTTATTACTACCAAACACTGCAGTTAGCAAAAGAAAAAATATATTAAGCATGTTAATCATGGATTGAACAATGTAATATTGCAAGGAATGTTATAAGTGATATATTTTTCATTTATGCTAAACGGAAAATACAGAGAAAAGGAAAAGAGAAATCAGGGCAGGGATTAAAAATTTAGAGCACTAGAAAGAAAGCAACATTTGATATATGAACAGAAGCCAGAAAGAAAGTAAAGAACTTTTGCATTAAATTAAACAACACATAAACATACATGGGCTGGGAGCAGAACGGTAGAGATTTTCCCCCATTGCCGTGGAGCTTCACTGCAGTGCTTAGGTCAATCATAAATATCAAATCCATAGGAAAAATAGAAAATTGATTATAAAGAAAAATTGGAATTAATCTCCTTGTGTCCAACAGATATTTTCCATTGGTTTCTCACAATTACAACTTGACCAAACAAAATGATTTTGCTTCTTTACGACAGGCAAAGAACGAACAAAGATCTAGGACTCGTTGGTCTCAATTGGCCCTTCACCGGTCTCAATTGGACCTTCGTCGATCTCAATTGAAGCTTCCTCGGTCTCTATTGAAGCTTCATCGGTCTCAATTGGACCTTCGTCGGTCTCAATGGGGGCTTCCTCGGTCTCAATTGGGGCTTCCTCGGTCTCAATTAGGGATTGTTCGGTCTGCATCGGGATTTCTTTTGTCAGAAAGAAGTGATCAATCCGGCGAGTGCCAGCTGGAGCTGGTTTATCGGAAACGGCGCGAGAGCGGCTCCGATCTCTTCTAGCCGGAGCTGAAGCATGGGAAACGGTGCGCGAGCTGCTTCGATCAGTAGGCTGATGATCGGACGGCTGAGAGGGCACGGGAAGCTCATCCAAAAGGAAATCGCTCGTCGGGCGATGCCTCTTGACGGCGACTCGCATGTGTTCGAGCTTCACGATCTTGCGCTTCTTCTCCGTCGCAACCTCAGCCGATCTCTCCGCCAGGAACTCCAGGAAGAGCTGGACGGAGCACGATACAAGGAGTAAGGCTTCTGAATTTACCTTGTTGATGCCCCTGTCCAGCTTCATTATCCTCTTCACTCGAGTATTCGGAAATTCGGGTCGGATCTGTGAATTTTCGGATCGGATCGGTTCTGCGTTCTCTTCTTCTTGAGCTACCTTCGCTTTTTCCTTTACTGCTGCGTTCTCTACTGCGTTTTCTGGGTTATCTTCATCTTGTTCTGCGTTGTCTTCTTCTTGTTCTGCGTCGTCTTCTTCTTGCTCTGCGTTCTCTTCTGCTTGCTCTGCGTTCTCTTCTGCTTGCTCTGCGTTCTCTTCTTCTTGCTCTGCGTTTTCTTCTTCTTGCTCTGCGTTCTCTTCTCCTGCTATGTTATCTTCTTCTCGTGCTGCGTTCTGCTCTTCTGCCATTGATGGTTGCGACGCTCTCTGGTCAGGAATGAGTAATCGAAAAACGAAAATGTTGTGTTAGGGTTTTGAAATGGCGGGAAATATTCCCTGTTATCATGTTTTCGAAGGACGACATTGCACTTGCATTAGAGGTTTTATTACTTTGTTTGCCATATCAAGTTCAGAGGTGTTTGGAATTTTAATCGAGGGTGCTTTCGGCATAACGTTTGTACACCCGCCAGGTGAAATATCATTCCCGCCATGAAGATAATTTTATTTTATGAAATAGTAATGGCTAAAGAAAGTAAATGGCCCATCAAATCTAAGTAGTGCAAGCCCAAATCTAAGGGCCCGTTCGGTAATGTTTTTAGAGCCTGTTTTCTGTTTTTGTTTCCTGTTTTTCACAAAAACACGTTCGGTGCATCGTTTTCGTTTTCCCTCACAAAACGTTTTCTGAAAACAAATCTGACTTTGTGAACAAAAGTTGAAAATGAAAAAAAGTTGTTTTCAGTGATTTCATTTTCAGTGTTTTCCGAAGACACAAGAATGCATCCCATCAACAACTCTAGCTCTCTCTTTTGACAACCGATAAACCCACCAACAGGAACAACACCCATCTTCTCTGACCCAAAATAAACAGATCTGCAAATTAAGAAAAAAAAATACAGAGGAAGAAGAAGAAAAAAAAACAGAGACAAGAAGAAGAACCACCACATACCCAACTCAACCACCATCATCACCCAATCAAACCATCACAACCATTAATTAGTGGATCAAGAGAGAGAGAGAGAGAGAGAGAGAGATGGGTGGGTGTATGGGATTCATGCCATGGAAGGAAGGAGGAGTGGGTGTAGCCTGGGAAGGAAAGGAAGAAGAAAAGAGGAAGAAAATGAGAAAAAAGAAACGGCCTGGGGAAGGAAAGGAAGAAGAAAAGGGGAAGAAAGTAGGAAAGAGGAAGAAAAAGAGAAAAAAGAAGCAGCCATGTGAAGGAAAAGAAGAAGAAAAGAGGAGGAAAGAGAGAAAAGGAGAAAAAGAAGAAAAAGGAAAAAAAGAAAAAAAGGAGATAAGATAGTTTTTTAGCTTAAATTTTTTTCATTGTTTACAATAATTTTAGCCTCTAAAAATATCAGAATTAAAAAAAATTAGAACTGAAATTAGCAAAAATACACCTGAAAAACAATTGTTCTACCAGACACGTTTTCATTGTTTTTGTTTTCTAAAGATGTTTTCTAATTAATCTACCAGACGCATTTTCATTTCCTGAAAATGCAAATTTGTTTTCTTGTTTTCATTCTCAGAAAATATTCTCAGAAAACATTCTCCGAAAACGTTACCAGACGGGCCCTAATTATTGGTTGGTTTAGTCTGATTCCACTCCAAATTTGCCAACCCAACAACAGTTACCTCAATGAAAATGATAGTGTTAATTGAACAAACTCACACTTATGCATTGGACAAACGGTTCAAGTCGTTGGTTTCTTCTAATTTTGAAAATGGTAGTAGGGGCGAGTACTTTTTTTGGGTTTTGAGCGGGCGAGCACTTTGATATGTGGGGAGAGAGTATTACAGTAAGGATTTTTATCACAAATGGTCCTTAACGTTTACGATTTTATCACGAATGGTCTTTGAAGTTTTTTTGTGACACCAATAGTCCTTAACGTTAGTGCTTTTTATCACAAATGGTCCCTCCATTAAAAATTCTGTTAAATGTAATAAGTAGAGCCCACATGTCCAATCACATCGTGACATGTGGATTAAATAAATAAAGAATTTTTTATTTTTATTTTATGAAAATCCATTCTCTCCCTGTCTCTCTCCCCCTTCCCTCTGCCCTCTCTCCCCCCGTGTTCTCCCTCTCCCTCTGTTTTTTTTTCCTTGCCTCTACAGCCCGACCACCCCATGCCCACCCACCTGCAACCCACCCCTCTCCCTCTGTATATTTTGCAAAATAATCACTTGCACAAGGTAGTTTCACATTTCCTTTTACACAAATATTTATTCAAACAACTTAAAACAATTAAAAACAGAGGGGGAGAGTAGAGGAGGAGAGAAAATACAATGGGAGAGGGTAGGGGAGTTGGGCGTGGGTTGCGACTTATGGGTGGCTGTGCTAAAAAAACAGAGACGAATAAAAGAATCCCAAATACCATTTTTTCTTGCAGGTGGCAAACAATGGGCAAGAAAAAAAACAAAGGGGGATTGTGGGTTATGATTTATATATCACTATACAAAGATGAAGAAAGATATATGGATTATATTATTATTTTTACAGAGGGAGAAGGAGAGGACAGGGGGGAGAGAGGGGGAGAAAGATGGACTAGAGGAAGGGGGATGAAAAGTTGTATAAAAAAAAAAAAGGAATTTTCATTAAAAAAAATTATTTAATTATTTTTTTATCCACATGTCACAATGTGATTGGACATATGGGCTCCACTTGTCTTCCACATCAAACACTTAACAGAATTTTTAACGGAGGGACCATTTGTGATAAAAAGCCCTAATGTTAAGGACTATTAGTGTCACAAAAAAATATCAAGGACCATTCATGATAAAATCTTAAACATTAAGGACCATTTGTGATAAAAAGCCTTACAGTAATATTGCGTTGGGAAGAGACATGATGCGACAAAAAAGAGTGTGTTGTAAGCAAAAGGAAGAATGTGACAAAAATGAGAGGGTGAGAGGAAGGAGATGCAAGAAATGGCAAAAATTGAGTTTTTTAGGCCATCTACAATCATATTGGGGCTAAACTCAAATTTTCACTCTCTAAAATACAACTATTCATGTATTTTCAGGACTAAAAAAAAAAATTCCTCCAACCTTACAGACTCATAATTTGAGTCCGCAACTATTAAATTGTTTAAGAATGATTAACCCCTAAGTTATTTTTCTTGACACTATTATTGTTTCAAAGTGATTTAATTTTTTAAGCATTTTAACCTAACAAAATTAAAATTTCAAAACATAATAGAATTTCACTTAAAAATAAAAACAAGTACAACAACATTTTATTTCATGGACTTTGAAAGTAAAAATAAGTAGCATACGATTTATATTAAAAACAATGGAACCACAAATTTTTTTTAAAAAGCGGTAGCAATCCCTGGAGCTACTACTTTTGCGTATGCCCGGAATAATTCGAACCCTTCATTGAAGCCATTGCCATAATTGTCTCCATTTTTACTTTTACTTTTACTTCTTTGGATTCCTTTATCCTCATTCAATAATGTTCTGAACTTTTACCCACCTTCACTTATGTTCTTCAATTATTTTCTGAACCCTTTCTCATCCCCTATTGTCTTGTTTCAATCATGTTTAGAACCATTGCTCATCTTTGTCCATCTCACTTTATTGGATTCCCTTATCTTTCCCTATCTTTTCCTATCTTCATTCAATTATTTTCTGAACTATTTTCCATATATTATTGTCTTGTTTCAATCATGTTCTGAACTATTGCTCATCTTTGTTCATCTCACTTTATTGGATCCCCTTATCTTTCCCTATCTTTTCATATCTTCATTCAATTATTTTCAAACATGTAGGTCATCTCATTCTCTTGTCTATTTAAGAAGTATTATTCTATTGAATTGACCACACAATCTCCTTCAATCACATTCTCCTTCTTACAATAAATTCATGTGGGAATGCTATACAAAATTTCTTCAATGATGATTCTGATGATAATGACCTTCATCAACAGAGGGTTGCAATGGTCATTCAACACAATACGTTTTTGTTGGAGCAATATGCTCAATAATCCAAACATGGTGGTTCTGTTGTAGGCCATGAATACAAGAATCGGAAGAGAGAAAAACATCATAAGAGTCTCATGAAGGACTACTTCTGTGAAAGAGCACTTTATCCCTTAGTGGACTTTCGCAAGTGGTTCCGCATGAGAAGAGAGTTTTTCTATCGCATTTTGAATGATGTTGTTGCACATAAGCCATACTTTACCTAGAAGATAGATGATTGTGGACGACAAAGTCTATCCCCAGAGCAGAAGCTAACGGCCGTTTTTCAAATGCTCTCATATGGATGCTCGGCAGACTCCATCAACAAATACTGTAGATTGGGTGAATCTACAGCCTTTGAATGTTTATGAAAGTTTTGTTCCGTTATTGAAGTTGTGTATGGCTAGTGGTACCTCCGTTCCCCAAATTCGGCCGACCTTTACATGCTCTTGCACAAGGCTAGTCGCAAAGGATTCTTAGGCATGTTAGGCAATCTTGACTGCATGCATTAGGAATGAAAGAACTACCTCACTGCTTGGGCAGACCAATTTACTAGCTACAAGCAGAAGCCAACTGTCGTTCTAGAGGCAGTGGCCTCGTATGACACTTGGATATGGCATGCCTTTTTGGAACCGCCGGATCGAACAACGATATCAACGTCCTAGCTTGTTCCCCGTTGTTCAATGATGTAGTCAATGGAGTGTCTCCCCATATCCAATATGTTGTTAATGAAAATGAATACAATCTGGGTTATTATTTGACTGATGGTATCTACCCTCGTTAGGCTACATTGGTTAAGACGATTTCCCAACCGGATACTCCAAAAAAATACTATTTGCCCAAAAACAAGAGGCTTATGGGAAGGATGTTGAAAAGGCCTTCGGAAGGTACATGTAGTTCTTCTCAATTTGGTAGAGTGTGCGGTGGTTGGCTGTTGAAAACTTTTCTTTTTAATTTTTAAATTTTTTCGAACTCAATCAATAGGGCTAAAAGTGTTAAGTGAATGGGAATGTGTCAATAATTAAAGGGTATTTTAGGAATAATGGTGAGTTTGAGAAAATAAGATGGGTGATGAAATAGGATAGGGGTGAAAATAGCACCACTCTTTTATAAATGAAATGAAGTCAAATTGACCAATTTGGTATGGTATGTTGATTTGCTGATTAATCCTACATTAATGACGATTATAATTGTCATATAAAATGTTAGTTTTTAAAAATTTGGAGAGTTTACTCTTTATCATATAAAATGTTAGTTTTCATGTTGATAATAGTTTCTAAAAAATTATTGCAAACTTTTTTTTTTTTTAATTTTATATTAATGGCATGTTTACTAATATGTAATTGAATTAGTGGCATGTTTACTAATCCATAATCATATTAGGAGGAATTGAATCGAGGCGGAGTTGGATTGAGGAGAATTAGATTCCTAATTCCTATTGAAGTTGTTTACTAAACCATATGGATTGATGAGAGTTAGATACCTATTCCTATTGAAGTTGTTTACTCATATGGAATTGATGTGTGAGTGGTGCTAATTACTAAAATGTCCTAGTTGTTGGGTTAAAGTATATGACAAATTTGGAATCTTAAAAATTGTGTGAGGATATAATGGGTAAAAAATATGATTTCCTAATGGGTTAGTTCTCTATTAATTAGAATACCACATCCCACCCAAGAATTCAATTCCTAATTTACTCTATGCACCCAACCCGAAAATAGAAATTCAATCTCTTCCAATTCAATTTTCCCATCTCTCAAATGACTCAACATACTCTTTAAGGAACTAGAAACACACAAACACCAAGTTAAAAATCACAAATTCGAAATTGACTCACCTTATAGGATTTTTCTTCTCTTCTTCCTATTCTTTTTCTCCTTGTTCTTAGTTTTCTTCTTCTTCTCCTCTCTCTCTCTCTCTCCCCCATTATCTTCTCCCTCCTGCAGCAACTCACCTCCCCTAGTTCTTAACTTCATCAAGAAAAAATCCTTTAGGCTAGTGACTCACCACTTAGACTAGGTCACCCCCCCCCCCCCCCCCCCCCCAATAGATGAACAACTCATCCCCAAAATCAGATTTTTTTAAAGAGAAAGAGGGAGGGGGGAAGAATGAAGAGAAGAACAAAAGCTTGGCTTACACGTTGGCTTCTTCTTTTCTTTTTCTTTTTTTTTATAACCGACAAGGATATTTTGGTAATTATCCACTCATAAGGGTATTTTGGTCATGTTTGTCCAACTTCAAATTAAACACACTTAATTTTATAATCTCAATCCAAAATCACTTGATAAAATACCCATAATCATTCTCGACCATAATATTATTTTTCACTAAAAAAAATGAAAATCCACCTTGAATTTTTCGGGCTATTACATAAGCATTTTTTTTCTTGCATTTCCAGATTGTTTATATTTTCTTCCATTTTCTTTTTTTTTCTTGCATTTTCAATTATTTATTTTAATAGATCCTACAAGCACAAATGTGGTTCGGTGCCATGGGGTAAGGCAAAAAAAGTTTCCTGAGTCACCAACATTGGGAAGTTGTGAAGAATTGTTCGATATTCAAAATTATTTCCACTGATCCACTGATTGTGTTGAATGAGACGCCGCTCCACGATTAGCCGGCAACCGATTCACCATTGGACTCCCCAATGGATCAAGACTCACCACTCCCATGTGTGCTAAGACTTATTGTGAGAAATGCGGTAAAGGCAAAGAGAGGGAGCACTTCGAACAATGAATGTGCACAATTTTTGGAGCAAATAGCTAAGAATGGCGCATTGAGAATTGAGAGAGACTTGAAAAGAGAATAAGCGAACAAGGCACGACATAAAGCATTTGCAATTCAAAGGCAACAGGCACAAGAACAAGACATGGAGGACAGAGAGATGAAGATCATAGCCATGGATACGAGTCATATGTCTTCTGAAACAAAGTACTATTAGAAGCTAAAACGAAGGGATGTGATGAAAAGAAAACTTTTCCATGACGATGGACCTAGCAATACGGATTGATTAAATGATCAAAACCATTAGGTTGTATTGAAAGATTTGTCATATGTATTAGTTTGTTGTATTGTTTCCTTTTTATTCAATAAAGAAAGCATTAAATAATATTACTATTTATTAAAAACATTTGCACATCAAAGCAAAGTTTAATTAAAAACAAACCTTAATTTATTGCAAACAATACACAAGACAAAGTATAATTAAAAGCATAATTCCAAACACACCACACACAAAATAAAGCATAATTCAAAACAAAGCATAATTCCAAATAAAGCATTTAACTTCATCCACCGTGATTACCTTTCATCTGCCACAAGTGCTCGATTAAGTCAACTTGACGTCTCCCGTGAACATATGAAGATTGCATTTCCTGATAACGATCAGTGATGTATTTAAAAAAATAGAAAATAAAGTAAAGTGAATAGTGTTTACCCTTGCCCTTGCCCTTTGAGGTGGAACCAAAAAAGGCATGTTGACACTATTCACATAAATAGTGTCAAACCTTGTCTTGCCTTTGCCTTTTGGGGTAGAGGTACTCTTACTAAACCATATGGAATTAAGGTATGAGTGATTCTAATTACTAAAATATCCTCGTTGTTGAGTTAAAGTAGATGACAAATTTGGAATTTTAAAAATTGTGTGAAGATATAATGGATAAAAAAAAAAAATAATTTCTAATGAGTTAGTTATCCATGAATTAGAATATCAACTCCCACCCAAGAATTGAATTTCTCCAAAATCAAGAATTCAATTCCTAATTTTGTGTGGACCCCATTGACTTTTTAATTCTTTGATGTAAAATAAAAGCAAGAATCCTCCATAGGTAAAATCCAATTCCTGATGAGAATTTCAATTTCTAATTCGTAAACACGCCATAAGTTTAATGATATTTTTTTTCAAATCCTGAAAAACATCATGGGTTGGATGTAAATAAAAAAATAATCCTTACAAGAAAAGCAAAAGAATTTAATAAAAAAGTTTCTAAACAAGGAAGAAAATCGGATCGGGACCCGCGTGGGCGAGTGACAGATTGCACAGTGTGAACCACGAAAATCCTAAGAAGGCGGTTCTGGGCATTGCCGTGGTGTGTCGCGCAAGGTGAAGTTTTCTACTTGTCTGTCTGCCCCTACCAAAAAAAAACAAAAACAAAAACTGCAAACCCTAATAAGTTCCAGACAGTGAGCCACAAACCCTTTGGCCCCAAAATCGCCGTCACTCACCTGAATCCAAAACCATGCAATTCTCTCAGGACGACTTCGATCGCCTTTTGCTCTTCGAGCACACTCGCAAAACTGCCGAAGTTAACTACGCCAAGAACCCTCTCGATGCCGATGTTCGTGCCTCTCTCTCTCTCTCTCTCTCCCTGTTCTTATCTGCTTTCGTTTTTCAGTGATTTTCAATTTACATCTGCATAATGGTAAACTCACCCGGTTGTTGTTTTGGTGCAGAATTTAACTAAATGGGGAGGAGCGTTGCTCGAACTATCGCAGTTTCAAAGCCTTGCAGATTCGAAGGGCATGATTAATGGTAATTTTGATCAATTTTTTTTGTTGCTTCTTTAAACCCTAATTAGAAGCTGTGTTAGTGTTTTATTTTAAATTTTAATTGGAATTTAATTTCTGTAATAAGAATGCAATTGAACACGATATTTGTTTAGATTCGATTTCGAAGTTGGAGGAGGCTTTGCAAATAAACCCCGCGAAGCATGATGCACTATGGTGCCTAGGAAATGCCCACACCTCTTTCGCATTTCTGACCCCTGACCTCGACGAGGCAAGGCCTTATTTTGATAAGGCGTCAGAATTTTTCCAAAAGGCTGCGGATGAGGTTATTTATTGCCTCTCTGAATTCTCAATATTTGTTGTATTTGAATATCCTAGAATTGAAGAGAGGATTAACATTGGGTTTGATTTTGCAGGATCCTGGTAACGAGCTTTATCAGAAGTCCTTAGAAGTCACATCTAAGGTATTTCTAATGTTATTTCCCTTGGAAAGCTATTCCGTTAGTGATATGGTATTGTATTATGAAATTTTTTGTAGATTCAACCCAGGAGTTCTCTTGGCAATCTTAGCTATTGACTAGAACTGACTGTTTTTAATGTGGTTTATTGGAATGTTCGAATTAACTTAAGTTCAGAGGCCTAGGATGTAATACAGTGGGATGAGGAAGTTCATAAGTAATAAAGTTAAAAGGTGAAGCAAATTCAGAACTGGTATTGCCTGGGCTATGGCAACCCTCAGATCGAAGGGTACAGATCCTAAATTGCTGCCATACATTATTATATAGTTGGGTATAGGTATTGGTGGGCTCGAGAGGTTTTCTTTTATATCATGATTTTTTGTACCATGGGGACAAAGGCTTAAAGAACCAAACAAAGCAAGGGTGGGCATCTCATCCGAATTATCCGCGTACCGACCTTACCGTACTGATGGTTTGGTTTGGTTTGGTTAAATAATTATTTTTTAATTTTAATTATTCTAATCTGATCCATACCGAAATATTTGGTTTGGTTAACGGAAACAAAATTCCTAACCCAACGGAAACCCATACCGATCCGATATTTATACTTATTTTATTATTTAAATACAAAACAAGAAACCAAAGGTAAATACAATCAGCATTTTGTATCACTACTATATCACTTCTTTCTCACCATTGTACTGTATCACTTCTTTATCACCATTGTATCACTTACCTGAGTACTGTAGCACTCTTTGGTCAGAGAGGAATTTATGAACTTCCTATGTTTTCCAGTTTCGACCTTTGTCCCGTTTTTTACCTGTAACTTTCCAACTGTTGATCCAAATTTTATGTTCTTTATGTGGTTGGATTCAGCATGAAAAACTAAAGAACCCAATGCGGAACAAATGTCAAAATCATGTACATAAATGTAGAGAATTCAATAAAAAGAACACTTAGAAGTTCAAACAACAAACACAAGTGGCTCCTAGTACATCTTGAGTACATATTGAATGATATAGTGACTAAGTTATTTGATTTCATACTTGGATAAATTAGACTATTGGATTTTTATATTTTACAAGGATAATTTGGTGTATTTGTTCAAGAACTTATGTTATGTGAAGTATTATAAATTGTATTTTTTTTAGTATGTTTTTATTACGGTACTACCGGTGTACCGGCCAATCCAAACCGAATATTAGGTTAACCGATCCGAAGTCTACCAAAGTCTTTGGTTTGGTTAACGGAAGAGAAAATGGTCTAACGAAGTCTTTGGTTTGGTTAATGGAAGAGCCTTCTACCATTCCAAACCGGTTCGTGCCCAGGCCTACAAAGCACAAAGAGCCCTGGGTCTGTGGACCCAAGTTACCTCATCCCATATGAGGTGGATAATAGGTTGGGAAGGATTGAAGTCCTAACTGTGGTGGAGGTTAGAGGGCGGGTGTTGAGGGACATTATCATTTATAGGACCATGGCATGTGGCTGTTGTTTGTAATAAGAAGCAATCTTATACTGTAAAGGCTAGGCCTTCCTACTGTCCAGCTTAGGACCAAAAAATTTGCTAACTTTGGAGTTGTTTTAATACCTATGTAATTATATTAGTTTGATTCTACATTACAAGTGCAACATAGGTAATTGTTGTTCATGTCTTCCTAGGCACCAGAATTACATATGGAGATCCATAAGCAAGGGATGGGTCAGCAAATTCTGGGTGGGGGACCTGCTGCTCCATCATCCAGTACAAAGGTTAGACTCTCAAATTATTACTTTATTCTAAGTGCATCCTGTTCCAGTGTGTTTCTTTGTTGTTTCCTTGGCCACAAATGTTCCTGTATTCGTTGTCAGCTGGCTGTTTGTAATTGTTATCGACATTAAATTACATTGTATTGGATTGAGATGTTTAACAACTTTCTCGTATATTATCCTTTCAACATATTATTTGGTTATATAATTAAGTAGGGACCCGCATGCTCAGTTACCTTTCCAATTCTATTTAAAGGTTAAAACATGTACCCGATTGTATATGACATGGAATTGTTGAAGTCTACATCCTTGGCACAAATTAATGATTGAAGTAATAGTTATCTGATAATTTTGTAAATCATAAGGACCTAACGATGCTGATGCAATAATGCTTATGGGCTAACACTGCTGGCCCATTTTATAAGTGTGATTTGATAAGTATATTACTCTTTTGTAGTATCAAATTACAACTTGATTTGCCTTGTCACACCATTGGTTGAAAAGTCATACATATCCAAAACTGTAGTCGGAAGTTTTATTTTTTGGTTAATTCAGTGGTGTTGTTTGGTTACAGCTACAATAAAAGAAGGATAAGAAGTGTGGATCTAGGAATATTGCTTTCAAATTTGACTAAGATGTGGCAGTTAGGATCTAAAGTAACAGGTTGTCCAAAGTGTGAAGTACCGCGACCCCCGCCCCCACCTCCACAAAGGGAATATATAGATAAATGTACAAGTGCACTAGATTACAATGAATACTAGTTTCTTTACTCACCTTCGATTACTTGTATAATCTTTTCCATATTTTGAAACTAGCTTGAAGTCCTGTTTATGTGCAAATATGGGTACATAAGTATATGTTTCTTTAGGATAGTTTAAGCTTTTCATTGTCTAGATGATAGAAAGCTTCATTTTGTATTCGTAGGAGGAACTTCTAATTAAATTGTTTGTTTGATTCCAGACCAAGACCAAGAAGAGCAGTGATCTGAAGTATGACATATTTGGATGGGTTATCCTTGCAGTTGGCATTGTTGCATGGGTTGGAATGGCGAAATCCAACATGCCACCACCACCCCCAAGATAAGCTTTATATATCTTATGACTGAAGTAACCCTTCCAATGCATTTGGTTGAAGGTTAATATTTTCTTTTAAGATACTCATCTGGTTGAGTTGTAGTAATTCAAGTAAATCATGTGGTATGCTGACTACATGTTGATTTTGACCATAACTTTTTCTGTGTTGCTATTCTAATTAGGAATATCATTTTTATATTAGTTAATTGCTTGTTCTCTTACAAAATAATGGATAGTGATCTGTGTTGGTTGGTTTTTTTTGGTTCCCATCGAGCTACTTAGAGGTTTTCACAGAATTTATCATTTTTTGGTGGCATAATATGTCTGGGGGTTCGGTCTAGAATGTTTTCTCTTATTATCATTTTTTAAACCACTTTCTAAGTGGCATAATGGAAACTAGCCAGCTTTCTAAAAAGATATAATTGTAGCCAACTTTCTGAAAGGATTTAATTGTGGCCAACTTCACTGAAAGATACCAAAATACCCTTAATCTCATAACCTACACGCGAAAGACAAAAGAAGAAAAGTATTCCTCAATCTTTGGAATGTGCGCCCAAAAACCTCAACTCACAATCTGTGTCTAAAAATTTGAGTCGAGGTTGTATGAAAAAAATGGGTCTTTCAAATATAATGAATTTTCCTCTATCAGCTGCCTTCTCCTCCCTCCATCTCTCTGTGTTTTTGCCATTACTGTAGGGGTGACAGTACTAGTGGAAACATCACCAGAGTGAACGGTGTTGTTGGAGTTTCCTCTGGTCTCTACTCTCTCTGGCAATCTGCCCAGCAAAAAGCTCTGAAGCAGTGTGAATGATGTCGATGTATTTTTTTTATATTCCCCCTTCTTTTTTGAAGACCAGAGATGAACGTGGAGATAACTTGGGTTTTGGTTTGTTCCTTTAAGAGATGGTGGAATTCTTACTCTTTGGTAATCAGGGTTATTTTAGTTTGAGACTGCTAAAAGTTGGTTGTTCAAACTTTAACAAACGTGGCTATTTTGTCTTTAGATTAGTTGGATTCAGGCCATTTTTCAGGAAGATCTCTTTGGTTTATCTTGTGTTAATGTTTCACTCCAGACTTAATAAGGGAAGAAGAGATCTATATTAGTCAAGTTATTGTTTGGAGCTACAAATCCTGTTTTTAGGTTCACGCACACAGAAAAGTGGAGGGAAACATGGGAATGCTGAGTAGTCACTCTCATAGAGAAATTCATTTCATAATGATCTGAGCATTTATAATATAAACAACTGCAATTGAATTTTCTGGAGCTAACAAAATGTTATGATATTTTGGATTTCCACTAATTGATCAATTATTAGCCTGAAACTAATAATTATAATAACAGCTTTATTAAGTACCTATAGCATTCTTATGATGAGCTTATCATACTCGTGCTAGATCTAAGTGGATTCCAAGTATACGACTGTAGTTGAAATTTGGAAATTAATGGAGATTCTTTTTTCTTCTTTTTTTTTTTTTTTTTTTTTTTTTTTTTTTTTTTTTTTAACCGATTAATGGAGGTGGGAGGGTTTCAAACTTGCTACCTCTTCCAACATTTAGAACATACGTACTACTAGACTAAGAGAGCTGTATTCTTGTATTTATGTCAGATAAAACTATAATAGACTTTTCCATATTCATAGTAACCTTTCAAAATGAAATTTTCATTTGCGTGTATGATTTCTGAAATGTCTATCAGAAAATTTTTCCGATAAGAAAATAAACATGTAGAAAAGATCTCTTATGATTCTTTTAGAAGGTACTTAGGACTGCACAGATGAACATGTTCTTATCCATGTTTGTGTTTGTGAGTAATTTTTCGGTGCGAGGATCACACAGCCGTGTGATGCTATACCCTATGTTCATAAAATATCAACATTGTCATCCACCATATTGTGGATTAGTAACACTACTATGTAGTGTGACCATCACACCAAGTCAAGTATTTCTCCATGATTGGGAGCACACACAGAAGTTTCCACTCACAAGTGGTGAATTTTTAATGTGTATGTTTAGTTGTTAAAAATCTTTATTTTGGTAGAGTAGAGTATTGGTCAAATATTTAGTCTGAAACTCCTTCAAGAGGGTATGTGTGTCATGTTTTACTCCGGCACATGGAGATACCGGCATGTTCCCTTTGACCATTTTGCCTATAGATCTCATACTTCCATGGAAATTTGTAGTATAAGGTCCTTGTTGTTTTCTTACCATTTATTTCTCAACCTCCTTCATTATTTAGAAGACCAACCCCTGGAAGCTAAATTGTAGGTAGAATATCAATTTCTGATCTGTGAAAATGTTAAGTTGACTACATTGGGACAGAGCTAATAATATCTCCTACTTGGCCTAAGATTTATCATAGTGTATTTAGTACAGGAGACCGTGTCTTGAGAAGTAGTGAGAAGTAGTGATGCACAATCCTTGGAAAGAAATAAAGCAGTGGATAAACTGTTGAGGCTTACTTTATTCTGGTGCTCCCTTTCTTTCTTTTGTCTCTTGGTCTGGTCAGTGCTAGAACCATTTTTAGGCAACGCAGATTATTTCCTCTTTTAGTAATGATCAGATTTTCATGCATCAACATTGACCCTCAAATTAATGACAATCATCAATGTAATGATTTTTCTTAGTTGAAACTTTGACGGTGTTTGTCTTCATAAGTTTGCAGTTCTCCTGCAATGTTTTAGACTTGGAAAATTTTGACTTTTTGTTAGACTAATTATAAAACCCTTTGTATTCCTAACACCACTCTTTAGACTTGGTGAGTGAGCTTTATTTTCCTTGTCAAAGCAAGTGATCCAAGCATTCATTTTTCATTTTTTCTGGTTTGTTCCCCTTCTTTGGAATGTATTTTGTTGCCTTGAAGTTGTTGGAATGGTTTATCTCAGCATAAGTCATTATTGATGGAGATGAACAAACATCTGAACCGAGCATATTAACCAAACTATAGTTTGCTGTCGGCAAGCCTGGTAGATTGATTGATTGGTAAAAAAAAAATTTGTTTAAAGAGAGCTCTCTGTTCAGTAATTGATAGGGCGGTGCTAAGCAGCCTACAGGAATGATATGTAGAGAATCTTAGAATGCCTCATCATGTTTAATTATTGAACAACTTTCTCTCCTTTCCCTTGTCACGGTTGTTTCCTTCATTTGTAGGCCCTCCCCCATTTTCTATTATTGGTATGAAGTAGTGGGAAATGTGGCATATTATTTTTGGACACCTTGCCATTAGTGGAAAGAAAAGAAAAGATGCTCTCTACACCATAATAACTAATTAAGGGTGTGTAGGTGGAGGCTAGGAAATAGTTAGGATATTGTTAAAGCATCAATAGTTAGAAAAGCATTCCACTTTGGTTGCCTTTTTGGGTTTTATTCTATAGTTTGCCGCAAAGACTGCCTACTTTCTGTGTTTTTTTTTCTCTTTTGAAAGAAGAGGTCCTCTTTGATGGATCCCTGTTGGCCGGACTACCAATTGGTGGTCTTTTTCCCAGATTAATTTTTTAACACTTCCTCATAGGCCATTATAATGGCTCTCCTTCACCAGTGGGGAGCTATTAGGTTGGCCAAGTAATGCAGAGCTTATTGTTTGTTTAGTGTCACTCTCCCTTTCATACTTTGAGCAAAGCAGAGAGCCCTCATGATCTTTAATAATTTCTTAGTGTCCTGTGAGACTTTGCTGGGGGAGGAGGCATCCACGTGTCTTCCTTTGCTGTTGTGGGGTTTAATTTATTTCATCTTTGGTCACTCTCTTGCTTGCTCCTGCTTTAGTGTGTGTGTTGGTATGCAGCATTGGCTATAGGCCCCAATGATATTGGGTGCTTTTGGATGAGAGCAACTTGTATATTGCTTGATAGATGAACTATTGGATGCTAGCGTCGGCTGGATCTGCTCTTGAAAATAAGGTAAATGCATAAATATGTTTTATATGTTTTGTTAGCAAATGGTTTATGGGTTGTGTTTATTTGGTTGGCAAAGGAAGGAGACTTTCAGTGTTTGCAGATTAAAGACTTAAAAAGAGGTTTTAATTTGTTAAATTATTATTATTATTATTTTTTTAAAGTATGTGGTGGTGGGGTCTGGTAAATATGACGAAATCAAAGTGTCGGAGTCTCACAGTTGTTATTAGTTGCCAGTGGATCTTTGCACAGTAGACATCTTGCTGGATAGGTTATGCTTTTCGCAAGTTCTGATTTATTTATATATAAAAATAAAAAAACTTTGGAGGCCTTTATATTGCGCATCGATGAATTTTTGAATTAAATTAAGGGAAGGGTCCTTTTTTATGTACTCTCTGAATCTCGCGACAAAATGATCAATGAACACTTGGTCCTTTCCCACGCGTGGTTTATAGGAATATCTTGCTTTAGTGAATGTTTGAAGGATCAGAGGGCGATTGAATTGAATTGATGGCTTGCTCTGCACCTGAATTGAAACTTTATCGACATGTTTATTGTCTCATAGAGAACACAATGGAAATCATGTCACAGCCGACAGGTGTGTGATATCCCAGATCTAAAATATCGAGGGTTTTGGAAGTATCATGGGTCTAAAAACACATAAATATCAGGAAATGATCGATATTGATAAAAATTGAATAAAAATTACGAAAATTGTAAGAAAACTTTGGAAATTTTGATTTAGAGAATGTTTATCCTGATGTTTTCATGATAATTACATGTTTATGTTCCAAAATATCCCCTTCCTCAAAAAATGATAATATCCTTGATATTTCAGCCCTTAGTGAATGATATCTCGTTTTCCTTGCTAAATGCATGCATTAGCAATGAGTTTTAAGTTCTCACAATTATATACAAAGTTGTGAGATTTTAATGTACAGAGATATGTGAGTTAGATTTAACAATCGACTAGTGATTTTCTCACTTTCATTTTATCCTTTGGGAATTAGAGAGGTATAAATGGATAAAATGGAAGTGAGAAAACTGTTTACCTATTGATTAGTCTAAACAAAATAACATAATAACAAGAGTTATGGAAGTGTGAAAACCGTCTACCTGTTGA